TGTCCCTACACAATGTGAGCGTATTTTATCTACTGCTTACTGGTTTAGTTGTTCTATGGTTAAAGCAGACTACAATTAGATTAGTAGTTCCGTTTGACAAAAAGAGAGGGAGGGGATGACACCAAAGAAAAAGGATGTTCAAAGGACCGGTACTACTTACATAGCCATTTTATAGTATAGAATCAATTATGTGTTGAATGGTAAACCAAGATCAACCTTGATTGATAGGTAAATTTGCTTTTTGGTGAGGTTAACACAAGGGCGTATAATTACTTTATGTGGCTAATATAAAGTGTTTTTAGAATGACTGACGCACGAACGATCGACTTGGATCCCATGGCGGATAACGAAACCAAGGCTCACTATCTCTTTTGGCGGCACGAATAGATGTCTAACATCTTGAACTGATAACCCTCAAACCACAACAACTTGACCATTATAATCCTCGCCATCAACAAAAAGAGCTTTACAAATGGTTACATTTCATCAGCCAGTAGTTCCTTTAGGTATTATGTTGATAATGCTATGGTCCAAGCAAAATCGTGGTTAGTGCAGAATCTGGTAGCTCATCATGTTTGGGGAGGTATTTGATCGGTTCTTTCAATCGTTGGGAATACAACAAGGTATACTAGGAGTAATATATATAAGTCGAAAATAAGATTATTTTTTGGTGATTCGAAAGCAAAATTTAACTGATATACTTGAAAATAAGATTCTTACTAACATTGTATGATAATTTTAGAGATCAAACATGCCTTTTAACTAGCCAACGTGTTAGTAATGAGCAATTCATCAGCGGCGATGATAAAATAAACAATAAACGACGATCATCAAGACCCGATTTAATTTTGATAAAGAATGGGATCGAGTATGGCTCATCCGAAATTGGGAAAGGTCGTGTTGACGCAGTTCTTGACAAGAAACACATCATCGAATCTCAATTGCATAGTCCGAAAACAATGCATGATATGCTGTACTCAATCAATCTATGATGACGAGATACAAGAATTGTATGCTTTAACCAAACCGGTAAGCTATTTTTATTAAAATGAGGGTAGGAAATATTTAACGATGCATTTTTATGGTTATTAATCATCAACTATAAAGGATTATCGGTATTTGTATCTATTCTGGACTCTCCCCATGGTTATGTTAGTCGAATCATTGAAAGCAATAATTATGAAGTTCCAAGAGACTCGGATTTGATGATTGGACAGCTTTTCCCCGTTCTGAAACTAATTTTTCGGGTTAAGGTATGAATAACACTGGCGATTTACGAGCGATCCAAGTGTGTGAAACATTTGGCAATAAGGACTATTTTTCATTTGAGAGACCGCGTTCGCGAACTCACTCGTGTTGGTAACTTGTTCTTTTCGTATCGGTCCCTATGGCAACAATAGCAAGCTTAACAACTAAAGAATCTCACACTAAAGGTAAAAGATCAATGAGTGCCCCAGATTTATTTTTCTTTGCTTACTTACCTTTCTTTGTTTACTTCATTTTTGTAGTGATTGAAAAATACCTTCAAGAAGCGGACGAGCCAACATTGAACGAATTCCTCAACAAAAATATCTCATTACTTGCTGAGGGAGGAAGTGATTTCAAGCAATACTGGATTGATTTATATAAGACCGTAACAGCACAGTCTAGCGTGCGTTTTGTAAGTTTTTTTTTTTTTTTTTTGGTTCCTTGCCCCCACATTACTTTGTAATTTATTCAATAGTTTTTGGTTTTTATTTTTAGGTAGCTGGTCGCGTTGACTGGTACGAGGTTTTAGTCGATGTTGGTAAATCCTCGGTCGTAGGATGCTCTTCTGCTGCTGTCCTACCTGCCCTACCTGCTGCTGAATCTACTACCACCTATCCAAAGACTCCAAATTCCTCTTCTTCAACAAAGCCATTCATTCAAAAGATGGAGACTGCCCATGCGGCCATTAAGAACAACAAATGGATTCTGCCATCGGGAACCATTGTCGAAGACGAAATGTTAGCATACTGCTGTACCCTTGATTATGAGCAGTAAGTATGCCGTTCGCTTATGAAATAATCAATGCAATATGATCAGATATAATAACAAAGGCTAACCGAAAACTTATATAGTGCCGGACACAGTTTTGTCCTTGATCACCATGATAAACCTAAATTATTTAATGCTGGAGAAATATAATATGTTGGTAATTGTTCTTTCAATAGAGAATTAATTAAATCATTTTTTTGTTCTAAAGTTAAAGATTTATTTTCAAGAATATAATAAGCTTTTTTAAATCTTAAATAATAAAAATATTTACTTATTAATAATGGAAATTCGTCAAAAATAGGAAAAATGACTTTGGCTAAAATTTTTCTATCTGAAATTCTAAAGTTAGCTATTTTGTTTTTTTCATATTTTGACACGCTACTATAACCTAATTTAGATTTTACATAATAAAGAATTCTTATATTATAATAAGATTGACTTAAACTAAATTGAAGTTTATAGTATTTACCGCATTTTGGAATACTAAATGATCTATCGCCATCGGTAAAACCAACAAACCATTCATAAAAATTTTTATTCTTAAGATCAAATTCTTGTTGAGTACTATATTCTCTCATAATTTTTGTACACAAAAACATTTTTACTGGGTAATTAGGAAATAATCCATTTTTATTTACCCGAGTAGTTTTTGTAAAAGGAGTTTCCCGCATCGAGTGATGTTTTGTTGCCCAATTATTACTAATCGGCGACAGCTTACCATTTTTAACTGTCCATCCAGTCATAATAAATTAATTATTTAACTTAAATTAAATAATTAATTTTGGACTATATCTTAGTCTATAAATTAAATTAGTTATTTCTATAATATTAATTTTATAAACTTATCGCGTGTAGTCTCTGAGGTATTTAAAAATAATTACCTGCTGATTATTTTATTCTAATTAATTGTTACCCTTAAGGTATAATTAGAAAACTAAATTTTTTAGCATATAGCGATAAACTAAAGTTTTATTAAAACTTACAGGCACTAGATATTTAATAAATATTATAAGATTAACTTACTGTTAAATGATAATAATGATCTAATTGATAAAATGTTAAATTAAATTTAAGTTGTAATATTTAATTGATATTTCATATATAATAATCCAATAGTAATAAATAATAAACTTAATAGACTTAATAGATAAAAAATAAACAATAAGATTTTACTTGATTTCTTATATAAAATTACTAATTTTAATAAAAAAGATTTTGATTTAATCCAATCTTTCTCTTCTAAATTTAATTCTCTTAATAAAATATAAAAACCTACTCCAATTAAAGCATAAAGTCCAGAAATTCCCAATAAAATTAATCCTAATAAAAATTCATCAAAATTACTAGTAGTTTCAATTACACTATTTACAAAAAACCCTGAATCTCCTGATTCAAAAATACTATTTGCAACAATATTAGGATCTTCATTTTTTGATGATTTAGTAAATTCATTAGTTGAAATTTTTAATGCTTCTAAAACTTTTTCTGTTTCTGCTTCATTTAGTTGATATTTTTCAAGAACTTCTTGTAATGTAATATTTTCTTTGAGACTAACTTTTTTAGTAAAAAATGAATCTGATTTAACCATATTACCAAACATTAATTGTGTTCCCATTGAAAACCCAAATGTAGTTAAGAATGCTCCTAATTTACCAAAAGGATTTTGAACTAATGTTGCTGCTTTAATAGCAGCATAAACTGAAACAGAACCAGATGCAGCTGCAGCTCCATAAGCTGCAAGATTAGTTGTCGAAGGATCAAGACCAACTTGTACTTTTAATCCTTCTTTAAGAATTTGAGTTAAAACATTTGCAAGAGAATTTACCTTTTCTTGATCAATATTATTTTCATCATTTCCAGCACAATATACAATAGATAAACTATCAGAATAATAATTTAAACAAATATATTTAAAAACTAAAGTAAATAATAAAATAATAAATACAAAAGAAAAATATTTTAAGAATTTTAAAATAGAGCTTAATAATTTTTTAAAGTTTAAATTGATATTACTATTTCTTTTTAAACTAAACAACATTACTGCTAAACTAATATCAATATTATCATTTAATAATAAAATGTCTGTTAATTCTTTAATATTCATTACATGTTCAGTTATTGTACCTGCTCCATTTTCTACGAAAGCACTAGCTACTAAATGTTGGGAAGACGTGTTTTCTCCGGATGATCTTCATTACATCCAAACATTTTCTCTCCCTACTTTATCTGAATATAATTCACATGATGTCGATGAATACATTAACTCATTCAATGGCAAGGTACACGTTTTTTCTTCTTCCTATTTTGAGTGATGAATATGTGTGAATTTTTTTAAGAGCTATTGGGCTGATTCATGGTGCTTTATTTAGGCAACTTTCAATCTAGAATTCGTATGATATGATTATGACTCATGTTACCCAACACTCACCATACACTCCTGGTGAACTATTTGATATTGGGTGGTTAAGACAATCCATTTGCAACCTGCTACCAAACTACCATTTCAACTTTTTTACTAAGGTTGGAAATACCGAATCTGACATCCTTTGGCGTGTTTGGTCGTCGATATTGTATATGTTTGATGATTGTGAAATTGATGTTAACAGGTAAATATCCAGTTTGTAAGAGGTCTCAGTATACTATCGTCAACAAGAAATACTAATCGATTTTGCATGAAATCCAGTGGTGAGACAGAAAGTCGAGCAACGAGTGATAATAATAATTCAAGTAGATCGCTTGGTAAAAGAAAGCTACATGGAACTCGGGTCGACCTCCGCTTTACATATGATGGTGCAGAATTAGGATGTGCCGAAGCAGGTCGTGTAGATGAAGGCGAGCTTGGCACAAAGGAGATGCTAGAAGGAAGTCTCAAATGTCCGAAGACACTTCGCGATATGTTTGTTCATTTATCAAAAAAATATCCTGACAAAAAAAGTGGTCTCCGAACGTTTGGTTTTATGATGATGGGTACAGCTTTAATATTCATATTCATATTTTTTCTGTATAAGGGTGGATAATAATATATGCTAATGTTTTGTACCAAAGGTTATTCTATCTCGGCAAGCATCATGGATTCCCCAGGCGGAAATGTCTGTCGCTTAACAAGAATTACCCCACGTTATACAGTATCAACTAACATTAAGGCATTCAGACATCGAGTCCTCCCCATCCTCAAGTTCTTTTTATCCATCAAGCAAACAATGTTAAACGTTGTCAACGACACCACTACAAGTAGTCTACCAAACCCATCGCCCAGCCAACCCAATATTCTAATGTCTTATTCGGTTCCTTCTTCAACATCAACAACATCATCTTCAAAATCTTCAAAATCGTCAACATCAAATAATTTCTCATCTTCTTCTAAAGCATCAAAAAATCACGTCTATCGGCTTCAGGATCCAACTCATAAAAAAAAGATTAACACACTCTCATACCTCTCTTATCCATATAAAAAGTATACATCACACCTCATGCACATATAAAAAAAGTTATGGTTCATGACATACCAACACCACACCTGTAATATACACAAAGGACACAAGGCGGAATAAAACTTTTACCAATATTTTGAATAATACGTATTGCATCATCAGCAACTTCAGCAACAGCATCCATATATCATTCATCACGTACTTTTCACACTTGATTTATTTACCTTTATTGTATTTATATTCATACCCATCATTATTATTCGTTTTTGATTCATATTGAAACCCTTTATATACATAACATATACCTTCTTATACTCATCTCATCATTCTTATTTTAATAAATACACTACATAATAACAAAGGGAAACTATAACATATATATTACATTTTTCAACAAAAGGGAATGTTTGTACTTGCCTAGAACGGCAATATAGTTCAGAAAGTAGCTGGTTGTCTATTGTGTCATCGTATTCTATACTCACTCCCCATAAATAACTTTCGACCGTCTTTTCCAATACTATTACACCAATTCATTGGGATCTAGTAAGTATCATTATGCAGTATACAAGAGGATTCTCTTTCGATTCGTTGAATATACTTTTTCTTGGATCCATGATTCCTCACCACCTTTTGAAGTTGATTCTGGATCCGGGCTAATTTCATCTCGTGTGTGTTTATTCTTACGAATCGATGAATTATTCTTTATTTTTCATAAAAATACAAGAAGTAAAATTAGCCTGGATCCGGAGTTAATTTCCAAAGGTGTTAGGAAATCCACGATCTTAATGTTAAATTCCTCCTATGGTATCTGGAACACCTTCATGAACGGTTTTAAATATATATTCAATTACGTTCTGAGGTACTGTAATATATTGTTCCTTGGATGCTGTACTTGGTATCTAGAACACCCTCATGAATGGTTTTAAATATGGATTTCACAAAGTAATGTATTTGGCACTATATGTTAATCTCGAAAAGATTTGGTGTTATGAATGAATTCCAAACGACCCAATACGCTGACAAATGTATTTTTTAAATTATATATTAATTTTGAAAGAATTAAGTGTCATCTATAAATTCCACTCTGGCACTGGTCTTATAAAAAATACCATACGACCCAATAAATTGATAAATGCTTTCTTTTCTATTATATATTTACTCAAGGATGTGGCCTTCGGCAAAGGGACCCGATATCGCCAATTCTCTTCAACTTAGCCTTGGAACCTCTATTGCGCGCTATCATTCATGAAGAAACATATCAAGGATATAATTTTACATCTCTACAGTCAGGATTAGTATCTTTACCAAATCCTCCCCCTATAGAAGTTATTAGTTATGCAGATGATATATTTTGCTTTGTATCTGATGAAAATGATCTTGCTTGTTTACAATCTCTTTTATATATGTATCAACATGCTTCCAATGCAAAATTAAACAAGAACAAAACGATGGTAATTTCTCTTTCTGGCGCCCATCAACCTGAATATGATCAAATATTGAATGATTGAGGCTTTCCACCATGTCATGACAAATCAGATCCTCAAGCTATTATTTATCTTGGTTACCCATTAATTCTATCAAAACAACAAATTATCCATTACCAAGACAAACTATTAGCTTCTATACAAAATGCATCCAATATACATCTACAACGTGGCTTATCCATTAGAGATCGGGCTACCGTAATGAATACACTGATTCTATCAAAATTATGGTAATGTTCGATGAAAATGCAAAAAAAAATATTTCTGGCTGGATGATCTATACTGCTATTCCAAAAGCGTGTCCATCTGATGGATGTATTTGATGACATTGGCGGTCAAGTTGATAACGGCGATAAACTTTTGATTTATTGGATATAATTGCAGGATGTTCTCGAATAATATGATTAAAAGCCTTAAAATCAAAAGTATCCAGATTGCCAGAATGACCACCACCTGGATGATTCTTGTCTAAGAGTAGCCGTGCGAAGAAAGGCTTAATAAAATACACCAGAGCTCTCATGTCTTTCTTGAACTTGCCAAGGAGTATTGGATGAGGAGGCTGATCTTCTATTGTATATAATCGTAATCGGCGTAAAATAGGATCAAATATAAAAAGGTGAAGAGCTTGAAGATGTTTGTATCCAGGTCTTTTTGGATTTTCCGAAGAAAGAGGATTTTTATCCAAAATAGAGAGCAAAGGCAGTTGTAAAGCTGTGTTTATATTAATTGAAATTTCGGACCAATTAATATGTAAAGAATCAATGGTCTTGTATATCAAATTAATGGTGGATGATCTTGTAGTATTGTTTTCATATTTTCTCCCTTTGGAATCAAGAATTAAAATTGAGTGGTCAGATTTAATTTTTGAAGATGATAATATCCATGATGTTAAATAGGTGATATGAAGTTCACACGTACCATTGGTCTCCAGTAAGAAAAGAATCCACCTTAACTGGAGAGCCTTTTGTTGATCAGGTACATCGTTCAAGTTGGACATTATAAAAAACTTTATTTGCAAAAGAAAATCAAATACGCAAAAATAAAACTTGAGTGCGCAAAAAAATTAATTGCTATGCACAAAAAAAAATTATCACTGTGCGCAAAAAAAAAAAATCATGATGCACAAAAGCAGACTAAAAATCGGCATGGGTAACATGTCTGGACCTGATGGAATAAATTCTTTCATTTTTGGCAAGCGCAGCTTTACAGTATCACGATAAGAAGGAAAGAGAGGAAAAGCTGCAAATAATGGGGAGATATATATCCTTGCCATTTTAATTGTTATAGACAGATAGAGAAAAACGGTGATATGATATAGTAAGAAGATGTATGTAACTATTGTTTTGGTTTATCAATATGTGTACGGTACTTAGGCAGTTTCCAAGTAGATTGAGGGATTACTCTTGATGATGATGCTGCTGATGTTGGTTTTGGTATAACTTGACGGTATGCAGCAGGTAATTGCTGTGCAAATGCAGTCGTTGTTGGAGGCGGAGGTTGAGTTGGCGGAACGGTTGCTGTATGTGTCGATTGCGGTTGCCTATAAAAAAGTTGTTGCGCTTGTTGGTACGGACACCAAGTAAAAAGAGGTGGTGGTGGCAATGGTAGTGAGACGTTAGCTGGTGGATGAGATATGTTGTGGGGTGGTCGCTCAGAAGTAGATATTTGTGGTTGGTGATAAGCTGGCAATAATGCTGTTGACGGTGATGAATAGTTAGAAGCCGAGGGTAAAGACGGAGATGACAAATGGTTATTAGAAAATAGAGGAGGGAACATAAGCGAATTTGTGCTAGATGGAATGACCTCTGCATTGACTGGTAAATTTGGAGAGGGCATCAAGGTATTCTCCCTTCCTGGTGATTGTAGCTGTTGTCGCATTGTAGACGTTACGTTGTCGTTATTTCTGATGGATCGTACAGCAACTTGACTGGTGCACCAAGCGTTATAATGTGTTTTTAAGTTTTCAGCAGTTTTATAAAATACATCGATTCCATTTGCGTGTTCTCGATTCCACTGCTGAGCCATCTGCTTCCAGTTCAATGAAACTTGCTGGTCGCCATCGCTGGAAAGTAAGGATGAGAATAGCGTATACTCTTTAGGAGTGTGAACAGGTGTCACAGCGTACTTTGTTTGGAGCTTGATGCAATATAAATATACATTTGTCGCTGCACGTTACTGGTCGATCCCTTGGGCAATGGGATATTTACACTGAGCTTATGCGCCAGAAGTGGATCGGAACGTCGGTTATCTGGATCCGGAGAAACTTTTTGAATATTTATATCCTGAGCGGCATGAGGTGGAAAGGATGCGATACCAAATGATTCTCCAGACATTTTTAGATACAAGGAGTTCTTAACGATGAGTGTACTGGAAGGATGATTATCATCGCGTTCTCCATTATCCATGCCGAGCAGTAGAAGCTTGTCACATATGATCTGCAGCAGCCATGGATCGTAGTGACTTCGGTGTATCTTTCCATGTCTATTTTTTGTACCAACCTAAATGCGATATAAATACACTAAGTATAAGTAAAATTTTAAATAATACCATAGCTGTCTAAAAGTCACCTACGTCGATATTATGTCGTAATCGGTAGTCCGCCAACATACTATCAGTCATTTGTGGGCCTGCACCAAAAGAGTCAAACTTGCGAATAATATTTCGGTGAACACCACCTTCTAATGAGTTTGTTCCTCGGCTGCATCGATACATTGGAAGATTGTGCTTATCGACACCAATTTTGAAGTATAGCGAGATTCCAGGTGGATCGGATACCTCTCCTGCTTCTATAGCTGCTAGAATACGGCGAGCTTGATCCCAAGCTTTCTTGTCAAACAGTGGTCTACCGGTTTTTGCACATTCGAGACGACCATACTCGGCAAACAAGTTCTGAACAACAGAATGAAGCTCGTCAGCTGGGGGGACGCTTCGTCGAACTCTTCGTAAAATCCATTCAGGTTTGCGAAGTAGCATATAATCCCATGAAAGGCCTTGTGTGCGTAAGTGATTCTCGATTCTTTGACGATCTTCATTGTTAATTTTAAAATGGCATCTCGAAGACGACGGGAAAACTCTTTTGCAAACCATGTCGTTTTGAGATTTTGATCATATCCATTAGATGGAATATATCTTTTAGAATTCTTGGGTTGCTGATATGTCGAATGGTTTGTGATGGGGTTACTGATGCTACCAGGAGTTGATTTGCAGATATGGTGGTTGTTGGTTGTGTAAATAAATGTGTCGTTTCAGGCAAATTAGCTTCATCTTCTGAAGAAGACGACGACGACACGGATTGGCTATCATTCGCTTCTTGATTGTTGCTGGTATTCACGGCAGTAGAAGCTATTCGCTCGACGTCAACTGCGAAATCATTGACAGGTACTTCGCTGTGCAAGAGTGTGCATAATCTTGGATTCTCGGTGCGTAGGTGGGCCACTGGAGCTTGAATTGCAAATGGTACGTCTCCCATATCGGACAAGGCCTTCATTCTTGTAACATGTTTGCCGTTTACAAGCTTCTTTATCTTCACAACAGCGCCCGGCACGCTGATTCTGTTGACCGTAAATGTTATATGATCGTCGTGAATTGTCGGATCGCTAACATATCCGAATGCGACTGGATTATCGAGATAATGCAACGAACAATGAAGGTTGGCTACCGGTGTGCGGATTGATTCGTCCAAAGGTACTTAAGTTTCTCGTTGTATCGAATATTTGTAAAGATGCTCATGCATCCAAGGCAGCATAGCATATCTGGTCGCTCGACAGTTGTGTAGACTCCCAGTTACTTAAGCGCAAATTTGCGTCTTTACGCAAACCGGATCCGAGTACTCTTGCAGATATGGCCGATAAACCCAATGTCCCTCGCTCGATTACACCTCGCCTTCTACAGAAGCCGCCAAGTTCCAATGCTCCGTTCCAAGTGATTCCATAATTACGGTTGAGCTTTTTAAGGTCTCCCTTGACGTTGCGGCCGGTCTTGATGATGTTTGGATCACGAATTAGAGAAGCGAGAGCGGCAGGAACGCACCCAGAAGACGGTTTCAAACGAAAAAGCCATACAGCATCTTTACATGCAACCTGTACCAGCGAAATTTTTCCAATTTGATGCGTGACAGAGTTGTACACCCACTCACAGTCGAATCCCACAACAAGAGATTGATCATAATTAATAGCGCAACTACGAATATTGTTAACTGCATCAGTGGCGTCAGGAGCGTCTTTAAGTACAGTTATAGATACTGTGTCAGGTAATTGTGGAAATGGTCCTTGGTCATCGTTTTGTTGCAATTCGGCCGATCGTGTATTGTCTTTGTTATCGCTGGTATTGTTGTCATTGATGGGGCGCGTGAGTGACGGGATTGAGCGTTCTAGAAGATTCTGGTCGCCCTTCACATTATCGGTGAAGAATAGCTCTGGCATTGGATGGTTGTATAAACGGTACGATTCGATCATCTCTTTTAACGGTCCTTCTAGATGGATGGCAGACTTTGTTGGCACCAATAGTTGAAGCCGTATTTCCTCGTATTCGTTACATACAGTATACAAAGCTGTGAATGCTGATGAGCCACCAAGTTCCGCCATATGCTTCGGAACCTTAAATGTGTGGTCTCCTTTCAGAATCAAACCACCGAGCTCTGATAACTCTTTATCGATGAGTGGGCGTAATTGTTCAATCAAGGCTGTGTATACAAGTCGTAAGTACGCAGTTGAAGGAACGTAACCAGCATATCCGTTTGGATCCTTGAAGCTCGAAAATGATGGGTACTTGAATTGACGGTTATTGTTGGCTAATTCGTAGAGAGTTGGATTCTTACGGCGATAGATAAGTGAATTCAAGTATTGCAAATGAAGTCGTGCGTGGCGCAAAGTATGAAACTCGCGTAGCGCTCTCTGCAGCCGATGAACACCCATGCCATTTTGGACAACTGTCCGCAACAAGTCACCAAGATGTTTAGAAACAGCGCTTCGATGTGTGAGGTACGCAGGGAATTCAGCCTGAAGATGTTCCGGGAGCTGCTCTATGATTTGATTATCATGCGCCATATAGTTTTTTATGCATTTTGTGTTTGAACATTTGTATCTATAAGACATGATATAGAAACATCTAAGCATACAGAAAGATTAGTTACATAATTGAAATAAAAGAAAAGTAAAGCATCGTAATGTAATAGTACCTGTCAAGGTCAACAACACGACGAGCACATGGGTTATCAGCAGGTTCCTTTGACACCAAGTGCGAATCAACGTTATTTTCCTTGCATATTGGACACTTCAACACTGCTTTTGTGATAAAATGGGGAGCCCATAAAAAAACGCGCGGACGATACAGTGGAATCGGATCAGCTTGCTTGGTGTTGTACAAAGAGAAATAAGGCGCTGGTGGCTCGATCCAAAACGGTTGCTGCTCACAGTATACTTTTGGCGGTTTGGACCCATTTTGACATTCATCAACGATACGGGCGCGTAGTTCCATGAAATACTGACTACAAATTGGAGCTTCTTTATACGTTGTGTCATCCTCCACATTATGAGCAACGTCACCAGCTTCACGGTCATCATCTTCTTCGTGCTCGCATTCAACTTCGGCCTCTATACTTTCAGCCTCCAAATCGCGCACTAGACTCCCAAGGCCCAAAATTTGATCCTCGTTGTGCTCGTCACATGTAAAAGATGGCTATAGTGAAAAGCAAGAGCCCATATTTTGATAAGATATTTAGAAATCATGTATGCAGTAACCGGTGTTATCAAAGAACGAGTTTCGCTTACCACGACGCGTTCAAGAACCGTGCGGCATATTTGACGGTAGTGATGGGATTTCATTTTCTCGCGGATGAATATTCTAAATATTTGGTTCGATTTTGTAAGAGACTACTGCACACATTTAAAAAGTACAGTTCACTGCTGCATCTTGTTATGACCTTACCGTTGTATTAGTGATTACATTATCGTCGACTGCACTTGCAGATTGCGCAACCCCACTAAAATTGAGTACGCTTTGATCAAGAGGTCTCGTCTTTTTCGGTTTGCGCCCAGCGTTTGGGTTTTTACCACCAGCTTTGCGGCCTCCTTTTTTTTTAAAGTTGAAATTGTAGGGCTCTCTGTCGCTCATGGCTTTTGATACAAGATAAAAAGAAGAAAAGGATGAAGTAGTCAAGTTTTCTCATGGTGTGAGAATATATTTATGCAAGAAAAAACCCAAACGGCACTACTTTACCAAAATAGGATCGTTGTACTAGTAGACTACGTGATACAATTCTCACTATCTCGAATTCTCATAGGTGAACTTAAACACTATCTCGAATTATGATTCGCTAAGGTGTAGGTCCAGCTACTTTACTCCCGCCTAAAAAGTCCAGTATACAGACACGCCAAAAAAGACTTGGCGGGTGGGATTTCCTCCTCCCGACAGAAGCCCGCGCACAGTAGCACGAGAGATCAGCGGTGGTCAATGATTTCTATTAAAGTGCAGCTTGTATAGGTCCAGTAGTAATGTGATGCAGTTAATGACGATGGCGATATATACCCAGAAACAAAAAACTCAGCGATTATACCGTCATTTTATCTGCTTATGGTAATTAAGAAAAAAAAAAGCGTTTATACAAGTTCCCAAAGACTACGAAATAATAAGAATACCAAGTGGAAACATAGGGTGTAAGGGAAGAAAGGAAGGAAGGAAAAAAGCATAGCGTAAGAATGAAAGATATACAAGTGAGCAGTTGAGAGAAAAGAGAATACTAAGAGGGTCTGCTGCTATTTGGTAAAACGAAATTTTTGGTTTTTGTTATGTGAATTACGGATGTGGTATGTGTAGATTGTGGCTGCTTTGAGGTGCGGGGGTTGAGTAAGGAAGTATGAGAGAAATGGGTATGTTTTTGATGGGTGTGGGAGAAACAGTGTGTCTAAAATCAGACTTACGACCACGACGAAGAAAGGTGTGCAAGGCTGTTGTGCATTGCTGCCGCTGTTGCTGGTGCCGAAGGTGCCGGAGACGATGGTGCGTCGCTGCTTAAGCCGGACGACGCAATGGCAGTGGTCGTTGCTGCTTGCTGCAACACAATCAACTGCTGCCATTGCTCGGGCGATAAGCCAAACAGCACGTTGTTCAGCATCTGCTGCTGTTGCTGCTGCTGTTGCTGCTGTTGCTGCTGTTTCGCTAGCAAGACATTCTTGAATCCATCGCCTGGTTGCATAAACACATCCTCGTCGTCAGCAGCAATGACCACTGCCGGCCTGCTGTCGATCCGCTGTCGCTTTTTCGCCTCGCTATTGAGTGGTGCAGTAGCCGTTCCCGTTGTTGCCGTTAATCCAGCACCGATAGTGCTGCCAATACTGATACCTCCGTAGCCACCACTGCCACTCTTGCCCGATGAATTCGACTGTAAACTGCCGCTACGATTGCGTTTCTTGATTACGTTCGTCTTTAAGCTCAAAGGTCGCACTACACCATGTAGCTTTAAGAATAATCCGCATGCATTACACAATGGCTGACCTGCTGAGTCCCGTCGCCACAAGGGTGTTGTTGACGTAGAACAGTTTGCGCATACTGTGATCTCCTTGGGCGATTCCGGTGTCGCTTCCTTCTTCGGCGATGGTGCGTTATTGGGTGGTGGCGTAACCGGTGTAGCGGCAGGTGAGGGTGTAGTTGACGTGGGTGCTGAGGACGAGTTGGGTTGAGTGACATGAAGTGCGTCAAATGACTGGTTGAGTGATTCGGCAGTGGGATCGGACGGGATGGTAATGCTGGAAGTTGCTTTTCTTCCAAGAGCATAAACTTCTTTGCTGTTGTTGGAATTCTATTTTTTTTTTTTGAGCGTGAGAATGTGCAAAAGTAAGAAACAATGTTTTTTGCATATCTTTGAAAAAGCTTACCATTGGTGAAGAAGGCTTCAGGTTAATCTGCTCTGGCTGTTCCTGTTCCTGCCGTCGTTGTTGTTCTTCCGCCAAACGCTTCTTCCTCAAGTTCATTGCCATCATACGCCAGGTGAGATTTTCCAAGCGTGAGCCATTAGGTAAAGTGTCTTTCGCTTTTGTATACAATCGCCACACTTGCGACCCAAGTGGATCGACCTTTTTGTCGTTGTGTTTATTCTTCGGAGGGGCAGGAAAGAGCGAGTCTGAGAGGATGGCAGCAGCAGTGCTGGTGTTGGATGGTCGTGAAGATCGCCTTCGACTTTTGTGGCTCATTTGATGATAAGTAGCAGGTGAAAGAAGGGTGTGGGGGGTTTTTAAAGCAGTAGCAGCAGTAGCAGACGAGCGTGTGCGCAGGGAACAAGAGAAAATCACGGAAGAAGAAAAGAAGGGAAGAGAATGAAAAAAAGCTAAGAGGCCCAGTAGTGTTTATTAATGCAAGCTGTGGCTGGCCTTTTGGTCACAAACACCCCCACCCCCCTCCCCACATATAATTTTTATTTAAACTTTTCTTTTATACTCTGTCAGCAAGTGCTGATTGGTTCCAATAAAGATACCTCATATGGTACAACGCGGGCAGTTTACCAAATACTGAAGGGCCTCGAGAGCCCTACCAGCCCTTACCGGATCACGGCTTACCTATTCACCGATTCTACTGACGGTGTGGGAACAGGAATTCTTGTTCCACTACAATAAATATACATCCTGCCAAGTGTCGTCCTGAACCTTGTCAACAGTACGTATATACTACACTTCTTTAGCCCAGTGCTGTCATACCTGTTTCCCCTACCCCGCACTCCCAACCCAGCTGATGAAGCGCCGATTTGAAAGGACACTTATTACGTAGTTGTGGTCTTGTCGCAACCTCGTGAATTATTATTGCAAAAATCATCGATTGGCTGGGACCCACTCCATCCCATAACCCACATCATGTATGTACCTCTTTCCCAAGCAGTACGACTGATCGTCTTACACACTTTTATGATACTCTACCAGCCGCTATTCCAATGTATGCATTCCGCTCAGTCGGTGATCGTCATATGTAGTCTACTCAATGTATTATCCAGATGAAGCTTTTGTGCAACGTCGCTCGATTTGACTCTGTCGAGCCCGTGACTACTCAAAGAGAGCTAGCCTTTTTCTGACTGCTGTGTGCGTGCTCAAGAATAGTCTTCATTAGCAAGAAAGGTTGATATTATTGCGTTCAACTGAACATAATATATATGCCATGCTTACAATGATCATATCATACTTATGAGAGTTTCATCGACATCATGTGGCCATATGCAGAGTATGTTTTTATCTCCAAATATTACTTCCCCTATTTGACACATCGCATTGCCCCCGGCCGCCCTGCGAATGCAACGATGCGCATATCTTCATGTTAGTTATCAGTAATATGCAGCTTCTTATCAAAATTTATCGCTATTCCCTTCTTTCTACGCGTGTTTACGATGCATTAACATGATAAGGCGTCACCGAATCCTTATACAGATCTGGTATGATTAGCTAAGCTGTCAGAAAGGCACGTCCTCATACAAAACTGCTGTCCAAATAATGTGCGAAGATGCCAGCGCGAAATCTTTAAGACAGCGAATAGCTACCTCATCTTTATCTCAAGTTTCGAGTTTGCTGTGTGTCATCAAGTTGTTGACATAATTACTAACGGACCCTGGTTTTTTGTTATCGGACCCTACTGCCACAGTCCTTTTTAATTTGTACAGATTAAGTGTTGAATGATCGCACGGGCCTGTACATTATCGCATGATTGTTCTTCATATCGCTTATCGCTATCTACGTAGAATTTGCCAAACTACTGGCGGACTTTAGCAGGGCCAAGAATAGCCAATAAATAATGAGCTAAGAAGTTACTAATGATGTTTCTTGTACACGCTTTTCAGATCAATAAAAAACGCTGCATACCGGAGACCCAAAAATGCTTATTACCTCTGCTGTTTAATACAAGCAGAGTTTTAGTCCACCCTGTTAAACGAATTGGGTCCTCGTCAAATAATCTCATAGAATTGTCATGTAAGCATATTGTGGGCATTACGAGTTTCTTGATGATGACGATACAAACCTTCTCTCGTCCAAAACGCCTAATAATTTCCATCTTACAATGCTTATCGTCTCTACCCTTTTAATCGACCAGTTGTAAAGATATCCAGGCTCCGATGTACTGGTACTAGAAATTACTGACCATGAAGTCTTTTCGTCATCCTCAGCTATTGCATCTTTTCTAGCGAGTTCAGGCCCTTCTGCAGTGAACTTTTAAGAGCAATAATTGCTATCTGTATTTGCACTCCTTACCGATACTCTCACCTTCTGTTACATCTGACTAGATTAACAATATCTTAATGCGCCAATGTTGTAAAAAGACCATGTAGCTCATCCTACAACAACCCTTCTCTTGTACATAATCTCTTTTTGTATAATTGTATGTAACTGCAGTTCATCGCACCTTTTTCTTTTTGAATCAAAGATAAATCCACACACATATTTAGGAGCACAATTTGTTGCTGCTATACTTCTTTGAAAAGACGCCTATGCATGTGATGTAAACGAACAAAAAACTGACCCTTCCAACAACATATTTCATTTTCGATGATCTTGGTACTCAAAGATCTAACCGGCTAGAAACAGCACTTGAAAAGTGTTGCTCTGCAAAGCTTTTATTTGTGAGACTACTTAAATAGGATGTATACAGCATTTTCTATACAAATGTTATACTAAAAAATTAGTGAGCTCAATTATGTATCTTAGACTCTTACTGCTTTAGTAGAGGACGACACAATCGAGGGTCATTTTTAGTCGCTTGAAAAGGCAGTATTAGTGCTTTTTTGACATGACATGTTCTAAGAATCGCTTGGCACTCTTCCCTCGAACGACGACTTGGCGATTCCCATAGTCCACTTGGCGCACTGCATAACTTTCCGTTTCTACTTTCGCTGCTATGTAAGGGTAACTTCATTTTAAGGTGGTGTGATAAAAATAAGCTTTAAATAAGTTTGTTGCTGCGAAATAATTTTTTCGCTTCCTTCTTCTATCGATGCGCAACCCAAAACCTTGCAAAGGTACAATAATAAATAAATATATACATACATACGAGGGATTTTAAACTAAGACATAGAACCTTCTTCTAGCTTGCAAACTTCATAGGAAACGATGTGCTTGGAGCTGCAGCAATACCAGAACATGCGAACGTTGCTCTTCACTCGACATTGAATGCATTCAATCGGACGAGTGCAGTGAACTACTCGATGAAGGCATCGACTTCAAGGCTCAAGACGGATACGAGGAAGTACAAACCTGGTCGCACGATGTCGATCGATTACACAGCGATTTACTGGAATTACAGTCAAAAAAAGACGATCTGGAACGATTTATGTCAATGGCTCGAATGCAACAGCAGCAGGAGCAACGGCTACAACAGACGAAGCAACAGCAACAGCCTGAATGGCAACTCAGCATTGTCAACGGATTTTTGCAGTTAGAAACACCGATTCAAACGATACAAGAGCTTAACCAATTTACACAAGCGTCGATTCAATATCTTTCGCCTTTTGCTGGACTGTTCAAGCAGGAACCTTTATGTTTTGACAGCACATCTGTCAGCACTGCGCTCGGTTTAGGAGTATTGCTTCAACGCACTTTGATCTCCAGGCCTCGTAAAAAACCATTTTCCATGATAGACTATAGCAACACTGATACCAACAGCACCCACGGTTCTGCTGCTCCGCCTGCTTTTCTGGATTATCGCGCCATCATGGAGTACATTATTCCTCCTTATCTGGAACATTACAACACCGTTTTGGGACTAGTGCATGCGCCAACGTTTCTTAAACACTACCGCAGCCTCGATAACCCGCTAGAAAGCCTTGTGGTTCTTGCAGTATGCATCGATGCTCTTAGCTCATGTCCGCATATAGTCACATACACGGCGATGCAAAGACGGATCATCATCGAAGATCTTTACAACAAGTACAAGGAACTACTTTTTGAGCTGTATGAAGATCCGACGCGTAAATTAGAAGTTATTATCTCAACAAGTCTAGTGGAGGGATACCTGACAGACACGCTCCTAAGACCATTTGAATCCCGGCGACTCGTCTATGTGGCCATCCTGATCTGTGCGGAGTTGGAAAAGGAAGAACATGAAATGGATCGCGTTGAACGAGTGCTTTTTCAACGGCATCATGCATACTTGGAGATGTGTACCCGAGCATTCGATATGTTTTTTGATGACAAGGTTAATTTTTCAGTACCTGAAAAAATGCGTGTACTTGAAGTACTGGATGACGAGCCCGAAAAGACAAAACAGTTCACCCGGTTATACAATCACATTTTTGCGCTTATAGGAGCTCCGTATATATCGACAATCATGGTACGCAAAATGGAAACTATAGAAACCTATGAATATTACATCGGGATACTAAAACACAAAAGGGATAACTTTACTAGGGGAAAGTCAACACAATAATGTATGGACAGCCCTGCGAATTGTTGTTGGAGGATGTCCTGCAATACGAGCCTTATGTTCTTGACTGGTGGAAGAGCCTTCCGGATGAAATGCGTATTTGTGAAGATCCGTTCGATCCGATGGCGTACAAACTTGTTGAGAAAAAGTTGCCACCTCTTCAGTTATTCCCGTTTATCGCCCTACATCTTTTGACAGGTGTATTAACATCGTCGATTTTGCAACCTCGAGTTGTCCCATCTTCTATTAATGCAATATCGGAAAACGTCATACAGGCAGTCAGAGAAAGGTTAAAGACGTTTGCTCTTAATGCAAGTAATGTCTTGATCCATTCTCTGAAAGCAAATTGGGACATAAGCTCATGCGATGCACCAACATGTGAGTTAGCAACGGATTTATTACAGCTTTGGCTTTCGTATTAAAAGACTGACTAGAATCTGAAAATGTTACATCTTTAGTTTCCTTCTCTATCATAGCGACCGCTCTTTACAGTCTTGAAAGGCTTGGTCACTGCACGGACATCCCCTTCCCTTTGGACTTATTACTGATGATGAAGGGAGATTTCAATAACAAACGAATACTCCTTTTACCCGATCAAGAAGTCCCATCGTCGTCCTCGGTAGTCGCATCCTTCTTACAAAATCCGGACCCTTCTTTAGTGGACTTATATGAGCAGTATCCCCTACCTGGACTTGCAATGCTATCTGATATTCTCATGACATCGTTTACCCAGCTGGAGCAGCAACACCTCAACGCGACAACCTAGCGAAGAGGTCACAGTTCATCCCTATCAACCCCTTTGCCTGTTTATAATCCGTTAGTTATAATTTTTTCTTTATTTTTTTCAGTCTCTTGTAATTTCCAGTTCGTTCTTCATCCAAAAAAAACATACATCATTCATAGTTGTCATAGTTAACAAACTCCATATATGTTAGATTAGATGAAAAAAACCAACAAAACCCATAAAACACTATAAACTCGATATCATCTAGCAGTGAATATTTCACAGGTATTCTATTTGCTTCTGACAAAAATAAAATGGGTTGAAGAAAGTGTATGAGCGATCAGTACAAGAAAGAGGGGGAATGATGGAAGATTACATAGTAGTACTACAGATAATTTTTGGAGTATGTACACACGGGAAAAGGAAGATAAATGAGGGCAGAGAATAACATTAATCTTTCTTTGTTGCGATCTCTTGTAACTTTTTGGAACACATCTAATGACAACCAGAGAACTCACGGATCAGCAAAGCCAAATATCGCTATTGACTTTCCCATAACTATTTAAGTTAGCAAAGGTATTTCTTACCTCAAACCACTTTGCATGTTCTTCTGGCAATGACACCTTTTGAGCCGCTTGGATGAGCGCTAATGCCTTGTCGACATACTCCTTGATATACTTGGCACGGATAGTTTCTGCATCACTGTCATATAACTGAGATACCAGAACATCTGTCTCATCCCCCAACACACGGCCAGCATCTGCCAACTGGTCACACAGCAAGCAATCGGCTTCCTTGATGCACCGCCGTTCGATCTTGACATAGATAAAGACGACCAGGTCCACCAACTGGGCACACTGCTTTGCAACAGCAATCTGTTCCGGGCTCATCTCTTCATCCTCATCATCGTCAAATCCTCCTGCGTCTCCGTCAGCCACATCATGTACTTCCGATTTTGCATCCGCCAACGTCTCTTGCATGGTTTTCCACTGCTTCAATACAGCGGCTCGGTTATCCACCGGCATCTGTGTCTCCATCATTTTACACGTTTCCCACAAAACTGCGGTTGGAACCATAAACTCCTTTTTGGGTTCGTCACTAAAGCTGTTGCACAGGGCGATCTGACCAAGCAACGTATCGCGCACGGCTGCGCGGAATGCTTCCTTGTAGGTTTTGCCTGCTTGTTTTGGAATCGTGTTGTAAAAGCCGACAAGTCGAAAGAACGTGTTGCTTATTTCGGTAATCATTTTGATACCGTCTGCTGGTTTGCGTGGTGATTTACATGCCAACGTCAATTTCGTGGCGTCGTGTGAAAGCACTTTGCCGAGTTTGCTGATTTTCTCTTGCATGTCTTTGGTGTCGAATTCTGGATCGTCGACGGACCGATCAGTTTTTAAATCGGCCAGGTACGTCTCGGCCATGTCACGGCATGCTTTTAATTGTTCTATAAATTCGCATATGTCAAGTTTTTGTTCATAGTTTTAATTTTGTGCTTTGTGCTGAGAGAAGAGAGAGAAAAAGGGGAGGATTCATACTTTGAAATTCTTGCTCGGTCGACATTTGTTTAAATGGTGAAAAGAAAAAAATTTGGCACGGCACACTGGCGGTCTTTTGACATGTGTTTCAACGTCGTGCAGAACCACACGCAATACAGATGGGCGCTAATGCTGTATATTGCGCGCGGGCAACCATCATCCAAAATATATACTGAATTAAGTACTTCCTGAGAACTTGATCAGCTCCTGGATGATCATCGCAGAAAAGGCAAAGCAAAAAAGAACGTTTTCAACGTGGCCAACGAACAGTACATGTCGCTAGAATATGGACGTGTAGCAAGCTGTCAATGTGCTGTGTAATCGCGACTTCGATTCAAAGCACAACTGGATACCATTTTGGAAAAACGAACCTGCATGATTGCGTGTTATTTATTTACAGAAAACAGCATCGGATGCATACGAGTGAGCCCACTCAATCAAGCATAATTCCGTTCGACATCCATCTCTGACAGGCTGTCGTAATCGATAGAAACTACTGCAAAGTTCTACGTTTCTGGCTTGGCAATTGTATGGAAACCGACCGACAATATTGCTTTGAGGATCATATATATCATCTTCCATGATACAGGCATCATCACACTGGGATGCATACCATAAGTGTATTGAATGATCAATATGAGTAGGTATTAGAGCAGAGGATTAACGCGTCGATCTTTACAGTAAAGCAAAAGAACGCACAAGCAATGCAGGCCGCAAAAGATGCTATCTACTATCGAAGATATAGAGCATGAAAGATGGGAAGACGCATCAATGCAGCTCACATTTGTGAGTGGTACTGTATCAAGCTCCATGGACTTGAAAGTGAAGCCGATATCAAATCACTGTAAACCATGAAGAATCGCGCACTACTGATTGTACTTGAAGACATCTTGTCGATTGAAGCTGTTAATCATCGGGCATCACAAATATGACGACAAGCGAACGAACGAATTAGATTATCCAGCTGATAACGAATGCTAAGCTATAAGAACAATATCCCTATTCGAGCATGCTACGTACGGTGGAACATCATGAAAGATACTTTAAACTGTGTATTAGAACGTGTGCTGTGTTAGTATTTTTTGACGGGAGTTGCACCGAGCAATGTTCCTGAGTCGTTCATACCAGACCAGCCCAAAAAGCTATACTCCCTGTAAAGTACATATTGACATCATGATATCATCAACAAAGTACTCACATTCATAGAACAAAACAACCGCCTTTCGTGCATAAACTTTCGAATTTACGCGATGAACTTGACTGGCGTAATATTGTCATTTCACTTGATATTCATGTAAGATTATTTTGTGTACATCATAAGAATGGAATAAACAACGCTCCGAGAGTTAGCTCAGTATGCACTTACGTCATGTAGATAATGCAAAGACAAGTCACAGTTAAATGTGAAGACTAAAGGCTTCACGGGTGATAATTAACTTGCGTATGTCCAAGTAAACCGTTATGTATAAAAGCACTACTTCAATATATATAGGTATATGAAATACCATTTGAAGAAAAAGAAAAATAATAATACTATTTATTCATAAATATATGCGTTGACAGAGCAGCCTGAAATCAATCAAGCTGCTGCTTGTTTGAAATACAGTGCAACTTAATCATGAGTTACTTGTTATTGCGGTTATCAGTCATAAATTGCATTGATCTTCTACGGTTGTTGCAGCCACACTCCCCGTATACATATCACCCTCTATCCAGTTTTAGAGGATCTGGCTGGTTGTAGAAAGTTTTTTACTGCTTATTTTTAAAAGGATTGACAAGCTGAATCTCTAATCCAGGTCGAATGACCTTCATATCTGACACGATACGGATATCTACTACAGAGCCCTGTCTCACACTTGATGCTTGATACCGATTATGCTCTTGCTGTTCCACCGCCAGTTCACTGTCTTGTTCTGCTGCTGGGGATGGTGATGCGGTTGATGGGTGTGGTGCTGGTGACAATTGTGGCGCAAGCGTTGGTGCAAATGTCAATGATGGAGTATGCCATATCAATTGCATGGTATCAGTAGCTGGATCAAAGCTAACTGTATGGATATCTTTGCAATTGAGTATGTGTATCTCTTTTTCCAAGCCGTATTCCGAGATAAATATTATGAGCGAGTACGGTGGCTGTAGCGATACGATTGTTGCCTGCTGAAGTAGCGATTTCTCCTTTTTATCGAGGCTTTGACGGTAGATATACGCTGCAATATAAAGCGCAACACTATGTTCATATGCTGAATCTCGGGCGAATTCTTTAGCATTGCAATGGCGCGCTAGCTTATCTATCGTATCCATCTCCTTGTTACTACCCTGGCTGTCATCGCTGCTGTTCGTAGTAGTGCTACTACTTCCGTCTTTCTCTACAATTTCCTTAATTGATTTATATCTCGTAACAGAACTGTAAGAGTATCAACAGAAATATATCGTTACTTACCTCTTTTGAGCGCAGCGTGTAATTGTCGCTGCACCACAATGCATGCGTACTTGTGAAGAGGCTCGGCAAACACAGTGTATAGCGATGCAGCATAGCTATGATGTTGATATCGCGCGATATCTACATTCCCGCTACAAAAATACACTGATCTTCCACAATGACGTTGTGTATATTCTTCATTCTTAGAAACGAAAAAAACACGTTTTGTTACTGTTAGTAGCTGATGCTACAACGAGTTGAAGATATAGAAATTGTTTAAAGCTTAAATATGTAGTATACCGTTGATGGAGGTGCTTGCTGGCGACATAGTAAAGCATGCTCTGGCAAACGACTTGTGATCTTTCGACCAACTTCTTGACCGGCAAGAATAACTGCCTCTTTTAACAATACCAGTGGATGGTCATCGTTTTTATGAATACGCGTGATGGATTGAGGATAACCGCTGTCGGCTAAACTAAATTTTTGATACGATATCGCTAGACTGGAACCGCCTTCTTTAAGACGGGTTGTCTGCAAAGCTTTGCATGCATCGAGCATAGCACGAGAAATGTTGTCACTTTCCAAATGGTCGCGGCATCTATACAGTAGTAATCATTCCGCACCCTTTGTGTAAGCTAGTTATAATGTTTTTATGAACTTTTATAGCGCGTTTTAAAGGAAAAAAAAACTTACTTGACGATGGTTTTTCCGATCCAAGAATGGATCAACTTTCCAGACCGCGTCACCCGACAAAGTACAGAAAGCGATGCCCTGTACACATTTCAACATTCCTTGAGTTGTCAATACTATTATCTTCTCTTCTCTTGTAATTGGTATCTACCTTTCTTTTCCAGGTGATAGTTCCGCATGTGTATTAGTAAATGTCGGCGGAAAGATTGGGACCTGCCTTTCCACAAGATCTACAGTGACTGCCCGATCTTTGGCTTCTCGATCCAGCAATGTATTAGGTCGAACGAGACCAGCGAGATCGATTGTATGAACACCTATTTCAAACAAGTCCTCAGCTTCAAAACACTGAACTGTGAAACCATGGTCCGCCAATGTCGTGTGTTCACCTCCGTCACTGTCACTGACGGTAAAAAGAGCCAAGTGGCGCAGATCCAATCGTTTGGAGTGATTGACACTCTCAACGGCGTCTGCGGACTTGTGGACGCCTTTGGTAAATTCGCAACTGTCTTTAAGGTGATGATCGGCCATTAATGCTTGAGAATGGACGCTCAGCTCACCCATATAGCCGATCTCGCGTTCAATGGTGCCAAATGGATGCAGCGATGTCGCTGGCCATCGTTGGATACTCCCCTAATAAGTGCGGCATGATTAATAACAAGTGTCAGGGATTTAAACATAAGGCTGATACTGCTAAACATACGATAAATATTCGGTGTCTGAACTCTTCGTGGTACTTTATGAACCCGTAAGGCGCATGCTTCACAGGAACTGCAACCAATGGTAGACGCTTGTCTGCTGGAACAAACCATATAATAGATGGTTTTTGCTGCTGCTGCTGTTGCTGTAGAGGTGCGATTGGTGGTTGTTGAAAAAAGGCGGGATGAGTCATTGAAGCAGCCGTACTACTGGGTCTGTCTAGTGACAGTGTACTAAAAATAAAATAAAAAAGCTGTTGTTAATAGAATAAATGTAGTAGTAATGGTGGTGTAAAGAGAGTCCTTGAATAAGAACGAGGCAGGGAACAGACAGTGTCACTTTACACTTATTACCCTGAGAACAGCATCCGTTTTGGTCGTTCGAGAATGGACACCACCTTACCACAATATGCAGGACGACGCATAACATCATTCGTAGTGCTGGAAACACTGGGAGCCACACTTTCTTCAGGAATAGAGTGCAACGTGGCTGCAGCAAGAGACGAGCGTCGACGCGCTTGCTTTTTAGATGCCTTTTCAGCCAGCATGTTCTCCACATCGACCAATTCAACTGCAACGTGGTCCCCGTCCAGTGCACGGTTGCGGTTACGCGAGCCGTAGATGTAGATGTCGCTACCCAGTTCTTCGCAAGCGACAAAGGCATCCGAGCTGTCCTGGAGGTCCACAGACAGCATGCCCGAGAAAAGCTGTCGCGTTTGAATCAGGTGGATGGCATCAGGCACAGGAATATGCGTGGGATAAAGTGCACGACGCGTTGTTGTTGCAGCGACGTTGCTATAATTGTTTGTTAAAGAGGATGGTGATGCTGATGCCTTGTCGTGATCGAAATGACCGGGCACTTTGCAAGTTCGGAGTATCAGTTACCCCAGTTAACAATAGCATGAGTGATAGATGGTATTGTTATTGTCAATCGACATTATGCAGAATGAGGAAGGGGTAGTACCGAAAAAAAAAGGTTTTGCGGGGAAGAAATACTCACAGGACTGACTTCTCACCCGTTTCGGCATGCTCAAGTGACCTCGTTCGTGTTTTATTTGTTCTTTTGCCGCTTCTTCTGCAGCAGCAGCAGCAGGACCGATGGGAAAGTTGAACTCTGGCGGCGGAACTGCTAGCGGATGGAAAACATTACTAGTGGCAGCAGCAGCAGCAGCAGAAGTAGTAGTCGGTTCAACGCGTTGATTAAATGGTTCCGAGTGACGTCTGCTCCTACGGGACCATTCAGTGCTGCTGCTAGCGATGGGCAGCCGCCGCATTTCAGCAATAATATCGTGCACGGATTGGAGCGCAGGCGACTCGTCATCTTGCTCGTCCTTCTTCTTCCCAGAGGATCGCCGACTACCTCGTCGACCGCGATGGTGGTGATGATGACTCTGCTGCTTGCTTTCCTTTGACTGGTGGGCTTGGTCGTTCTGTATGAAAAGAAGATGTCATTATTAGTAAACAACCAGCCGCTCTTCTCTTGGGATGGGAACACACACAGTGTCTTGGGCTGCAGCAGCAGCAGCAGTTGTAGCCGTTAATGTTGCCATAGCAAGAATAGTAATGGAAAGAAAGAGAAAAGTGGGGAGCGTGTGTCTTTTTCTTTCTTTACTCTTTTTGTTTTCTGATGATGGGTGTGAGTGTGAGCGTGAGTGTATATGGAATACATGCATGGTTACACACACACACACACACACACACACACACGGCTCCAGAAAAGCTCCTCACCTCATCATGTTGTATTCCCTTGCCTCACCCCGCACCCATTCCAATTGCATGAAATTGCTGTCATTTTATCTTTGGGGTTGCTGTTGACAGGGGTTTTCCACTCCACCACACTTCTTTTTCAGATTCAATCTGTAGGTTTTAACGGCTTGTTCTGATCCACAACAACAGCAACAGCACCTCTACGATGAAACGGGTCAACATTTACACAGACAAATCCTCAGGTAAATCACTTTTAAACAACACAATTGGCTTCCTCGGCTAAAGAAAATGCGGAAACGAAAAGATTCGGATGCCAAAGCCAAGCTACTGGCACGGGGTATTCAGCGATGTGGCACTGCTCTCGAAGTCGAGATTATGGATGTGGCCAAGACACCCAAAGGTGAGCAAGCAAAAGAGGGTCTACTTTGCAATGTTTGCCATATAGGCGTGCGAGAGAACGAGAGCTAACGTGAAAGCGAATTGCTGTGTAGATGCCGGTTTGTCCGATTTCACAAGTCAGACATCGGAAGTGGACAATGAGCCCTTGCTGAATGCCGACGCTCTATTGTTCCCGACAACGCATGTATACTTTTTGCCTTTGGAGAACGAAAGAATATGGTTAGTAACAAAGGGCTTGATTGTTGTTCCTGTAGTGGCACGCTCTCGGTATTTGAGAAGCACTTTTTAAACAATTGGGACGAGGGCCCTTTGCGCGGTAAAAAATACGGCGTGCTTATGGCGAACAAGACGACGTTCGACGGACCCAGTGCCACGGAAGGACATACGCTTGACAACAAGTGAGTTGCTCGTTGTCGCTTATCCTTTGTTATTAGTTCTCATCATTGACATTTTCCCGTGGTTTTGCAGGCTGATCGAGCGTCTCGCGCAGCAAGGGCTATCCCATTTCCCTGTTGTCGTTGAGCGCACGGAGGACGACCAAGAGATCGAAACGGCAGGCGAGCGCTTCATCAAGTCAGTTTTTCCATAAACAACAATAAAAGACAGATGATTTGCGATGGTAATGCAATGCCGAATTGTGGAGGAAAATCATCGGAACAGCACACGTGAAAAGCCGATAACATTTCACGTGTCGCCCACTCCGAGGAAGGGTTGAACTTGTAAAAAAAAAAGTGTGTATGCGTAGAGTTAAAGCAGTTGAGAGATCAAAAAGTGGTGCCCCCCTTCTCTGCCTTCTTCCTCTACTTTCTTTCTTTCATACTTTTCGCTCTTTATAAACTATCCTCCATGGATCCACCAGCACCACGAACAGCAACGACGACGTCGCCTTATACTGCGCAGAATATCATTGCTGGCAGCAATAACAGTATCACCACTGCTACCGGTATCGTACAAAACATCAGCGAATCACCGTTAATACCTGAGCAGCAGCAGCAGCAGCAGCAGCAAGAACAGCAGGACAGCAGCAATGTCAATCATGACGACGAACAGGGCAGCACAGCAAAAACGCCACGGACAGCCAACCAAAGCCGACGCAGCCGCAAAGCACCCCACGAACTGCTAACAGAAGCCGAGAAGAAAGCCAACCACATTGCATCCGAGCAAAAGCGACGTCAAAATATCAGGCTCGGTTTCGACCAATTGATCGAAATTGTTCCTTCGTTAAACCACGGCAATCGGAGCGAGGCGCTCATCTTGCAAAAATGTTAGGAACAACCTGCTTTTGTTAGCTATCAGAGGAGAGAAACGTAAAACACATCTTCTAATAAGCGAAACCCTAAAATACTATTGTGACCATGCGATTATAGCTATTGATCACATACGCAGCTTAGTATCTGTCAAGAACGATCTCAAGAGCCAGGTGCGCGATCTGGAAATGTTGCTAGGTCACCCGTGAGTTTGGGCTTGGGCTTGGGTTTTCCTTTTTCCTAGTTTTCCAAAAGGAGAAGGCTTTTGTTACTAACTGCGTCGTACTCTTGTGTAGCATATACGACGATGACTTGAGTGATTAGTAAAAGATAACGTTCCATCTATTCTTCAACGAGTGGCAGTTTGCCAGCCTTTTGATATTTGATAAACAACAACAACAACAACATAACGCACACATCTTCACATCAACAAAAACAAGTGCAACATACCCCCCCCGGTCCTCTTTTTCTAACCTTTCTCGCCCGTCTTGGCCCCAGCAACAATTTCAGACTCTAATAAAACAGATGGTCTTTCTGCATGAATGAAAACTATGCAGAGACATAGACGAGAAGGGTGAAAATAGCTTAAACAAGTGAGGGTCACCGGGTGACTGAGAGCTCTATATTAGTTGCCTTTTTCCACCGCTGCTGCTACTGCTGCTGATAAGTGTTGTATTTATAGCGGCGATAGCGTATCACACAATGCACACAGCAGAGATAGAGGAGAGGATTGCATTTGTCCAAGGTCACGCACACACAAGACGTATGAAAGGCACATACAGTAATAGTGTGTATGAACATGGAGAATTTGTTCGAAAAAGATACATACTCAGCCTAGTGACACGGTGACACAACCGGGAAGCAAAAATAAAGGAAAAGCGCCCTTCGCCTTGGTTGTTTGAAATAAAAGTTTTTATTTTGTAAATTACATGTTGTTTTTGCTGCAGTAGAACGTACAGTGGTGCTATACAAGATGGAGGGGTGGCTATGCGTATATGTATTATTAAAGGGCAAATTATGCATTGGGGGAAGAAACGAATGAAAACCAAAGAAACAAAACAAAAAATGAGTGAATAAAATACAAAAATAAAAAAAAATGTACAAGGGAAAAAAAAGTTTTCCTGGCTCGTTTCACGGCTCGGCAACGGCTGGATAGTACGACAAGAAGCGCCGGTTGCGATACTGAATGTATTTTGAAAACGTGCTTTTCCGCGTCCCAACAAAGAATGAGCCGTGCGACGCCACTTCCGCATCAATCAGTGGCAGCAGGAGTGGGCCGTAGTGGTCGTTCTGCTCACGCGCAGGCGTGCTTGCACCGGCCACCGTGTCCTGGATCACATCGGGAAAGTCGGGCAAAGTGAACATGCAGACAAACTCCTCAAACAGCTCGGGCAAGGTGTGTCGGGGCTGTGCGGTGTCGGTCGCCATAAAGATCAGCCGCAATCGTGGATGGAGCATGTCGCGCTGGTGTTGGATTGCCGTGCATTCGTTGAGCAGGTTGGCTGTCTGGCCTTCGTGCGCGAGTGCTTGCAGGCGTGCCATGATTGCATACTCTTGCTCGTGATGCAGACGATGCTGCGTGCTGTAGCGCTCGAGTGTCTGTCGCACCTTGTCCATTGTACGCGCCATGGTGACCTTGAACACGCCGTCGCCCGTTCGCAAGTGCACGCTGACAAAGTTGCCAGGCCCGCCGAGCCGTCCAACGACATTGAGCGTCTGGTGGATCACTGTAGGATTGCCAAAGCCGAGCTCGCCAGACAAGTGTTCTCGCAGCCAGTAAAGATCATTGCGCACATCCAAAACAAGGCGAGGCGTGCCAAACAATGAGCCAAACTCAATCAGCTGTTCAGGGCGTGCTTCGAGCTCCTGCAGGTTGATGCGGTATTTGAACTGGTTCAATGGGTCAGTGCTGTTGACATTGTCGTAGATGCGATACGAGAACCGCTTGTGGTCGGAAACGTGATAGATCTCGTCGTCGTGGATGCCGAGCCGCTCGCTGAGATACGACGTGTGCATGCTGTCGCGCTCAATGTAGCGGATGCCGAGACGATTGAGTACGCTCAGATCAAACACGCTCGAGACGGGCACGGGGATGTACTTGCGGTAATCGGCGCACAGGCCCTTGCGTTCAGACAGTGGGAGTTCCGGGCAGTCGCTCAGCTTCTGCGCCAGCAGTGGCGACTCCCACCAGTAGACGCCCTTACCAAGGTTGATCTGTGGCAGAATAAGGGTGCGATCGAGGGCTTTGGCGAGCACCATTGCGTTCAGCAGGCCGAGACGTTGGTTGTGCAGTCCAGAGTGTGGATAGAATGTAATGTATTTCTCGTTGGTGTTGCTGTTGTTGTCAGGAAAAAAGAGCAATGGCCGCCGCCGTGGCTCCCAGATGTGTTGAGCGTTGGTTAAGCGCTCTCGTGACAGATAGGCCAGTGTCAGCAGGAATGAGATGGCTGCTAAGCCGGCGGACAACATGAGCTTATACGAACGCATTATTGTGTCCTTTTACTATGTGCGTGTGTGTGTATGTGTGTGTGTATGTGTAAGCGAAGAAGTAGAAGAAAGAAGAACAGGAAGACGACTTGCTGAAAGAAAGTAGAAAAGGACGAGAAGAAAATGCGAGGCAAAAAGGATAAGTTTGTCTTTTTATATATAGCCTTAGCCCTTGGAGAGAGAGAGAGAGAGAGAGAGAGAGAGAGGGTTTATTTTAAGAACCACGACTGCCACACCAACAACAACAACAACAACTTTAGAGTTGGTCAAGTGGGCGACTCCAAACTCGGCGTTTAACGAAAACAGTGTGCTATGAAAAGATATTCCTTTTTAAGCCTTGTCCCGCCCTGGCGAAGGTGTCGCCATCAACTGCGTCTCGAGTTCCACCAGCTGGGCTTTGTCGCCTTCTTTAGTAACAGTAGTAGTAGCAGCAGCAGCACCACCGCCACCATCATCGTCACCAGCACTAATACTGCTCTCCTGCTCCGTCGTATGTGGCTGTGCCACCTCTGGCGTGGGTGACGCTTGTTGTTGTTGTTGTTGTTGTTGTTTTTGTACTTGATCCTCTTGCTGCTGCTGCTGCTCCGACGACGACGACTGCGGTGTTGATGGATCTTGCGATTGTTGTGTCTGTGCTTGCTGTGCCTGTGCCTGTGCTTGTGCTTGTGCCTGCTGCTGCTGCTGCTGCTGCTGTTGGTGCTGAGTAGCGGCTGCCATGACTGCAGCAGTAAATGCACTACTACTACCTGCAGGTAAATGGCCCATGCCCAGCTTTGCGTTCAATTCCTCAACCTCCTTCATCAAGCGATAGCTTTCGGACGAATTCTGCATAGCACCACCCAATGCCAGTTTAGCGTTCAATTCGTTCACCTGTTTGTGCAGTCGTGCGTTCTCATCCTCGAGACTTTTTATCTTGTCCTCCATGTCCTGGATATACTGCTTTTTCTTCTTGCGACATTCTTTGGCTGCCATGCGATTCCGTAACAGACGTCGCTGTCGTCGTTCGTCGTTGCTCATGTTGCGTGTCGCCGGATTACGTTGCTTGTTGCTGTTATCTGCATCGTCAATCGGACTCTCGCTTGCGCCTGAATTAGTTCCACCACCCACAGTACCAGCTACAGCAGCAGCACTACTACTACCACCAGCGGTATTAGACGCATTAGCACCACCAACACCAGCGTCAGAGGGTTGTGGCATTGGTGTTGGCTGTGGTATCTGCGGCGGGCCTGGAAGTGCAGTGATTACATTCCCACCCTGAAGATGCTGTAATAAATTTAGACCGGGAACGGCAATTGGTGAAACCATCGCTTGGGCCAAGGACGACGCCGTAAGGTTTGCGAGATCTTGTCCGCTTGCCTGTGCATATGTCTGGAGGAACTGCTGCTGTTGCTCGGTGATAAACAGCGGTTGCGACTGCCCTTGTGTTCCTGTTGGCATTGAGAGCATGCCGTTGGTGGAGGCGGCTGCCGCGGCCGCTGCTGCCGCTGCTGCTGCTGCAACGGCTGCTGCCTCAACGGCCTCTGAATTGGGTGTCTGGTCGTCAGGATTGCCCTTGAGCTGTATTATGGGCTTGCCGTTGATTGTTGTGGTGGTTGGTGGTGATTGTGCAACAGGTGATGAAGATGATGGAGTAGCTGTTGCTGTCGTGGTGGCGGTAGTAGTAGTAGTAGCTGTTGTTGTAGGTGCAGGTACAGATGTGATGCCGGGAGCAGTGGTACTAGTACTAGTAGTAGTAGTAGTAGCAGCGGCTGTTGAAGAAATAGCAGTAGATGGGGCGGATATGGGGATTATCGGTACAGAGGTCGTTGCGGTGGGTGCATTATTGTTTCCGTTGTTGGTCGTGGTGGCGGGTGATGCTGTTGCTGTGTTACCATTGTTGCTATTATTTATGTTATTGTCGTTATTGTTGGTAGTGGTAGCAGTAACAGCAGCGGCGTCTGTATTGCCGTTGCAGCTGTTATCAACTGATGGTTTTGCAGTGGAATCCGTTGTTGCAGCTTCGACATTGGGTTCAAATTTGACCTGCACTAAATCCAGAGCAGGGTCATTCTGGCCCATGGAATCGCATGTTTTGCGTGTCTTAACTTCCTTGGCATCGTCAGGCTGCTCAGAAGCTTGTCGCTTGGAGGATATGTGTGACTCGTTTTCGGGAACTGTTTGCGGCGCGTGCACCTCTAGTGGGTTGTTGGGAACAGTGACTGTATCGGCAGCGTCGGTCATTCTTCGTTGTGTAGTCTTGTGTGTGTGTGTGTGTGGTATAAAAATATGTACAAGGAATAAAGGGTTCTTCTTCTCCTTCAAGTCCGAGAAGTCAAAGATAAAAGCAATGGAAAAACGCGCGCCTTTTGGATTTCCAAGAGTGAGACACGTCTGGAGTATTTCTTTCTGTTACTTTCTTTTTTAAAAAATACGACTTAGACTACGTGTTCTTTCTTTTCCCGAGGCTTAGGCCATAGAGCAAACGATACAAAACGATAATTCATGCGTGCACATACAGTATGAAAAGGGGTAGAGGTGCCCTTCTTGTAGGATCGTCGGTGATTCGATTTTCGTCTTTTTGATGCCGCGTGTGGGATATTTCGCGAGCCCTTTTTGATGACGATACAAAGTGTCGACGTCGACAAGGCGAAAGGTATGACGGAAGAAAAAGAGGTGATGACGCTGAACTTGATGACGAAGGCAAAAAATTTCCAGAGATAATCTAGTGGACGGTATTTCAAATATTTTGGACCAATCACAGCCCTTGGCGGAACCTTCCTCTTTCTGCCTGGCCGTCTGTCTATACGGTCACGATGGGTCTTCTTTTTCCACACACACACTCTCTGTCACCTCTTCCCGCTGCTTTTCTTCTTTTCCATTCTGACCATTGCTTCTCCTGCTCCCCTGGACACCTGTGTGCTCCTTTGGATAATGCATCTGATCTATGCTCTGTATAATGGAGAACGCCCTGCTAAGTATAAAATCTTGAGGTCCACCAAAGTCCACCTGGGTCCACCATTTTTTGAAATCCCGATAGCAGGACCACAGTGATATCCAGCGATATCATTGGTTATACCGAATGATATCTGCGAATATCAATTGTTGGGGACCGTTTTTATAAGTAGAGCCGTGGACCTGCTTGTTATTAATAAAAGAAGAGCTTGGTATCTTTAGAATTATTACAGAAAACCTTCAAAATGCTTTAAATGAACCGGGCATTGATTCCATGTATTTAAGGAAAGGTTAATGTCATCCGAGATTGCAGAATAAGTTTTTTAAATCGTGCTGTTCTTAATGAATGAGCTGCTCTAGGTCGTGTAATTTGTATCATGCTAGCTACATACAGCAACTGTACCACTCAAAGAGCCTACATTTTAGTGATCTCTCCAATACTTTCAATGTTAGATGACAGTGATATGGATGCCATGGTGTTAGCAAAACTATTACACTCTAACATACACGTAGATCCAACATCAGTGTCTACACTTCAGACTAACCCTATCTTTCTTCTGTCTCGTCAGGTACCTTGTTGATAGCTTTCAAAAAGCATTGGTATAGATGGCACATTGATTCAGTGGATTGAACGGTATACGCTATTCTATCTATGCTTGAGATATTAACAATGTTTTCTCTCCTTTCCTGTACTTTGAACATGTAACAGACACTAGGTAGAAATAGTTAGTGTTGTGTAGGAACATGTCATATCTTGTTCCTTTCTTTGCCTGACTGATGAATAACAGCAACTTATTGCTGCCATTGCAACGATTATAAAACCACTTTGTAATCGCTATCGACCGATGAACTAACTATAAGCAGTTCTAATGACTATCCTTCCTTGATAACTGCTCAAGATTTATGTATTCACAATGCATTTTGACAGCGGAAGGTGCGAAAAACCAGCGCAACATCTGCAGCAGTACGAACATTTTTGGAGAGAAAAACTAATCTACATCGCCTTCATTTAAACAACATATTTCTGTTCCCAGTAATACATTATCGCCATGCTGCTAACCATGTATCGTTCGTAATATACACAGTCGTCTCGAGTGTCCATTATTAAATTACTAATATTAGAGCCATATCCAGTACTGCGTGTATATATATAATCTAATTCCTACATCTTAAGCTCTGCATCAAGTGCAACTAATTTATCAAATGCATTTCATCATGCTTCAGAAAACGTACTATTATAAGCATTCCCTATTCGAAACCATTGACAATCATTTTTAGGACAGGCCTCGTGAGCCCACAAAACAAAAGTTATATATTCTTTGAAAAAAAAGGGCCAAACAAGGCCACGAAACAAGCAAAAGTTAAAAAGAAAAAAAAAGCGAGGCAAAAACCATCATGGCCAACAGACCACAACATGAAAGTAATACAATAAAAAAAATATGGCCAAGCAAGGCCAATGTTAGAAAGTTGAAATAAAAGCGTGTCAAAGGGAAAGCTAGCGAGTGAAAAAAAGAACAAGATGGTGAAATGAATATACAAAAAGTTTAAAGTGTATCAAAAAAACATAAGTCTTTCGATAGTGAATCTAATGAGGTAATGCCGACAGCGAGATAGTGTCTATGTATAGTGTCCAACGCTTCTGGTACTCTTTCTTGCATTCCTTTTCTTTCGATATAATCTTGAACTTTCCGAATAATCGCTCGTCTTCTACGAAACCATTTGCCGTCTGAATCACTTTTTCGCCATGCAGTTTTGTACACTTCTTCCATTCTAATCACAGACATGCCGCCATTCCAACCGTCAAACCATTCAGTCCATAATTGTGGGATTGTTTGGACGTTTGTGCGGTTCATGGATGGATATATGGGCTGTTGTTGTTGGGGGTGATGATGATGGTGATGAGTTGGTGCTGATGCTGCTGACGATGATGATGACGATGTTGGTGCTGGTGCTGCTGACGACGACGACGAAGATGATGATGGCGCTGGTGCTGCTGATGGCAGTACCACAGTTGCTGTCATGGTGGATGGGAGGGAGGAGGACGAGGACGGGAGCGAAACCGAGCCCCAACCTTCCTGCTGCTGTTGTTGTTGCTGATCTTGTTGTTGTTGCTGCTGCTGACCTGCCAAATTGAGCGTGACGCTCAAGGACGCTTGTCCGCTGGCGATGCGGTCCCAATGCTGTACAATATCTCCTATACGACTCATGTTTGGTGCAAGCTGCGCAAGTGCTTCCAGAGTGGGTATGGCGTTAGAGAAAGATTGTACAATGCGATTGGTGTCTTGTTGCTGAGCAGCGATTTGTTGTTGTATTTGTTGTTGCAAGATGGCAAGTCTATTTTCAATGATCGGCACGGCACGTTGAAGTAACAGATCAGTGGGCTCTTCGTTGTTTTCAAGTGCATGATTCAAGTTACTATTTTAAAAGGATAATTAGTATATAAACGAAAGACTGTAGTCCACCAGCACATACCGTTCAAATTCAAGATACAAAGGATCACGGAACAAAGGATCTTGCCACAAATGATGACCTGGACAGCGCTTTTTCATCAAAACCGAATCTTGCAAAAATACAACACGCAACTGCACAAGAAGACGCAAAAACGAATCAGCCGCGCACGAGTCCTCCACTTGTTTGGCTTCCAGCAGCGCCCGCCACCGATCGACTTCAGGAAAAACCTTCTTGCAAAGCTCAAGGGGTGGTGTAACAGCAGCACGAGGTAAGTAGAATTGGCCAGCCTCTCTAGTGAATCCTGCCATGGTCCGCAAGATATCACGAGGCAAATTGGTTAGATAACTGGTCGATAAAGCAGAATTATTCCAACGACCTAATCGCCGGATAGACTCTTCGCTCGTTCCAGATATCTCTGCCATGCGTGCTGACGAACCCCTCATAGCGTGAGTGACCGCTTTACTGTGAATGCCGACTGACTTGAATGCTTCTAAAATACACTCGCGATGACGATCATACGTAATGGACTGCGTGTTGCGATCTCTGCCTCTGATGAGCTTGATGTCGAACCAATCTCGATTGCTTTGGAAACAAGGGAATGCCTCACCAGCAACGTGCCACCGATGAAAGAGATAAAAGGAAAGCATCATCAAAGGACAGATAACAACATTGGCGTTACGCATCGCAGCAGCAAACTCCACACGGCCCTCTTGGTTTGTTTTTCCTTGCTTAAGCACCATCACCAACGCATGACATTCAGTGACACCCTCGCGCTCAAGAAGTAACGTTTGTAGATCGGCAAGTTCCATCATACGAACGCTTTCGCCCCGTAGAAGTCCATAGTGTTGCAGAAGAAAAGCAGTGCAGTTTCGCAGTCCTTGTTGCTTGTTGGTGGCCAGAAAATGATCTACAATACGCTCCATCTCAGCTGATGTCGAATATCCATCTGCTGTCGTACGCATGCCTCTGTCTTCGTAGTTTTGTCGACTAAGCTCGTTTTCCACACGTTTCAAATGATCAACCAGTGCATGAACAAGCGGGCCACGCGGATGCGGACGATTGAAGCAAGGGTCTGTTTCGGCTTGTTCAAAATGGAGATCGACAATGGAAGTAATGTATTGTTTAACGGTAGCAAGCTTGACTTTGGGGGCGGGGGCATCAGGCGCAACAGGTTGCTCAACGGTATAACCCGGAGCATCGCGTACAGGTAGAGCAGCAGATGATGACGACGACGATGATGGCAAGATGGTGGTGACGGGCGAGAGAACAGCAGCAGACGAGGATGATGGCATGACGGCGGTGGCGGGCGAGAGAACAGCAGCAGACGAGGATGATGGCATGACGGCGGTGGCGGGCGAGAGAACAGCAGCAGACGAGGATGATGGCATGATGGCGGTGGCGGGCGAGAGAACAACAGCAGCAGGCGAGGATGATGGCATGGTGGTGGTGATGGTACGCATGGCAGGAGCGGGTGACGAGGCGGGCGACAGCACAGAATTCTCTGGCTCTTTTCTCTTTCTCCCAGGTTTACGCTTCTCTCTGAAGACGACCTAAAAAGAACACAATTGTAAGACATGCGTACATATATAGATTGCGAACAGATATGTTGCTAACCTCTTCCACAAGAAAAAGATGAAGCTTTCTGTCGTCGATCAACTGGTTAGTGTGATCATTTGGACAGCGTCTTCGGCACCACTCGAGAAATTCTTCCTGCCTGGGAGAATACGATCTAACTGTATTCTGCGGACGGCTTCCTCGTGCTTGTTCGTATGTAGCTCGAGCAGCAGATTCAGCAGCAGCTTGATACTCTATTTGCGAGCTCATGAAAGAAGTATACTGTGGTAGAGGGGGAGGGACAGGGAGAGAAAGAGGACGTGGTGAGGCACCATTACTCGCCACCACACGGCCCGGGCGATTAGCCAAACGGGCGGTGCTTCTCCTAGCGGGAGTAACAGTGCTACCACGACCTCTGCTCATGTTGTTAAGATAGTGAACGATTTAATGAGGAATGGAAATGAGATGAAGGAAACGGAATCTGACAGATGTGCCTGACAAAAGAAAAGTGGCGAAGCTTCGAAAATTCTTTTTTTTTCCTGGATATCAAGATTGGGTCCCCGCTATGCTGTGGACCTGAGTCCGGACCCGCACTAAACACAAAATGATATTGCCAAAATAGCATTGAGAAAGAATGGTTGTCTGAAAATAGCAACGGATGCTTTGTGATACATACAAACGCCAAATCCAAATTCGCTGGTCAGCTTTCCTGGTCTCATCTCTAGAAGAGAAGTCAGTAGGTAGTACATAGTGTGTACAGCATTCTCCCCTCTTTTCTTTCAGGGAGCATTATACATACTAAGTATGCTCTTCGTACTCTGTTTCTTGGCTGCACCAGAGAGACATGTTTATCACTTTTTTTGATTCTGTGCGTGCCATGTTACATACATGACTATAAGGAATCGTGTATCAGGATTCGTCAAGCAGGCGATCAACATTATTATCAGTGCGCCATGCGTATAGTTTCTACATAGCGTTCTTATATCAGTTATCCATAAAGAAGGGGAACAATAAAGGCAAGAGTTGAACACTTCCCCTATAATCCCATTACGACACGACGACCTCCTGCGATCCATCCTCGTCCTTTTTTTTCTTCCTTCTCTTCCACTATGTCTCCTTTTTTGCGTCTTTCTTTTTTGCTTTTTTACTTGTTAGACTCAATACATACACAAAAAGATCATGGCTGACAGTGGCACCCAATCAGCCCGTGGATCCCATCACGCTTCTCCAACGCCGTCTGCTGCTGCTCATCACAACAACAGCATTGATAACAAGCATCTTACTAGCCATCCACATGCCAAGGCACCCACAGCAACAGCAGCAGCACCCGCCGTAGCTGCTACGTCCAAAGCGACAATACCTAACATGCCCAGTATGTCCAATATTTTTATTCTCCCGTCCAACGTACCCGTCATCAACGATCCGTACTTTGGCAGGCCTAGTCCAGCCACCTTGAACAACACGCCGACCAGCACTGCTACGCCTCCAGCTCCTGTCGCGACCTCGACCGATGACGCAACAGCCTCGCCGCAGATCGAAGAAAGGTCAATTGCTGGGCCGTTGGCTGGTGCATTGCTGGGTAGCGCTGGTCTTGTTGCTGTGATAATCGGTGTGCTGATTTATATCAAAAGAAGGAAAAGGAGGCAATACGATAACATGTCATTTAACCACTGCAATGGTGATGGTAGCAGTCGTGCTGCAGCATTATTATGTCAGCAACAACAACAACAACAAAGAAACCATTATCACTTTAAACGCGAAGAGAGCACGCGCAGTGACAACACGCAAGCGACGTTGCAGCCACCGCCGGCATACACGCCACACTCGCAGAAGCGACTGACTGCAGAGACGCTTGTGGATCAGCGAGCTTCCATGTCGACGATGAACTCAAACTATAGCAGTAGAAGCCATCAATACGCACCACAGCTAGCGTATAAACAACAACAAGAAGGGACAGGATGTGGGCATGTTGACTGGGATCAAATGTCTCCGAGCAACACTTTAATTGATGCAGCAGCAGTTACCATGGCAACGACCCATGCCGACGACGAAAAGGCCGAAAGCCGTCGTCAGCGCGTGCCTAGTTACCAACCCCAGGTTGTAGTAATGACCGAGCCTGCGGACCACGCCACTACGGGCCTGAATCTAAACAATAACGAAACCACGAGCTACTATGATTATTTGTACCAACACACCAACAACTACCATCACAACAATAAAAAAGAAGAGCATTAAGAGCAGTGACTGCAGCAGTAGTAACAAGAGGACGATCACCATCATCAATCGGCATAAAAGCCATTATTTCAATATTAGTCTAACCATATAATTCGACATGATATACACCAGTTTTTATGCATTTGCAAGTGTCTTTGTCATTCTTATGATTCTTTATTTTTGATGGCCCGGACGAATCGGAACGCATGCCCCATTTTCTGTGACACATAATCAGTGAGGTGGTGGTTTTGATAGAGGAAGGGTCGTTGGTTGGTTGTTGTTATTGTTGTTGTCGACGCCGCCGTCTTTCTTTTTGTTCTGTTGTTGATGAGTCATTGCCTTATACTTATAATTATAAATATAGGCGCGTGGTACAGTAATAGTTTCCTTCTCATTACCTCTTCCTCGGGATCACAGGTGGCGTAGAAGGAGAAATGTAAGTTTATTTGTGTACGGCTAATAAAAAGCGTGTGTGTGTGTGTGTGTGCCTGGATGGTTCGCCCATTAAAATTGTGTCTCTGTCTCTGACAGAAACATTCGGAATCTAGAACAAGCAAAAATGCTATTATTTGATAATGGGACCCAATACGTACCTATGCCACACACTAGACAACGACATAAACGATATAAACAAACCTAAAAAACATAAACATCTCGAAGCTTTTATTTGCTCATGTGAAATTCAGGGCCCATAAGGTGGCGTGAGTTGAGATAAAAGTCATTACTTTTATTAGTATCGTTCTTTCATTTCTGCCCTTTGTTTGGGATTTTACGTGTTGTTATGGCCTGAGCACTTGAGTTTAAAAAAATGAGGTGAGTGCTGGCCGGCCAATCAGCTTGCATGACAAATTGTGGCCTGTTTCTTCCAAACAACCCCCATCCCTGGGAAACTATAATAGGGCCCTTCTATCTCGCTTTCCCCATGGGAGATCTCTTTTTTTTTCTTCTTCTGTAACCAACTATGTCGTCTGAACTAGACTTTGAAACGTATCTCGGGATGCGTACCAACGATGACCATCACAATCACCGCAACAATAGCACTAGTCCACTGTCCTTCACATCACCACAGCTATCACTGGGCTCGCTAGATCAATCCGCCTGTTCCGGTCCTGCCGTTTCTTCATCTGATTTCTCCTTAGATGATTTAGAACACATGTTTGACTGGGGAGATTTATCACAGCAACAACAACAACAACAACAACAACAACAACAACAACAACAACAACAACAACAGCAATTGCAGCAGCAGCAGCAACAGCAACGCCAACAACAGGGCTCGCCTGCATCCAGTAGCGATCCGATCTTTCTATCCGATTTTTCCCCCTCGTCTTCCGGCACATTGTCACCGCCTACCGACTTATTACACCATCATCAACCCGAAGAACTCTCATCTGCTGGACAGAGCATTCAGGCCGAAGCACGCAAGGCATTTGTCGGTGGTTTCTTTCCAGCATTCAACGAATCGCCATGTTTTGTCGAGACTTATTCCCTCGGGGGTCCGATGCCGGGCATCGCTATCCCCGCCACTCCCGTGCCTGAAGGACCTACCACACTATCTCCATCCTCCTCCTCTGGATCTTCAGCAACGCATGCTTCATGGCCAGTCTTAGACCAATGGTATCGTGCTGCTGCTCCTACCACCGCTACCGCCACTACTACCACAGCAACCGCACCACCACATGAAACCACATTGACAAACGACACACGACCGATTAAAGGTACAGCAAAAATTTCTCTCTTTCACAAAATTCTAGAACCAACCAAAAGAAAAATAAGCTCTTTTTAATGAGACATAAATTTAACGTAAAACTCTATATATCAGACGAACCCAAGAACTGGCGCAAACGTACAAGCAGTAGCACTAATGCCGACCTGAATGAACACTTGTGGCGACTTGAGCCGAACCACCAGATCAAAAAAGTCGCGCACAACGCCATCGAGCGACGCTATCGCAACAATATTAACGACCGCATTCAAGATCTCAAAAACGTCGTTCCCGCACTCTACCGAGCGAAAATCAGAGAAAAGTCGGGTCAACACGACGACGACGAGAGCGACGAAGACAACGGCGAGCAAGAAGTAGTCGATGGTGTCGAAGTCGCTAAGAAGCTCAACAAGGCCACAATCTTACGAAAAGCCACCGAGTACATCATGTTCTTACGCCAAAACAACGAGCTAGCCGATCGCGAAAACCAGATTTTGCAGCATATCATTTCACAGATGCCCGGCGGCCAACAAGTCTTGGCCCAATTCCTCTCGGAAAAGCGTCAGTTCCTGCAAGCTGAAGAAGAACGAGTGGCTCGTGAGCGAAAGGAAGCGCATGCACTTGAACAGGTCCAGCGTCAGGAACTGTTACGCGAACGTGCAGCTCAGCGTGCAGCACTGGCTCAATTGATGCCCAAGCGTGAACGCCGACCTTATCGCCGTCGAAAGAAACAGGATACTGGCAGCACCAAGAAATCTACAGCAGCAGCACAGTGTGCAGCGGCTTCCGACCAAGACAACAGCAGTCGCATGTTCATGGCCATGTACATGTGTGTTGCATTTTTCTCTACTTCACCCTTTGGCAATTCGGCGACAACTAGTCCTGCCAACTCGATACCCCATCACCATGCTTCGCGTGTGGCATTCCAAAACACAACCATGTCATCAAGTAATCTGGATAACATGCCTTCGCCTTCTTCAACTTGGGATGCTTGGTAAGTAATTTTTTATTTTATGAATCAGCCCACTTTTTTTTCTCGAATCGGAAGCTCATTCGTTTCATTTTGGCCGCTACTACCTTCTATTGAACAGGTTCTGGATCAAGATGATGCTTTACGTTGTCGGTATCTTCTACTTTGTGGTCATTCCATTGATTAACAAAGTGCTCCAGCCTCGCCCTGTCATCAAGAACAACAAATCAAGCGATTGCCTCGGACACCATCACTATGCCACTGAAGTCTCGTCATCATGGCATCAATTATACGAAGCCTTAATTTCCCTGGTGCCTTCGCCAACTTTTGCTCAGCCTAGCCAGCTTCTGTATGGTATTGCGTCCGACTTGGTGGTGTTTGTCCCGTTCAGCCGTCCATTTATCAAGTTATTCAGTGGATCGCACGTTGGATCTGTTGAGCTTGCCAATGCAGGTGCCTGGGTCCGCCTGAGCGAGCTGCAATGTCTTGGAGGTAGTTATTATTATAATCCTGCTTTCTGCTTTTTTGTTACCTTTATTCTCTCAATTTGTTTATTGAAGCCGAATATTCTTCTTTTCAAAGGTGATTCTACCGTTTCTAAACTAGAACGCATCCGATCATGTGCTGGCATGCTTGCTTCTGTCCATGCCATGGAACGCGACTCGCGCCGTACCGTATTGTTACGCCCACGCACGCTTGCACGTGTCTATACCACTGCCGCTATCCAAACCGAGCTCATCTTTGGCCGAAACAACAAACTATCCCGTTCCTACTGGAACCGCGCTCTCGAGAAAAGCGAAGACCTCCAAAAAGAATGGCTTGAAACCAACAGCTGTCAGCAGCTCATGGCCATGATGGCCGCTCGCACTGGTCAGAACGACGAATGCACATCGATGTTTCACTCGTTTGTTCTGCCATACCTTACTGCTCCTTTGGACTGGGTCGTCTACTGGCAATCATTGCAGCAACTCCAGCGTATCTATGTACAGCTTATTGAGCGTACGGTCATGAATAGCGACGACGCCGAAAAGGAAGCACTGTTTGACGCATCGCAGCTGCCCGAATCTAATGAATCGCCGATCGACCATATGATTTCTTGGTGGACTCATCTGGGCATGGCGCTTGAGTCCAACGATGACGACTTTGGTCACCTTGAGCTCGAATTGGACGGCTCTATGCTATTGAAACGCCATTGCCGATCATTGATGCATCTTGTCAAGGCCATTGCAGCTTCTGATAAGGACAAGGAAACGCTTACGGTTCAGCTCGAACAAGCACTTGTGGATCCCTTGGCTTCCATTGATGCCATCCGTTATATTGCCAACTATGAAACCAACGACGAAGCTGTCTTGTTATCCTTATCAGCACTTGCAGCTCACTTGACCGCATATCACACCCTATCTTCCAACAACAACATGTCGAACGATCTATCAAAGCACCTTGAACAATTACAAGAACATGTGCGTGTCGATTTGGAATTGTTGGAAAAATCCAAACTGATATCAGAGTCATGTCGAAAACAAATCCGCGTCAAATACATCTCATAGAAGGCCAAAGAGCACTTTTACATATACATTTCCTCTCTTCTTTATCCCTCACACCCGAATATAGAACCCCATCGTCCTCCCCTTTTTTCACTACTACCTAAACTCCTGTATATTCATACTACACCACATTCATATCTTCCTCATTTTCTTTCTATCGTTATATATATTTGTATTTCTATTCATATACTTTTTTTTTCACATCGCTTTGTTCAACTCAACAGCAATATACCAACTTTTATACAATCACATTTGCTTACAAGTCATTCATTGGTGTGTTATTTTATCGATGAGCTGTAAAAAAAAGGAAGTTCCATAAAATAGTTTCTGTACATACTTCGTCTAAACTTTGTTAAAATACCTAGAATAAAAAATTAAATTGCTCTTTGTATTTTAAGCTATTGTCATGTTTTGATCCAATCGACTGAGGGATGTAAGGAATATATCGGAAAGGAGAGCATATCCTGGAAACGGATATTGTTCATAGACTTGTAATGGCGATTCTTTCAAGTTTTTCAAGTAGGACTCCAAAAGTGAGGAGGAGGATGGGACTTCATGGCCAGGTGGGAAAAGCGGCCTTACTTTGGTATTGAAGGTTTTCTTGAACATGCCCAATAGTTCCACCGGAAACTTGACATCTGCACAGCTTGCCAACTTGTCGAGGCCGTAAAGGATTTGCGCAATTATACAGAAACAGACTAGTACATACCATCTCTTCATGGTTAGCAATACTTTCTTTGTTTCCTTCCAATGATAATAGCCCTAGGCTTTGAAGAAGCCTGACAGTCATTTAGCTGGCGTCAGTCATTATTACATGATAAAACTTACATGATGGAGAAGAATCTGGCCTATTTTGTAACCAGTTTCCTTTCAAAGCATACACCATCACTTTATTGGAGTTCGCAGTGAGCGCTGCCAGTTCATTTCGAACAGACTGCAATACATCGACTGTGATAGGGTTCCCCGAAGAGTGTGTGAACCGCGGATGAAGTAATGAGGCTGAGATCACGCCAGTTAACATGTGTACGGTAATAAATGGAAGAAGGCGGGTAGGCGGCACTTTTCGTTCCACGAGCTTGTAGGCCGTTGGATCGAAAGGATCTCCACAGAGACGGAGTTCAGACGGTAAGCTATTCCACCACTCGAGAACTGCCGGCTTGTATTGTAATATGTCTTCTAGATAAAGCTCGCAAGGCTCGCCATAAAAGATACGATTGATTTGGCCCTTTAATCCCATAAACGTTGGTAAACCGTGCGTTAATTATACCATTTTTTTTGGTCTCGCCAAGCCCGCAAAACTGAATAAAGAACAATGATCGGGTTTCTGTCATTTCCCCCAATCTGCCGGACTGCCGAAAAAGATGAGGCCATGTTTTTATCTCGCTCTATGCTTACCAAAATAATTGAAACAAGCGGGAAAGATACAAAGCGCAGAATATGATTGTACAACTTTACGAATTCTTTGGTCTTTTCTGGCTCATCGTCTAATGTCTCCAACTCCACGTTACAGTCGCCGTTATCTCTATAATCCATTTTGGACTCAAAATAGATATCGAACGTTCGATTGCACATTTCCAAGATTAAACGATGACGTTGATATAGAACACGTTCGACTGGTGTCAGTTTGTTGTATTGCGTCGTAAGATCCGCACACGAGAGTAGCGCAACAGTGACCAGCCGTCGCGCTTCAACATAATTGAGCAGTACGTCCATCAAATAATTCTGTAGGAAACTCGTTGTGATCAAAATTTCCAAATTTCGTAACGGATCGTCGTACATGTCGAAAAGCATACTTTTGCATTTGCAATAAAAGGTTTCGGAGAGCAAGCGTCGTTCGGCGGGCGAGTAACGGATGATTTGGTGAAGTGAGATGAGGGCATCTATGCATATTGCAAGAGTGATAGGACTGGATAACGGATCTTTCAGGTTGTGATAGTATTCGAGGAATGTTGGCACATGTAATAGCCCAGAGTAAGGGATCTTGTTCTCCAAATAGAGTGGAACGAGATATTCGATAGCGGATCGATAATCAAACAAGGGTTGTATGCATCCACTAGGACTGCTGATAGTTGCAGTAAAAGTAGTAGTAGTGGCGATTGTATCACTTTTGGGGCTGCCGGCGTTGCTGCTGCTGCTGCTGCTGTTGCTGTTGTCATCAATGATGTAGTACGTTTCGGCAAAACCCAATTTCCGTGATTTTTGTAATGCATTACGTTGGATAAAGATGCCGGAAGCGAGTGGAATACTGATTGATGTACTATCAAAGTGTACTGGAGCATTTTTGTTGAATAAACCTTTAAACGGAGAGAGATATCGAAGCGATGCTTGTGTATACAAGAGCATCTCGTCAAGCGACTGGATGGCCGTCTCAAGGCGAAGATGTCCGTCAACGATGCTGAGCTGCCATTGCTGCTCGTTATTACGATCTGTTGTCAAGTAACCTCGATGACCGCCACTTGCCAATGCTTCAATCTTTTGCAGTTCGCGATCAAGTTGATGTACGTCATTCAACCAGCCTTCGACTTCTTCATCGCCATCTTGTGCTATTGGTTCTTCGTGTTCATGAGCTCCTTTATCGTCGGATGGAATGCATTCAATTGAGAGTTTCGAGCATCGATTGCATATATTTGCATTCTTTCCCCATATGCATTTGCGTCTACGAAGTCGACAAACTTATGATAATATAATAAAGTTGATATGGGTTCTCACTGAATGCCTATTTATCATATTAACGGTATATACCTTTACAGGGTCTTGTTTGATGCATTTGTACAGGTACTGCTGATACTGCTACTGTTACTGGTGTGGAGAAACAAAAGGAGCTGCAGGACTTGGAATCAAAATTTGGCTTGTTGCGATCCTGCTACTAATTGAACTTTTGTCGAACAGCGAAAATAGTAGGCCGACTATCCCCTATGTCGTAATTGAACAAATGTAACCAAGTTATCTTGGCAGAACGAGGGTGATGACCTTCGCATAGCACTACCATCAATCAAGTGCCTCAAAATTTAACTTGCGGTCGGATATGCTTGACAACATTTCTGGTTGGTTGCCACGGTTATTGTACTATATAGTACGACGACATCCAAAGAAGTTGAAAACTTATAGCAGCGACCTGCAAGACTCCAGACAATCTTTTGCCAATACTTTGTCAATCAGGTTATACCAAAATTAGCAAATTATGCCAAGATAATAATGCGGTATATAATGTACTATATATGCTTTTCAAACTGTTTCTACTAGTTACTGAAACGGACACTTTCGGGATACGATACACACAAAGCAGACATATGTCAACTAAGCAGATGCAGTGATCGTGCTAATAATGACGACGACGATGATGATGATTCGCCGGAATGATCCGAGAAAATAGAAAATATTGATGCAGCATATCAACGTGTGATGAGTTGCTTCATCAGACTTTATCTGATCTTTTCTTTTCTCGCTCCTCCCAAAATTCACTTTCCCCTTGCCCTCATATTGAAAGACGGCGCTACAACTACTGCAAAAACACCACGCAACGAAATATGTCGCAATCGTACCACGATCTCCTTGTACTCTTTGGATCTGAGACCGGTTCTGCTGAAGATGTCGCGGAGCGCATCGGTAGACAAGCTCGCCGTCGACGATTTCGTGCACGCGTGATCGCCATGGACGATTACGACAAGGCAAGCGATAAAAATACAGCGTATATGTACACTTGGAGTAGCATTTGGAAAAAAGCTGACATTAGAGCATCGATATACGTAGAATCAACTCATTGAGGAAAAACTGGTGATCTTTGTCTGTTCAACAACAGGCCAAGGTGACGAACCATACAACATGAAGGTGAACTATTCAACCATGCAAATGAGAGGATAGCGAAAGTGAAAGGAAAAAGGAAGAATTTAACAGAGAGCTTTGGCTACTAGAAATTTTGGCGCTTTTTGTTGCGCAAAAACCTCCCACGAGACATATTGTCGAGCTTGGATTGTGCCGTCTTTGGTTTGGGTGATTCTTCCTATGCAAAGTAATTGATAATCTTGCTTAATTATTTACAACTGCCGCCATGCTTTGCTTTCTTTTGCTGACTCTGTATCCATCGTAGATTCAACTACCCCGCGAAGAAGCTGTATAAACGATTGCAACAGCTTGGTGCTCGTATGATCCATACCCGTGGCGATGGTGATGATCAGCATTATCTCGGGTAAATTGGCACTCTAAATGTGTGAAAAGATCCTTCATACTTAATCCTATCTTGTATGTATCGAACATAGATTGGATGGCGCGCTGGATCCTTGGTTGGAAGCAGTATGGGCAGAAATCATGGAGAAATACCCGCTTCCTCCTGGAGTAGAAGCGATTCCAGAAGACATATTATATCCTTTTTGTTGACGAATCATTTCACTGCTGTGTGCTACTTACGCTACATTGCATATCCTTAACCCAACCTTTGTTGCCTAAGATTACATTATCGCCTAGCTTACGCGTAGAGCTCTTGTCAAATGAAAATGGAAACTCCACGACAACGACTGAACAACATACCGCAGTAAACACCGCCGAAGACGAGTTCAATGTTGTAGTCAAAAGCAACGAACGGATCACGGACACAAAGCATTTTCAAGATGTCCGACACCTTGTGCTCAAGCTCGATTCCGATGAAGCAAAGTAAGTGGCAACTTGACATTAAACTACGAGTTATGTTTGCAGATGATTGTTGATACATTCATTTTAAAAATATCATCAGATATGAGCCAGGAGATATTGCTACGTTTACACCGCAAAACATCCCTGCCGAAGTGGATTTGTTTTTGGAACAAATGGAATGGTCTGCTTTAGCTGACAGATTGATCCGTGTTCATCAAGTATCCGAGGGTATGTGGAGAATGCATTTTCATCAAGTGACGGCGACGAATAAGATATACTAATCTCCTATATTCAATAGATCGCAAGGTACCGCACCACTGGCCATATGTCATGACGTTCCGTGAGCTTTTTACAAAATACCTCGATATTTTTGGTGTGCCACGACGTTCGTTCTTCGAGATGCTGGCTCATTTCACAGCAGACGAGCTGCAGACGGAGCGCCTACGTGAATTTGCATCTGCAGAGGGACAGGTAACTGGAATCAACAATTGTTTACTTGGACAAGTACAAGATTCACTTATTCTCTGTTTGTGCATCCATTCGTTTAGGACGACATGTTTGCCTATTGTCAACGTCCTCGACGTACCGTAGCCGAAGTTTTGTTTGACTTTAAATCAGCTACTATTCCCCTAGAATATATCTTGGATGTATTCCCCCTCATCCGTCCTCGATCATTCTCTATCGCTTCAAGTCTAAAGGTGAGTTTGTTTCTAAACTTCGCTATAGTAATAATGAAGAGAGTAAGAGAGATGTTTAAATCAAGATAACTCTTTTTTAGGCACATCCTGGCGAAATAGACCTTTGCATCGCCATTGTAAAATACAAGACAAAGCTGAAGATAATCCGACGAGGTGTATGTACAAAATGGGTTTCCCAATTAAACGCAGGTTAGTTAATAAGACAAGCATGGGCAATTCACATTTTGATATCGTTATTGTTAATACTTCTGAGCTCATTAGGTGATACGATTGAACGGGTACGAATCACCAAAGGCACGATGAAGCTTCCGCCTTCCCCGGATACTCCTCTCATTGCTATTGGACCAGGTTCGTATCTACCCATCTGTATATTTATTTAGAGTGAAGGTAGCTAATAATGATAGTAATACTGTCATAGGAACGGGTGTGGCTCCTATGCGTGCTTTCCTAGAACAGCGTATGGTGGATGGTGCTAAAGGTAACAACAAGAAATTGCATATACTATTGAATGAAGGCTTTGGTCTTAACCATTAATTTTGATTGAAACCAACAGAAAACGTACTTGTTTTTGGTTGCCGATATCACGATAAGGATTACCATTATCGCAAACAATGGGAGGAATACGAATCGCAAGGTTGTTTGAAGGTCCTTGCTGCCTTCTCAAGAGATCAGGTATGTAGCACCAAACAACCCTACAATGTACAATTTGGTGTATGGAAAGTACAACTGGAATTCGTTTTTTTATTCTCATTCTCTCCCATCACAGGATCAAAAACTATATGTACAGGACCGCATACGTCAAGAAGGCAGTATGCTATGGGACCTTATTGAGAATAAGCAGGCCAAAATCGTATTGTCAGGGTAAGTTGGTTATTAACCTAGCTCTCAATTGAGTCGCCTAACCCGAATAAACACACTTATGTATGAAATAGATCGGCAGGCAAGATGCCTGAACAGGTTGCGTTCGCATTGAAACAAGTGTTTATGCAACATGGAGGTTTGGATGCCGGACAAGCTGAAAATTACTTTAGCACTATGAGCAAAACCGGCCAATATCAAGAAGAGTGCTGGAGTTAATAATGGCAACAACAATACATCGGACGTCATAAACGACAAATATATATATCATAGATTCTATATATAAAATTACTTTTATTTGTACATCAAGGCGAAAAATAAATGAAAAATTAGGTGGATCGAATCGTCTCAGGATATACGTATAATAATATGTTTTTCTGAGACAAATAGAACTTTTTATAATGTTATGTGAGCATATGTTTGTCTTTGCGCGTAATAATCATGACGAGCGTACGCTAGATTCATCACACTAAGTCTTTCAAATAGTAGTATATAGTTATAGTTGTATGATGTTCTAAAGTCTGTTCTGTATGTTTCAAGCAACAACCGCTTTTGTCAATGCGAGGCATACGTAACTACCATATTGGGAGCTGTCGATCCGTTGAATAAACGGTACACGCATTCGTACATACAGCATCCGCGTCTTTGTGTATCGTTTCATTTTCAAGTATAGGAGAAGAAGCATAGGTTCTTGTAGCACAGCCTTACGACGAGTCAATTATGTTAATGGATCCCAACAAGCGTAAAGAGATCCATTCTTATAACGAGTAAGTCGCAAGGCAACAGTGCATGATATTGGTGATACTGAGGTCACGAGCGATAAAGATACAGTAGCGGAATGCATACATATCGTAGCAAGTCGAGTTTTGAATTTGTGGAAAGGCGCGTCGCCATCCAAGTGCACCGACAGACAGCAAGTAGCACAGATGCAATTAAATATGTAAAAATGATTGTAAATGGAATTTATAGTATACGCTACGCCAAAAAACAGTGCGTTGCAAGAAGAAAGAAAAAGAGAGATAGGGGGAAACAAAAGAACTACACTGATACGTTTTTAAGCAAAATCATCCTGCACCTGACAACACTTCACTTTTGTGCCTTTTTGCAGGCAGCCTTGTGGCAAGCCTTGTAGTCCTTGACTTGACAATCGCGAGAACAATACCAAATGCTCTTGCATCCACCGCAGCACAGCAAAGGCTTGCCTGGCTGGTCTTTTAAATGCTTGGAACCACAGTTGGAGCACTGCTCTGGACTGGCAGCGTACGGCGAGTTCAGAATACCTGCCTCGATGAGCTGTTGGATTTTGTTGTTGTACTGCTTGGCGGGCATGGCGTCGAAAATGATTTTGCGTGCGTCCTCGGCAGACTCGTGCAACTGCACAGCCTGGCGCTTGGTATCGCTCATACCAGTATTGGTACCGTACAAATACTTGAAACGTGCTTCTGCATCTCTGGCCTTTTTGTACATTTCACGAGCTTCAGACTTGCGGCTCTTCTCTTGCAAAAGAATGGAAAGTGAGTACAGTGCATTGACGTAATCGGCGGTATCGGGGTGGCCACGTTCAAGGTATTCCTTGAATCCCTTGATAGCCTGGTCGCGTTCTTTCAGGTTCATGTGAATAGATCCGAGCACACTGTATGCCACAGTGAATCCTGGGTCCTTTTGAAGACACTTTTCCAAATCCTTGAGGCCAATTCTAGAGACTTTGTCAGTTGGCGTTTACTCCTAAGCGATAATTTATGCCAATTTTACCTCAGCTTGCCCAGAGAGAAGTAGCATGAAGCACGAAGGAAGTACACGCGTGCTGGCAAATCGTCGTAGGTATTAATTGCGAGCGTAAGTGTCGTCAAGCTAGTATCATATTAAATGAGGGGCAATGATGAGAAAAGAATGCATAGACAACATCACTGAGAAGCAAAAGGAGAAAAGGAGAAAACTCACCAGTGCTGGTATTGACGTCCTACCAACAAGATCCAAGCAGAAAACAGCAAACTCTCTTTAATGAAGAAGCCTTCCCGTTCAGCTTCAGCGACATCCTTCAGCAACACCTTTTCATATTGCTGACCCAAAATAAGTACGCGTTCGGACATGGGCGCGGCCTTGTCATCCAGTAACCAGGCATTCACCAAAGTCTCTGCTGCGGTTCTGACATCTTGCTCATGGTTTAACAGGACCTCCTCATCCAATGAACGTGGGATCGTCATGCACAAGTCGTAACCCTTGAGGAACATTTTCTTGGCCTTTTTGTACCGTTCGACATCAGGATCTGACGTTTCACTTGATTTGCCACGCGCTTCCAACAGATCGTAAGCAATGATGCGCTGACTACCCTCCAGGAAACGATCCTTGTATTCTCCTTCTTCCTCTGCTGTAATTCCTTCAGCCTTCTGGGCTTCCACGGCCTTCTTTTCTGAGACCTCTTGTTCTGCAGAAGCAGGGGCAACAGCAATTTCGTTGGTCATTATGCAAAGGTATGAGGAGCAAAAAAATGGATAGAGGGAGAGAAAGAGGGCGTTGGGTCAAAGGGAGAAAGGAAGAGAGAAAAGCGAATGCGAGTGAACGGTCAGGTACGTATCCGTCCACTAGAATTTGACATTTTAGTCCAATCATAATTTGCCGTGCCAACTCCTGGCGGGCTTACCCCGGCTGCTTTTTGTTGTCAACTTTTCACACACACATTTCATGATATGCTCTACATATTGCAATTCGCGCTGTATAATTTCTGCCGCACACCGGTACTTGCACTAGAATATGCTCAAACCTTTCCCCCCTCGTGCTCTCATTTCTAGATCATAGCGTATATGGCAAGTACCCGCAAAAGAAACGTTACGCAAATATTAGCGGTATTGCAAGCCCGTCTCATCCAGACCGTTTCTTGAATTGACATGCTGAGTATCCAGCAACAATAGTTCGTCGTCATGTAAGCATTGAATTTTATCACTGGTACTTCCTGCACATGGAGCTGAATACTGATACATGGTATTAAGACGTGGTGTGGAATAAGTTCATAACACGTGACGATCTATATTCCAGCTGTGAGAAAATTCATGATGGGAAAATGGCACAGATAGATTAATATGTTCGTTATCCCGTGTCACTAAAATGCTATGGATCACTGGTATAGTAAGGGCAAGCAAAAAGGTTTTGTTTTATAAAACCGTATATGTAATATAGCTCAATTTATGAAGCTGCCTTTATATGCATATCTAACGCGTAGAAGTATGAGACATTTGCTGTTTGCGTTTAATAATAGATCGACTTACTGCAAATCATCGTCCATATGTGTCAAATAATGATAATAATTGAGTGTAATTAGAGGCAAATGCCGCCACTAGGAAGGGTCCCACACGTAAATTCTTAAGGACACGGCCGGCTCTGCATTGCGCATACTAAGAAAAAATCACGAAAACGGTTACGAAAAACGGGTTTCTGGTAAAGAATTTAGGATTTCTAAGGTACAAGCACACGTTACAAAATCCGAGGCACTTCGAATTGTGGAGTTGAAAACAGTGAGGTCGATTGTACTGGCTAAATTCTGGTGGGCACTGCGCGTAAAAGTGTATTCAGTACAGAATCCGATATATTGAAGATCATCAAGCTTTTAAATGCGAAAAAAAAGTGCGATTTAGTAGCTTAGCAATGATCCCCAAGGAAAGTAGTATTACACAATGCCTACTTAGCAACAACGTCATATAGCTGTATTATATATGATTTAGTATACAGGACTTTACCGCCCTGAACGTTACAATAGGGTACAATGCTGATTATTTGTGAGTTTTGCATTAAGTAATTATTATTACCATTCCTAGAAAACCGAGCTGCATATTTTTAACGCTGTTTTTTAAAGCAGCGGTTATTGTTTCGATTTAGGTCTAAAAGTAACGAATTAATGATAAGCGGAACAATCACATAAGCTACAGAAGAGCGAGTAATTTCATAACAACTACATCAGCAACAAACCAGACACTACAATAAGTAAACCGCGCAAGAAAGGTCCCTATGGTATTTATACACATGTTTACAGTGGACGTTTGCTGTTTACCGCTAGTAATATTATCATGCACATATTATCTGTTGAAAATTTCCATATATATATTTAGCTTATATCTTTCTTGTTTTCCACGATATTATCTTATAATCAAGACTTCTAAAGACTTCTAGTTTTGCTATAAGTTGAGGGTTCGCAGATCAACCAGTGAAGGCGGTACTGAGTAGTCTTATTTGTTTATCGTACTGGGATTAGTCGTTTCTAGTGACACCCATATGTGAATCGATTTATTACCATAGTAAATGGTGCAACATAAATGTTAATAGGAGTGCTCTCGATGCTATTCTAAACCACCGAGACTATTAATTACGAGCATTGGATTCAAGCTCACGTTATCACAACATGTATATATATGGCCATTCTGCATATTGCACAAATGATTTGAAAGTGAAGCATAAGTTTGAAAAATATTTTCCTCATTAGAGATTATGATGGTTGGCATGATTATTCACCCCATATCATGTGGTCTGAAACTAGTGAGCGGTATGCAAACGTTACTATCGAGCTATTTTCTTCTAGCTTATCTGCACCAAATCACATCAGTGCCATTTGTCGTTGTAGAGTATTTCGAGTCATCATGATGTCTCGCTCAACTTGTTTATAGTGGAGCACCGAATTATTGGTTTGACCACCGCCAGCAGATAAGTCAGTTACTGTAAACATAAGAGCGGCACCACATCTCTTTATTCACTGATTATATAATACTGAATTCATTCCTGGTGACACTAGGGGGAAAGGTGTTTGAGCATATGTATATCCGTGCAATATTATTCATCCGACGTGGTGTAGTCTGTTTATGGAGATAATAGGGTCTCGAGATCTATTTTGGTCTCGACAAGTACAACGGCAAGAGGCTATTTTGACTGACAGCAGATCCCGGAACTTAAAAACTCAGCTTACGTAAGTCAATCCGCCACTCACTTTCATAGCGTGTATGACATAACACAAGCAGCGGCAGGAGGTACGGGTCTACAATCCCTTTGATCATACTACATTGTACCGTACTATGTCAATGAATGACCAGCCATTTTCCTCTATTGTCGTCATAATATGAGTTTCTTTTTTCAGCTACACAAACTCTCCAAAGTCGTATACGTGTCCTACCCATGTGGATCTTATCCAACCCGATCGTGTTAAATCATTTTGCTGGAAAAAGAGAAAGGAAGAGAGAAGGGTGGTTTGGTGTCGGTTAAAAGAGCTCCGCGGACCGACTGTTTACGTAATCGGTGCTTGTTTGTTTTTCTTTTTATTTTGAAGTGTCTTGTGCATTTGTCCGCGTGGCAGAAAGTAGAGAGTGCATGCGACCTTAACCATAATAATAGAAGGCCGTTATGATGACGCTGGCGATGGCGCTCATGCTATATAGTACCAATCATGCTTGTAACAACTGACGGTCAATTACTGCTTCATGGTGGAATGCTGTTTCTGGTGTAACCACAGAATCATGGTGTCTCAGACCCCGATAATTATAAAAGGAAAGGCTACTTGAAACCCTTATTCTTTTTTCTTCTCTATTCCCCAATACCCCTTATTTCCTACTCCTCCCTCCCCCCTTTGTTTGTCAAACGACTTATAGAAAACAGCACAACGCAATGATACCACCTAGCGCATCGCAACCTGTCCGTGATGAAGAATCCGTCGAGCAAAAGCATGCTTCACTGTGTAAAACAATCACTCCCTTCGATCAAGTTGACATTGGCAACCGCATCCCGGAATTGCCATCCGATCTTCAGGATGTTAAAAGCATCTTAATTACTGGTGGTGCAGGCTTCATGTAAACTTATTCTACTTGTTTCTTCCTCCACTGCTGTTCCAAGAAAGCGAGAGAAAGATAGAGGGCTAACTGTCATTCTTCGTAACTGTATCAATATGGATTAGTGGAAGTTTTCTTGTCCGTAAAATGGTCGTTCTTTATCCCGAATATCATATCTATGTGGTCGATAAACTTGATTACTGCGGCTCGTTGCATAACCTCAAAGCCGTCTCCGAATTTCCAAACTATACCTTCATCAAGGTACTGTCGTAATAGCAAAGAAGCCGAAGGAAGGGCGGAAAAGAAAAGTACTTATGCAAAATGGATCATTATAGGGAGACATCACCTCGTCGGATTTCATGGCGTTTGTGCTCAAAGAAAAGAAGATCGATGTGATATTCCATTTGGCAGCACAGACCCACGTGGATAACTCTTTTGGGGATTCTTTTGAGTTCACAAAGTATGACCAACCCGCCTTTTTTTTTTGTCTCTGTCCGCCCCTTTGAATGACGCAATTATCCTAACCAATTTCTGTTAGAAACAATGTGATGGGTACACACGTCATGCTTGAAGCTGCCAAAGTGCATAATGTGAAGCGGTTCATTCATGTCAGCACCGATGAAGTCTACGGTGAAGTCGTCAGCCGAGTAAGTTTGATATCTTGATAATACATAGACGAGAAGAACCTGGATTGAAAACCGTTCATTATAAATAACCCTTCAAAAGCCGGATTGCAGGGAAGACTCGATTCTGGCACCTACCAATCCTTATTCTGCTACCAAGGCTGCTGCAGAATGTCTGGTTAAGGCATATCACCACTCGTTCAACCTGCCCATCATGATTACCCGGTCAAACAACGTGTACGGTCCTTACCAATATCCCGAGAAAATCACATCAAAGTTCATCTGCAGTTTATTACGGCATGGCAAATGGCAAGTGTTTAAATGTGATAATCAGAGTGTGCGTGTATCCAGGAGGACTGGGTAGGAGATACGTACGGATGTCAGACGAAAGAAATAGAGCTAGATTGATTAACCGACGACACATGTTTAAAAAGCAGCTATATCCATGGTGACGGACACAATTCTCGAAAATATCTGTATGCGGGCGATGTGGCCGACGCATTAGACACCATCTTCCATCGGGGCGAAGTGGGTGAAACATACAACATTGGCAGCAACTTTGAAATATCAAATCTTGAGTTTGCTACCCGCCTGATACGGATATTCGGCTACAAGATGGAAGACCACGTTGAATTCGTTCATGATCGGGCGTTCAATGATAGACGATATGGCGTAGACTGTTCCAAGTTAGAAGGGTTAGGGTGGAAACCCAAGATGGATTTTGAAGGTGGACTGCGAAAGACAAGTAAGTTGTAGCGGGTGGATGTGTGCTGTGGATATGTGCATAGTTTGTATAACAGGGCTGATTGTTGTTGTTGTTGTTGCTTCTACCTTAGTCGAGTGGTACAAGCATCGCACAGTTGAATGGTGGGGAGACATATCCGGTGCATTGATTCCGCATCCGTTAAAAGCATTGCCACCCCCGGTCTGATAGACGCCTTAACACCGCAGCGAATAAAAATGCTTAATCTAAGATAAAAGAGATTCGTCGATCCCTTCCTGCTACTCTTTTCCACGTCCGGTTCCTTATTTCTTATTTTTTGCGACTCCATCTGAAGCTCTTCTTTACTCTCTTTCCCTCTCACCCCCTTTCATACATCTCTGTAACTTCTTTATTATTCCAGACATTAAATGATATATCATGGTTCACCGGCAGGACCAGGTGGAAATGATCCTTCGCCATGTTGACTCTCTATCATCAAAGTACAAGAAAGCCCCTGTGCGTTTTCGCATTGAGCCAGCACCACAGTATTGCAATCAAGATGGCCAGCTAACCTGTTCGCCAGGCGCACTTTTTGAAGGCACAGTGCTCGTACAATTGAGTGAGCCTTTGGCTGCTGTGCAGTTGAAACTTGCGTTCAAATTATCAGGTACATAGAGTGAGAATATAAGGACTGTACATAGCATGATACCTCCAAAGAAAACTCACATAATATGCGTGCCATACACTTTTAGAGATGCTCAATTACGATGCAATTGCTTGGGGTAAACGGATAGTGGAAGATCGCATATTCAACGTTAGGACAGTCTTGTGGGGCCATCCTTCCCATGATACTGAGAGTGTTCGTAACTGGCCAGTGATGGAACCGGGCTATCATCTTTTTCCATTCACCTGTGCTATGCCAAACGTCAACTATCCACCATCAGCGCTCAATAATACACTCGTTTACTATGCCTTTCATATCGTCGCCACGCTCGATCGACCGGGACTCCGACCTTTCCAAACAGAACCTTGCGTTGTATCCTTCCAACCCAAAATACCGATACCACCTACGCTAGCACTTGCATCCTCAACTACTTCTTTCAAAGAAGAAAAGCAGCTTGGTCCGATATCAGTCGCCGTCCGTGTCCCCACTACGACGTACCATATTGGCGACATATTACGAGTCGCTATTCGAGCAAGCGATCTGATTTTCGCTACGGTTTCTCTCGAGCAACATTTCAAGGTGACGACAAGTGCGTTTCATTCCACGAAAACCATTGTTCTCAAGCACGTCCAGCGTCGGATGGAAACCGGAGAATTTCTTATTCTGCTAAATGAAGAAGATGGTGTTTCACCTTCCTTTGAATATGGACGACAGGTGGATATGCGATATAGTGTCAAGATCGTTGTGAAATGCAAACAAAACACACTGCAGACCAAGAAAAAAACGTTTTTGGTGCCAGTTTTTATAGCAACAGCATCGGCAGCTGAGGTTGCCTTGGAAGATGAACTTTTATTGCCATACACCGATGACGTTGTTGTAAGCGACAATACGCTGCTTACTAAGCCCAAGTTTCTTCGGCATCAAACAGAGCCATTGCCTTTGTTACCGCCCTATGACGCTGCTGATTGTCCGCCCGGGTACTGTGCGGAAGAAGCTGATTAACAAACTTTCATCTTCACATGAAAAAGAACACTCCGCAGAAAAATCAATAACCATGCACTGTGCATAACCACATAGATATTACCCATTTCGAGCATTGTATATATAAACTTTGTTTTTGCACGGCTTTTTATTATTTACTGATCTGGGTTGTGGGTAGCGGAGCATTGAACATGTATGATTGTAATAGTTGTTGTTTATGGGGCAGGGTTGAGGATGTGAGTAAAAGAGTGTGTATATGTGAAAAAGATGTGAGGTTTACTAATTATACTTTCTAGCGACGACGGGATTTAGGTGTGGGTGTGCTTGCTTTGGAACCACCCTTCTTCTAGAAAAGACACGTTAGCGTTGAACGTGCCTTTTTTCTGTCGTCGGCTCGTTATAACCTTTCAGTGTATTTACCTTCTTTTCTTCCTGGCTATTACGCTCTTCAGATTCGGCATTCTCCTTTTGGATCAAACCTATCAAGGTATTGCACCTTCTGGCGATTTCTTGCGAAGTTCTTGACTTGAGGAACCAGTCGAAACGGAACATGGGCGATTCCTTGATTTCTCGTCGGATATTGTCATAGACATTCTCTGTGCCATAGCCATACTTTTCAAGCATGACCAATAGGAACCGATCCTCATCCTCGGTGTAGTTCTTGCCCTTGGTAGGCTGTGTGTATTGAATCTTGAGTTGTTGTAAGGGCACACGGTGGCGCAATACCTTTTCGGCCAATGCTTCCTGGATATCCGCCATCTTTTCGAGCTCACTCTCGCCTTTCTCGATCTTGGTGATATGTCGCTCGTAATCGCTAATCTCCTTATACCTTGACCAGAACACTTTGGAGTACTTTTTGATTTCATCGAGCGTCTTGCCTTCTAATTCTGTCGAGATAGCTTGCAAGTTGTTGCGTCCATATCGGGCACATGCGTTGATAAATGACATGAAATCCTTCTTGGACCAGTTTGAGAAGCCCTTGGTGTAGAGTTTCTTGCGCTCTTCCTCTTCTTCTGGCGTCAACGGCTCGGCATTATCAATCTTGCGCTGTTCTTCTTCTCGCTCCTTTTCTTGCTGCTCGATTTCCTCGGCTTCGCCTTCCTCAGAGATCGGTGGCATCTTGTAGCCCAAGCTCTTGCGAAGGTACAGTGTATCTTTCTCATTGAGCTCTTGCAGTTTTGGTGGGAAGAATTGGAAGTCTTCACAGTTGTATCGCTTAGCACGTGGTGCTTTGGTCGATGGCGTCTTGGTGCTGATACGTAATACCTCTTTGTAGTAGTCATCCACAGCATAGTTGCCTTTACGCTCACGCTTAGCTGGACCGAGCCATGACAGACCGACACCGGCTGCTTTACGCTAAAATAAGGACAAAAAAGAGGAGGTCAGTTAGTCTCAGAATGCCCTGAAATGTTCAAGTGTAGCTATTAAGCCAGTTAACATATTATTTTTACCTTATTGCTCCAATCTTCACCGTTCCATTGGTATGCGCTTTCAGATGTAAAGTTACGAAGTTCGTCAATGTTGAGGTTTTGATACTTTTTGTTTAGCTCTGCAGTCTTTTCCTCGCCATGGCGCAGAATTTCTTCAATATCGTCGTCGTCCTCGGGAGCAGGAGTCGAGGAATCGCTCTCGTTGAAAATCTTTTCAGCACCATGCTGGATCATCGTAAGCAGTTCATCCTTGCTGGCAGCTAATACGAGGCACAATTAACACATCTATAACACGCATTTCCTCCTTATCTTATCCCTCTATCGTACCTTTTTGAGCTTGCTGTGCACGGCCTTGCTGGATAACCAGTTGATCAAGACGAAGCTTCTGGGCTGCACGCTCCAATACCTTTTCTTCAATAGCATTCTATGGAGAAATATGCATAAATTCGTCAGTTATTTTGATTTAACATCACTTTTTCAACTACTGGACATCTATTCTGTTTCTTTACCTCAGTCACGAATCGGAAAACTCGAACTTGCTTCGTTTGACCGATACGGTGAGCACGATCCATGGCCTGCAAATCGACTTGCGGGTTCCTATATATTAATATATACTTTAGTACAGGGGAACACATGACGTCAGGGCCCACCATAGACAATTAAAATGCTTCTTACCAATCACTATCGAATAAGACGACAATGTCGGCTGAAGTCAAGTTGATACCCAAACCACCAGCACGTGTGGTCAACAGGAAAATAAATTTATCGCTGCCTGGTTTGTTGTAGTCATCAATGGCATCGATACGATCGTCCTGGTTCGTTTGACCATCAATACGGCAGTATTCTAGAAAGTGCATTATGTAATTGTGAGGTTATGTTCTGATAACGTCTAGTAAATCATAAAGAAGAACGGGGATTAAATTACCGTAATTTTTCCACCAGCAGTAATCTTCAAGAATATCCAAGACACGACTCATTTGACTGAAAAGAAGAACACGCGATCCTTGTGCCTTGAGTCGAGTCAAAAGGCGGTCCAATACAACCATTTTGCCAGCGTTGTCAACAATGTGCTGATCCGTGGTATAGGGTGGGCCAGGTTCCTTTTATATGTCATTCGCGATTTAGCTATCTTTCTCTGCTTACTTGACTTATGTCCAAACTGATCACTTACAGCGCCATCGAAAAGATAAGGATGGTTGCAGCACTTTCGCAACTGCATGACAATATTAAGGAGACGTGTTTTTCCCTCACGCTTGGACATAGCGCTACCACCTATTGAAGGAAATGTATAAAAGCGAAATCATGTCAATCAATATGCCCAATTTTGATATGAGAAGCTGAGAAAGCAAGAGAGCTTTGAAATTGCTTACCATTAACAGCATCAATATCCTTTTCAAGAATCTTTTGATACCATCTGCGCTGCATGGGACTCATTTTGACATAGACGTTGATTTCTTTCTTTGGCAGAAGTGACTTTTCGACATCAGACTTGAGACGACGCAACAAGAAAGGTCTCAGCACCTAGAATACAGTAGCCATCAGTAACTGCTTATATCCTCACATCCACAGTTTTTATATATTTACCTTGTGCAACTGTTCGACCACCTTCTTGTTATCACCATCTTGTCCGGCGAACCATTCATCAAATGCTTCAGATGAGTTGAAGACATCTGGCAACAAAAAGTTCAACAAAGCCTAGTATCGCATAATTTAAAACAGCATCAGCAAATATATTCTTTCGCTTCCTTCTTTCTCTCCTAACCGAATGTATATCCGGTAATTACCCAGAGTTCATGGAGGTTGTTTTGAAGCGGTGTACCAGTGATCAACATGCGGTTCTTTGACTGCAGAATACGGACGATCTGCGACAGCATGGAGTTTTCATTCTTGATACGATGGGCTTCGTCAATGATGATGTATTGCCACGAAATCTTTTTAAACTGAGACTTCTCCAGCAAACAGATTTCATAAGAAGTGATGCAGACTTCAAAGTCCATGGGCTTGAGTCTGTCCTTAATCAATCCAGCCTATAAAGGTCATGGATTTGTTGGTACATCTTAATCACTATCCAAGAGTATATCAGTACATACCCTCTTCTCCTTATCACCGTGGAAAACAAAAGCATTGAAATCAGGCATCCATTTGTTGAACTCGTTCTTCCAGTTGTGCAACGTTGATTTGGGAACGACAACCAAATGTGGTCCATTGATGCCACGGATATGTTTCAAGTACCCCAAGAATGAGATTGTCTGTAACGTCTTGCCAAGACCCTATATATTACGTAATATATAATGAATGAATACACTGCATGCTACGTCTACGTCGCTAATGGAGTCATCATTTTACCATTTCATCAGCCAGGATACCATTGATACCGTTTTCGAATAGTGATACCATCCAGTTCAAACCTTGGACCTGGTAATCGCGCAGCTTACCACCAGTGACGTCTACAGATAAAGAGAACAAGCGAGTTAAGAGAACTTCCTATAGATAATCCTTGATGATGGTGCTTTTCTTTTCACCATAATGCTTACATGTAGGCGATTCGGTGAAAACAGTCAATTGCTCATCAGAGTCTCCAGATTCATCCTTGAGAATTTCTTCATCCTCTTCCTTTTCAGTCTTTCGTCGTCGTCTTGAGCTATGCAGAATTTGATATTAAGTATCAATTACTTCAGGCTATGAAATGAAAAGTTCCATTCTTACCCATCTTCTGACTTTCCTCCGTTCTTTTGCTCGTCTAATACTTTTTGCAAAGCCTCGTCTTTATCCGCTTTCAAATCTAAAAAGTGAGCAAACAAATCAGTTTGCCCAAGCAGATATCGGTATCGTTTAACACGGCTGTTGTACTATATTTTTTCGTTGGTCGTAAGTTGTAAAGTAGCGCGATCCGATTGAGATGACGGAAAAAATAGAAATAGATTAGATGATCTGAATCCATTTTTCGCTTTTCTTTGCTACCGCGGTTGTTGTCACAGGCCTTGAATGAAACGCAAATGTATTTACCAATGACTTTGCGTCTTCTTCTGGTTTAGGTACAGGTTTTGTCGATCGGCTTTCTATCATCTATATAATCCACCCCCCATTCGATCGCGTCAGTCTTTCAACTGTATTCTACAAAATAACGCGTGCGTGTTGCTTTCCCATTATCGTTTGCGATCTGACCTCTATATCCTGAGCGCTACTTGTATCGGTAGGAGTAGCCTAAGTAATTAACCATAAGTTAGAATGGTGCGAGAGTAAGTGACAGTTTTTCTTTTCTTTTCTCAAGTGCTACATACCGTTCCTTCAAGTTGACTGTCAACTTCCATAGGTTCAGCCTTATATCAGGAGTAGGAAAGAGAAGACGACAAGAGTGTATGACACATCAGTAAAAACAAAGTTTGCAATCGTTCAGATCTGGAAAATGGGAAGGTACTCGGTTTGACACTTACAGATGATTTGGACATGGCTGATTAAAGAACGTAGTGTACTTGGAAAAGGGAGAAGAAACGAAACGCAGCAGAACAAAAATTGTTTTTTGCTAATTTTTTTACGCGATTTGTTGCGCGGCGTTTTTCATTTCTTTTCGCGGATATGATGATGGTCGGCATGGCCTTACAACGCGTAAATGGATCCTTTGTCACCCAAAACAGGATTCATCTTTTCTTTGTTCCTCAAAGTACGTATTGGTAGAAAGATGGATGATACGCTGAGTTTTGTGCTTATGGCAAAACAATGTGCACACTGAATACACTTGATGCAACAGAGCTTTGAGCTTTTTTGCATGATTTGGGCTAGGATATACGGGAATGCATATTTTTCATTATCCTTTAGACCTTTATACGGCATGACGAGATAGTATTTAACAATAGCGTACAAATTGGATACGCTTTGTTCCAGTTTGTGCACTGACTCAGTAGCTTAAGGAATATCATAACTCTACATCTATAAACATAACAACCTATAGTCTAGATCAATTCTATGAATGACATAAGCCAAAAAGATATGGAATTATTTGACGTTTGACACATGACTTATTAATCCACAACCTGTCCTATATCCAAGCGTACCTAAGCAGCTTGATTGTCTTTGAATACTGCACTTCTGTAATCACAGTCAAAAAATATACATATAGGGATTGGTTGTGGTCGACAAAACAACAAGAAGTGAAGCTAAACGTTCGCAAAAAAAAAGTTTCACTCCGCAGCATTGCCAGTCAGCCTTTGCCGGCCTCAGCTCAGCGTTCTTTTTCCGACTTCACTTCCTTTACAATGGATTTTTCACCTGAAGAAACAGAAACTCTTCGCAAGCGGCTGTTGATCGTTCTCGAGCCATTGTAAGTTAATCCTTACGTTGGATGTTTGTTTTAATCCAAAAAGTGATTGGAGAAGGTGGTGGAGGGGACAGTGATTGAAAACGTTCATAATGGGGAGCGATGCTAGACCGTATTTTTTGTGATCTTTACGCGCGTTCTTTGACTGTTCTTTTTTTCCTCTTTCATGTAGCACTGAAGCCGATCCAGAAGCATTGCTAGATTTTATTCTTTTGTTCATCAACAAAGGATCGTCTCGTGATGATTTGTTGACCACTTACAAGAATGAGTTATCCGTTTTTTGTGAAGAAAGTACGTGTCATGATGTATATGTAGACAAAAAAAAGATTTGGAAATGTTATTGCAAAAAAAAGCCGGGAACAGCAGCTAAGTACACACGGCACGGTTGCATGTATATATCATTAGACACAGACAAGGCAGTTGAAGCCGTATTTAACGTAATCGACGGGATTATCGCAGCGCGTGACAATACCAGCTCGTCGACAGCTCAGAAAACACCAGCAGCAGTAGCAACAACACTAAAAAATGATGTTGATGAAATAGTGACAGGACGAAAGCGTGAAAAGGAAGAAAGCGATGACGAAGAAGACGATGATCGTAACTTTAAGCGACGGAACGTGAACGTTGAAGAAGAGACGGTTGTTAATGATATTTCCCACGCTGCCACAACGGATATCACCTCAGCAACAACATCAAAACGCAAAAATCCAGAAGATTCACATACCAATGAAGAAGAACGGCCTACCAAGCTGTCACGGTCGCCTGAACAAGAACGAGTCTTTTCAACCTTACCTGAACACTTGCGTAAGCGTCTTGGAAACCGTGCAGAAATACCAAATCAACAACAAGAGCCAAGAATTCGACAACCTTGTCGTCACTTTGAAGGTATACATTGGGATAACCGTTGTGTGTATGTGTGTCTACATGGTGCTAACCTGCGCTGCTGTCTTGCTGTAGAACGTGGCTTTTGTCTGTTTGGTGACAGTTGTAGATATGATCATGGTCAAAATGTCGCCGTTGCAGATTATTCAAATTTCCAAGCCATGTTCAGCACGCCTGGTTCTGCCCCGATGTCAAACCCCATGATGATGAATATGTCAGGTAAAAAGAGAGTAAAGGGGAGGGGGGGAAGAATGATACTATCAAATGACTTTGCCATTTCTTTACTAACTAATTCATATAATATGAGAGTAGGTCAGGTCACCCCTTATAATATGACTACAACGCCCTACGAATTTAAAAATCCCGCCGACATGGCCGAAACGCCCAAACAGCCGCAACATCAGAACCAACAACCGCAACCGCAACAACGGCACCATCAGCAGCAAAGTTACCAAGAAGTACCTTATACTACTCGATACAACAAGAACAGCACGCGTCTCGTCATTGAGAAGATCCCCACCGAAGCATGCACTATCGACTCTGTCACCGAAACTTTTAAAAGGTTTGGTACCATTGTGGATATTGAGCTGCAGCCTGAAAACCAGCGCGCGTTCCTCGAGTTCAAGACGCATGATGAAGCTTTAAAAGCGCATCAATCACCCGAAGTCCTATTTAACAACCGTTTCGTCAAGGTGTTTTGGCGTAAAGAGTCCCAGCAGCAACAGCAACAATATAAGCAACAGGAGCAACAGCAACAGCATGCAGAACCGGATCCGGAGCTTGTCAAGAAGCGTGCAGCAGAACTTGCAAAGATACGCGAAGAGCAACAACGACGGAAAAAGGAACAACTAGAGAAGCAAATCGAGTATAACAAAAAGAAGCAAGAAATTGCGCGGCGCAATCTGGAACTTGCTATGTTGAAGGCCAAGGTGGCTGCCATGGAAGCAGTAAGTTTGCTTATCTATCACAACCTGCGGATGTGTGTGTTGTATCTTACTGATCATATTGTAAATTTCATCAAAAGAAAAAACAAGGTGGACCTACTGCTGCAGAAGAAGGACAAGGCTCGGCTACTAATGTGGATACGGAGTAGAAAGATCAATAGAACAGGCTCCCTTCTTTCATATTCATACACCATAGCATGATAATACTTTTATAAATAATACACCTGTTTGTTTAATCTTTTGCTGGAGGATTCATAATCCATGAGAAAAAATATGCTATGCTTTGAACACGATCCGCAACATCTTGTAAGCCATCGAGACTTCTTCGGGCCAATTGAGCAACAGATTGAAACTTAGCAGTATAGTGAATTAGGCCATGTGAGCAATATAGCCTTAAGAAAAATCATTGACGATTACTATGACCAGCTAAACAAAGGTTAGAGATGCCTGACGACGACATTTTTCATGTAGTAATAATGTTTAATATACTACCTATAATTGAACTTGTTGCCGCACCATTTATCTTCCACATATCTTATGCAATTTATCGCATGTACCAAATATATGACATGCAAACATCTGCTTGATCCTTTTAAGTCTGCCTTGAAGACAGCGCGACAAACAGCAGCAAAAATTAGTATGATATGATGAAATAAAAGGACACAGACACCTGACAGCAACTTGTGTAGTTCGGTCAATCTTATGCACACTCAGTGGAGGAGTAATTAGAAAAACTCCGTCACATTTTTTTAAGTTAATTTTTTTTACTCAAGATCTCGAATCGTTTTATTCTCCTGGCATTAACTTATACACGATGGTAATAATTGTCGAAAATGTTTAGAGATCTATTGCCTTTTTGCTCGACAACTAAAGAACCAGGATAATTATTGAATTGTAGGGTAAAGCAAGAAAAACCAGACAATTTTCGGTTGCCAAGCGCATGATCAATCCAAACGATTCGCGATTGTATGTTATTTTGACAAACCTGGAAAAGTCTTTGACAAATCGAGTTAAACAATCCGATAAACTAATCATGACATGTGTTGGATCTACATATAGGAAAGCGAATCAAGAAAAACAAAAGAAGAAGGAAGAAGATAAAGAAAAGGCTGCCGTACGAAAGGTGTATGTATTCCATACCTATAGCGATTGGTTAAACGAATGCACTAAACTGATGTGTGTTATGATATAGGCCCCAGGTGGCATCTTCCATGTTCTTTCAGTATAACTCTGCCCTCGGTCCTCCTTATCACGTTCTGGTCGATACCAACTTTATCAACTTTTCGATCCAAAACAAACTGGAACTTGTAAAGGCAATGATGGATTGTTTGTACGCTAAATGTAAGCTCTTCAACTTTTTCACCAAAATGTTTGTCTGTGTTTTCGTTTATATGTCCAAACAAGTAGCTCATTCATTCCGTGGCCAATCATTTATTTTAGCGATTCCTTGTATCACGGATTGTGTTCTTGCCGAATTGGAAAAGTTGGGTCCCAAATATCGTATTGCACTCAAGTAAGTTAATGAAACGGTGGACGGGAAATGGTTTTTCAAGGTGGCGAATGCTTATTGAGACCCGTTCTACTATAGGATTGCACGTGACCCTCGATTCGAGCGATTACCATGCTCGCACAAGGGCACTTATGCAGATGACTGCCTTGTTCAACGGATTATGCAGCACAAGTGTTATATCGTGGCAACCTGTGATCGTGATCTGAAGCGACGTATCCGTAAAGTTCCTGGTATCCCGATCATGTATATCTCTGGTAGACGCTATGTGATTGAACGTTTGCCTGAACTTGGTACCAACACGTATTAAGCTTTCTTTCTTCTCTTTCTCTCCAAAATTCATGAACCTTCATTCCTCCCCTCTTCCTCGATAGAAATAAGGAAAAATCATTGTTATTTTTAAAATCATGTACTGTACATATCATAAAAGTTGTCATCTTACCTCTTATTTCCTTTTTATAAAACACATTCATACATGTGTTGGTATAGAATCCTTACAGAAATGTGGGGTCCATGCAATGTTGGTTTAAAATATGGGACTTGAGGTGCCCGTTGATATGATAAGGGATATATATCATTGGACATCTTTTTATTCATCCTGTGTTTCACCGTAAGATATTCAAGAACACTTCAGCTTAGAATAAAACAATGGATGCGTAAAGTAAGACAACTTCATTGATATTGAGAGGGAGAAGAACGAAATGAGCAATAGAAATCACAACTGATGGGAAACTCCGTTCCCCTGTTTTTCAAACCTGGTTATTTTTCTTTTTAATAAACAATGCAAATTTTAATCCCATTTAAAGTAAACTAGGGAGCACATTATCGAACAATTGAGTTTTGATCTAGTTGAGTGGGAGCAAATCAGCATGGATTGTTTAGCATATATTACAAATGTATATAATGAAATTATGGCAGATGGCTCTTATATGATATCTAATAGGACCAGTGAGGGAGTAGCATTTGAGATATGAAGAGCTATGAGATGGTAGAGAAAAAACGGAACGACTCGTGACGTATGCTGATAGGTGGATATGACCGTTATCACGCAAGAAGCGGATTGAAGACTTCGCACACAGGCCACACGCAGGCTACACAACAGGCGAAGGTACTAGCCAAGTTTGGTTCCTGAGGGGTGTGTGCTTTGATAGACACGAACAAGACAAACAACAATATCAACTTAAAGCAACCTGTAAGGATTGACGAGTATATGATGATAAAGTAATGATCTCTTGCGTGCTATTGTTGTCATCCATGTTGGTTTTAGATTCGGTACTAGGATGATTCGTGCGGCGATCACTTTTACTTTGGTTAGCAGCGATTATTGTTATATCTTGTACTTGGGGCTTCTGTACTCAAAATGATGGAACCTATAACCATGTGGATGCGAGGCATACAAGTAAGTGCTTGTTTATTATCCCATTGTTCGCTTATTGTGAGACTCGTTTCCCATGAGAAAAGCGCAAGCTGAGCGGGTGGCTTCGTTGTTAAAGTATAACGACAGTCAAGAAATCTCTCTTTTACCAACATTCACTGTTACAACCACACATATTTAACTGCTATTTTTAAAGGCTAACGCAGTGCCACCTCCTCGTGGTAGTCTTTGGAAACATTATTGAAGTGGATGATACCAGCATTGGAATAAGATTCTACTACTGTTGGATCTTTCTCTACGTGGTATATTCACAAATATATTGATGTTGCTGTCTTCTTGATTGTATTAAGTATAGTTCTTAGCAACCATCTCAGTACTCCGAGCAGCCATCGTATTGCTCTTATTAAAAGCCAGTGGTCGATCCTAATAACGTCATTCCACTTAACCTGGCGGTTGTTTGACATGCTCAGTGGTACGTATCTTTTTTTAACAGGCGCTGGCATCTTATCAAAATAAGCGGCTACGCTCTCAGAGCATAGTATATACACAACTCGCATAGTAGAACATATGTTAGTGCAGGGTGACACGTCTCCTTGAGGACGACGGCGACGACTGTCATCGGCCTGCTTGTACTTCCCTCTCCATTAAAACGAGCCAGCCAGAATTTATGATCACTGCTATGAAAGCTGATTTAGTAATCCTGCAACGACTCGAAAAGCTTTAAAAGTCATGCTTTGTGTCTATAAACTATTGGTTTTTTCTTGTTTTGCTCATGACATATCATCGTCTTTTTTACTTTGCTATGGATATTTACATGGCAGCTTCGAAAATGCAGGTTTTGTCACGCTTTCGGTAGTATCTTTTAAAATTTGTATGTTGTCGTTCTTCGGACGGTGAATCAGTGGGTATATGAACTACAAAAGCACAACAGACCATGGGAGGCTCAAGTACGTTAAAAGCTGCTTCTTGTGCTATAAGGTCACGAAGACTCATGCTATTCTTGTTGGCAGCACATATGTCAACGAAGGTATCGGGTAAAAACGTTGCCGGCGCACGGTCTTGTACACAATGCAGTTATTGTATCGGAGATCGTCGTCGTTGGCGCAGATCCGACGAGAGCAAAGCGACCAGTCAGTGCAGAAAGCCAGTAATGCGACGGAGAGTAACAAGCGACATAGGTGAGGTGATTCACCAAGAAGTAAGGACGCAAAAATAGATGACCGTGCAGTACAAGTGCACCAAAGCAAAGTGTACTAAAAAAACGACAAGGACAAAGTGGTGAAGCTCGGTAACGGTAGGAGAAGGAGGATCTGGTTTACAGCCCTTCTAATTGATGATAGCCTTTAAGAAACAGACCTGCGTCAGTGTTGGCTGCCTCATTCTGAATGTCGACTCCTTTGTTCCCGAATCACAGCATTGTTCACGACAAAATCAATGTCACTTCGGCAACGATTTCGAATGGCAACTATGTTGCTCAATGCAAATGTCTTTATTGTGCAATTAGGAACGAGAATGAGGAGTCTCGCTCGCATATATGAAGAAGTCTTACAACAATATAAAACACCGCACAAATAAGTTCAGCGAACGAGAAGCATTTTTTATTTGATACATGATACTAATCAATAATAGGGTGTCGATGTCTTAGCTTCCCTGCTCTTGAGCAGGTACTGACAGGAGCAACCACTGGAAGGTGCATCGACATCTGCTCCCGTAACCCTCTCACCACAAAGCTAGGGTCTTGTCTTGGTCGCTTTGTGGATCACGGAAGGTCGATTGGTATTGAGATGCCCAGTCCGGTCTCACCAATCGCGACGTGCCTACAAAACAAGCACCACCCACACACACACACCCACTTACCTTCAACCACCTACCTTGCACCATCGTCGCCCGTGCCTACAAAACAAGCACCACCACCCACCCACACACCCACTCACTTACCTTCAACCACCTACCTTTACGCCCTCGTCGCCCGTGCCTACAAAACAAGCACCACCACCCACTCACACACCCACCCACTTACCTTCACCCACTTACCTTACGCCTCCGTCGCCCATGCCTACAAAACAAGCACCACCACCCACCCACCCACACACCCACTTACCTTCACCCACTTACCTTACGCCTCCGTCGCCCATGCCTACAAAACAAGCACCACCACCCACCCACCCACACACCCACTTACCTTCACCCACTTACCTTACGCCTCCGTCGCCCATGCCTACAAATCAAGCACCACCACCCACCCACCCACACACCCACTTACCTTCACCCACTTACCTTTCACCTCCGTCGACCCGTGCCTACAAAACAAGCACCACCACCCACACACACACCCACTTACCTTCAACCACCTACCTTTCACCTCCGTCGACCCGTGCCTACAAAACAAGCACCACCACCCACCCACCCACGACCCACAAAAACCCGCGTTAGCCCCCCCTCCCTCCCCACACATCCACAGAAAAAAGAGAGGAACTTACCACATGTGATCGTGAAAAAGTGAAAAGTGAAAAGAGAAAGAAAAAGCGAGGAAGCAACACGCTGCGTAAAATGGGTGTCTTTTTATGGGCAAAGTTCATTTCCAAAAAGAACGCTGGTCTGGGGCCCAATGAGATTCTGAAGAAGGGACGCTTGCTTTTTTGTCCTTTCCTGTATCTTTTTTTTTTGCGTACAAAAAACTAAAATAGGCAAAGATAAGCTCCGTGCTCAACAAAGCGCACAACAATGACAGACGACAGTAACACGATCACAACGCGCATTATCACACTTTGGCACTGTTTTTTATCTTTTTTTTTTTTACTTTCTGTGTTCGCGTAGTTCAGTTCGCGAAAATAATGGAAAGGAAAAAAGTTTTATTATTATTCCAATGTACATCACGTAGTTCAGTTCGCGAGAAAAATGGAAAGGAAAAAAAGTTAGTTCGGAGGATACGTTCCGAGCCAATCTGGTTTGCTTTTTTCGCATGTATCATACTTCACGCGCACCCTGGGAAAAGCAGACAGATAGGATATACGATCGACGCTGTTTTTCTTGAAAAGAATCCCTTTCTCTGCATCCACCACGCTTGCCAGCTTACGATTATCGTTCGTTAAGCTGACCACCGAGCGAGCTCAATGCGAGACTAAAGACGACAAGCAGTCTAAAACCACACCTCCATAAGCGTATACAGTGTAGTGTTTTCGCCTGGACGAGTGACGTCCCCCAACTTTGGTTCCATCCCCCCATCCAACCCCCCACCCCCAACTTTATTCACGGCCAGCACGGAAGGTCTGCGCATGAAGAAGCCGAGCATGACAGCAAAGTACAATGGAAACCCTGCGCAAAAAACATCGTAACTTGGCCTCAGAGCCTCGAAAAAACAAGGGTTGAGTATGTGCGTGTTGCTACGAGTCTGCCCATTGCGCTGGTTGCGGTTGTGTGAAAAAAGCGCTGCGAATCGCTTCGCAAGAGCAGCCGCCATTTCGCTCGGAATCGGTCAAAATGGGTGGCGCGAATAAAATAAAATGTGTTTTGACATGCTTGCCCTGGCAACAAGCGGCTTTCAGGAACATGGATTGTCATGACTACTGAATGCCATGGCAATAAACAGCTTTCTTATGCAGTGCAGCGTGGTCAAGCAAGCTTCATAAAGAAGGATGTTCACTGTGAGCGGTAAAGAAATCATGGGTGGAGTGAACCGGAAAAGGAAAATTTTGTTGACATGCTTTGTGCAGATTAGAGCAACTACGAAAAGGAAGCAGGATACAGAAAGCGCGTTGTTCTTCTTCTCTTCTTTTCTTACGATGAATCATCATACGATAAGCACCAAAGAGTATAGGCTATCATAACTTCGACAATCATATTCACTGCTCCTTATGAGAGCAATTTGATGCACGTAGACTGGGTTCCGCCCTCATACCGCTGGTAGCATTAACAAAATCCCAAAAATTAAGCTATTTTACATTGAAATGTATGCTCACTGATCTGAACACGTCTATTCTGTCTAAAATATTACATACGTCACTTCCTAATTTTGTTTTCCTTTTCTCTTTCTATAACCCATCTATTAACCTTCAACTTTTTCTTCCCTCAACCTTGCTATGTCTCTTTTCCAGTTTACTCTTCATCGTTACAAGTGCTTAGTTTATTGATGATAGCAATGCCCATATTCTTATCCAAATTTCTAATTGATTGCATACTCATTTTAAATGTCTGTTAAATAAGGGGGAGATGGCAATTATTAAGCGACCAGCAAAAATAAACAAGGTTCATCCAATCCAAACACGACCTTATTTTGGATGATTGACATCATTGTTGAACAAAGAAATTTTTGGCACGATTCAAAACTTATAATCCAGCGGCATTACTTTCTGAAATGACTGTATATAGGGATTACCCTTGCGACGCGTTCCCGTTGAATGACGCGGAGCGAAGCGAGGCAGGGACCGCTAGTAAAAGCATATTTATTGGGAGCAGTTACTAGGAGGAGGTGGATGAAGGGTGGAGGTGAAAGATATTGGAAAGTTGGCCATGGTATTAGAATCAACGTCTCCGCTTTCGTTGACTACCTGCACTTGAATATGAAGATGTCGACTTGCGTCTCCTTCGCGGTGATGTTCGTACAGGTGATGGCATTGCTGCAGCCGTTGCAGTCGCTGATGCTCCTCGGGGCACATTCAATACACCAGCTTGAGTTCCATCACGCGCTGCTGCAACCATGAACGGTACCCATGTTAATGATTCCATCTTGGCTACCGGGCGCAGCTTCTTTTTGCTTTCTGAACAAGGATGGTCTGGGAGCAATTCAATTTCGTAATAGCAGTTTTCCCAGTCAATGCTGTCGTCGTCACCATCATAATCCTCACTTGACCGCCGCCGTCTCAGCATGCCATTTACTCTGAGCGTGAACACTATATCCTCAACCGCAATTGATGTTGCTTTACTCAGCTCTAAACAAGTGCATCGCCCATATTAGCACATATGTCGTAGCTGCTCACACATCATGCACGAATCATCAATACACCAGCAATTCAAATTTCTATTCATACCTTCAATACTACTAGCAGGCATCTTTTCTAGCTCACCACAGAGAGCTTGAGTCCAGTACTTGCGATAGCTTAATAGTCCAAGATCCGAAAGTGGGCGCTCTGGCGTTCCAACTTTGCCTTCCTTGCGAGACAGCATGTAGCTGAAATCAATCAGGAATTGGCCATAACCTTTACGTTGATAGGACGGTAACGTCATGATGCATGATAGATTGTAATCCAGTAGCGACTTTTTTTCCTGTATGAAAAGCGCATATACGTGTGAGCAAAACTTGTTGGAAACACTTTAATAAACTACGACTCTTCGGTCCATTCTGTGTCTTGAAGGTCGACATGCCTTTGAAAAGTAGCCGACAAAATGGCAGCCTTGGGAATCCATCTCTGTCAAGATATAAAACAGAAATGGCTCGACGTCGTAGTACAAAGTCTTGTGATCCAAAAACATTTTGGCTAATAGACACAGGTTTTGACAGTAAGTTTTGTTTTTGCGTCCGTCCACTTCGAATACAGAAAGCATGCCGTCGCGATATATTTCGTCTCCTGGTGGATGCTTCATTGGGCATTTTGCCTACACGGGGGGTGGGGGATCAATAGAAAGATAGCGGGTTACGTGCTGTCATCGGCTGATGCAAAATATATATCCCAAGGCCCACTTTTTCTATATTCTGAGAAATTTACTTTGTGTCGCTTTGCCACAAATGCACTTTTCATGTAACGCAAGCAGAACTCACAAATGTATAGCACTTCCAAGTGGCTGTATTCTTCTGGGTACGGCGCAAGGTACCATACGTCAATCAGATACGAGCCAATCTGCACTTTTTGTATATGTGCACCGCGCGTGGGCAGTGGAAGGAATGCCTGTGTCGGTAAGGAAGGTGGCTGTCGAACCGGTCGTAAGGAAAATCGCTGCTTGGGCTGTGATTGTGGGGAAGGCAACGGCGGTGGGGATGACGGCTCTTTTGGTTGGTGTCGATCAGTGGCGCCGTTGTCGGAGTTGGTGCGAACTTGCTCGTGCTTTTGTTCCTGTTGCTCAGACGCCGGTTCTTTTTCTTCCACGGCTGCTGCTCCTGCTTGGTGGTGGGGTGATGGCGGTCCTGCTAGTGCTGGCACCACAGCTGCCTCTGTCACTGCTGACGATTGTTGCTGTGGTGAAGTTGCTGTTGTTGATGATGCTGGTGGTAGCACTGCCACTTCCTCAGTGGTTGCTGCTTTTAGTCCTAGTTCTTCTGCCGATGTTGTCGGTGTCGCTGCTACCTCTGTTGTTGTCGTCACAGCGTGTGCCGACGAAACCGTCAATGATATTTTTTTACTCGCGTCCTAGTATTATTTTATCAACACGCTTGTTCAGTTAGCAGAAATGAAGGAGAACGTAAAAGCTATGGACAATTACCTCAGCGGCACGCTTTGCTGTTTCGTAACGGACAATACTGGAACGACTTGGCAAACCGCGTGCATATTGAGCACCAAACCACGATTGACCCTCTTGCAAAGCTTTCAATGGACAGTAGAGTGGCATGTGACCCGAGAGATTGAGTGGATTCGGATCGCTGTTCAATGCAGCCCGTGTCCAGCGACGATGCTTAATAACGGCAGCGGGTTTTTCTTTGGTCATAAAAGTAATATGGAAAAGAAAGAGGCGTTTTTCTATTGTTGGTTTGCCCTAGGCCAAAACTACAGTGGACCGCCTCTCTTTCTGTCTCTCTCCTTTCGCTCTCTCTTTTCCTTTTACAACCCCCTTGTTTATTGGCTGGCTTGCTTTCTTATTGCTGCCCGAAAACAACACTAACGGCAGCTAACGCTAGCACGAATAAAAGAACGAACTACTCCGAGTTCCCTTCTGGCACAATGGGGAGGTTTTGGGCAATGCAAGTAGAAAAATAATGGTTGCAATCACGGTGGACTGCTTCGTCCGCACGTACACACAAGGCGACGTCCAAAACCGTTGCGTTGGGTACTAGATTGTAGTACTCTGCATCATTATTATTAATAAATTAGTAAACTAAGCTGCAATAAGCCTTCGTATCAAAAACAATTACCAATAGCCATTTTGGGAGCTTGTGGGTTATCCAGTGCACCCTTCTCCAGTGTTTCAATAAACTCATTGTACGAATGGATGGCTTCTTCCTCCAAATAGCCGCACTGATAGGTGTATACAATAAACATCAATCTTGTGAAAGCGCAGTAGTAGAGTGACCTGGTAAACTGTTGCCCTTACCATACGATGAGCTGTTCGAGGCGACCACAAGTAAAGCCAAAAATAACCGTTGAAGAACACGCCTTGGGCTATCAGTATCAGCCAGCGGTTGTACCAGCTGGGCTGGAGAAGCTTGAGCCAAATCATCAAGTGCATCCGCTCGTTCTCGGCCTCGTGGAGCAAGTGGATAATCCATGAGCCCTGATTCGTCTTGAGCTTACGCAGTGCAAGCATATGACGCAGCATCGCACCAATCATGCCAGGCACGGCTGCGATGGTTTCCAACATGACAACTCGCGTGTAGTGGTCGTTGCGAAAGTAGGTGTCAGGCAAGAGTCTGAGCGTGCGCACGAGCCTGTACGCGAATCGGTCGCTTAATCCCTGGGGTTCATAGTGGTTTGTCACGCCGACATCCACTTTTTTCAAATTTTCCCTCGATAGCTTGTGCTGGTCGCCAAAGAACTCGCGGCGCATGGGTTGCGGTCGCGCCGACTGGGTTTCGCGTAGCAGCTCTTTGGGTATTTCAAAAGAGGCGTTGCAGGTGTTCCTGCCGCTGGCACTATCATTGCTTGTGCTGCTTCCGGTGTATAGGCGACGTGTAGCAAACGTCATCATCCTAAGTGCTATACTTTTTTCCTTCTTTTTGATAGTCATAGTTGCTGTGGTAACGCTCGCTGGCGCACTAAATAGCCTTCTTTGCAAAAGAAGCGTCGAGAACAACATTATGTACTGGTGGAGTGAGAGAGAGAGACACAGAAAAGAAGAGAAAAAGTTTCCGAACAAGTGCCATATTCTCTACTTTTTTCCATAATGTTTTTATTTCATGCAGTCGTAAATATTTCATCATCATGACAAAGTTAATATGAGGGACGATCCAGGTTCTTTCTGGCTTCATAGAATTCGGGCTTGACGTTGATGAACTATAATATTAATCGGTAGTGGCCCAGTAATGAACCCAAGCAAGCATCAATTAGCATGAGTAAGAAGGGGGTTCCAGGGGAATGTGGAGCTGCTTACCTTGATGTTCTCATGCTGCTTCACGCGATTCCATGGCGCGGGGTTGTTCTTGCGGTCAACGAGAATCTCAGGATGTGTTCGCAGAAGGTACACTAATAAACCACATCCACAATGCCAAGATTTAGCTCTAACGTGCACTCCTACTCCTAATCCATCCACCACCATCATTATCGTTCATTCTTCCTTACTGGGATAGCTATGTACAAGAACACAGGCACCAATGAGCTACTGCCATATAACATTGCGTGTACAGCTACGTCGTGTGTCAAAATAATGAAAAAGTACTTACGCAACAGCGGCAGCACAGCCGGCACCGGCAAAGAGGAACAGAGGTGCCAAAGCAGGATTAGCCTTTACAAGAGATACAACCATGGTGATCAAAAGAAGAACAACAGAAAAGCGAGAGAGAGAGAGAGAGAGAGAGAGAGCGAGAGAGAGTGGGGTGGAGTAATGAAGAGAGAAGAAACAGGAAGCCTTCCACTTGCAACTACCCCATTTTTATATGATTGTTTGCTGCATGACGAAAGCATCATCAAGGCCAAGTCATGCGGCCTTTTCCCGTTTTGTTTTGCCCACGGGAAAAAACAGGTGCTTCTCTCTCTCTCTCTTCTGTGTGTGTGTGTCCTTCACATAACGTGCATTCACACGCTTCTCTGTCTCTACTACTCCTTAATTATACCATTTTCCCCATCATCCATCCATCAGTCAAACAAAGATGGACAGAATCCAGCCTATACTGGATATACAGGAGCTCAGCTATCTCTGCGGCCGCCTTATTGATCAAAGCAATGCATTGCGGGGTAATCGATGGTGACACACACCACATACATGCAGCAAGGACAAAACGTGTCGCACCAAACCAGCTAATTTAATATGTGTGAGATAGCTGAAGCGTGCCATCAAGCACTAGCCTGCGAGATAGACAATCTCTCCCGATGGCGCCGTATGATTGCAAGTACAAGAAAACACACCTTCGATGACGCCGATGGGAAGGATAAAAAATAAAGAAGGATCACTGTTATGTTTATCATTGCTGTTGTACCGCTTAACAAACAAGATTAGCTATATAGCATTCCCAAAATCAATCATTGCTGCGGGCGCCAGATTATAAAATAGGCTAATTTACGTAGTCTTCGCCGCCTTGACACACACACGCACTATCTCTATTATTAAGTTTGCGCTACGCTTTTGTTATTTTAGCGTGAGAGCTATTAACGATACGTATGAGCGATTGGCTCCTCCAGCTGCGCTTCTTGTCAAAATAGCCCGAAAAACGAGCTATGGGAAAAAAGAATATTGTACAATCAAGTTCATAGACGTTCTTTGTCGTCCATGAGAGTTTCAACCCCAGCGATATCGCATACACACAAACAGCTTCCGACAATAGTTACCGCCTAACTATTTAACACTGTCAAGACTCGAGGCTGCTCTGTTTGTTTCAATGGTGCGTGGGAACTGTGCAATGATAGTTAATCAACCAACGAAACAAAACTCCAAAACGTATTCTATCTGGAGGAAAACATATACGTTTCAATAACGACTGTAGAGATGACATATGGCAATTTCAATCAAGAGGGATCGACGGTATAATTTAGCTAACGATGACTCGTTCACCTCACATATTCAAGACATTACCCACGACACGCCCTGTCTTGTGTAACCTACTACAACGTCAGGGATTACACGCTACAATGCAGCATGAATCGGGGAGCTTGTGTCCAGGAGTTTTTTCCATCCTTGACGCAATCAACTACTGCACTTGACGGTTATATTCAGTATCTAGTATTATTGATATCACCATCTCTATCGACGAGGTAAGCTCCTTGTATGCAGCGCTGGTAGCTATTCCCGATCGCTTGTGTATTTTAACTGTAACACTGTAAAGCGCTACTGAAGTAGTTGCAGGCAATTGACAATTGATCCAACAAGTCTCTTTCCGGTTCCATCTTATGTTATTTATGTGGGACTTGCTGTCTGATCTACTTTTTCTGTATGCGCGAATGGAAGTTTTGAGGAGAAAGAAGACAACAAGGTATTACGATATTGCACCATGATTGGTCGAAGCAATACCCAGAGAAAATATTATCAAGTTCAATAAAGCACACACACATACTGTCTTTTAATACTATCTCGCACCTTTCTTTTGAGTATTTGGTAATGACGGTCAATAATATAACTTTATTTCCTGCAGCATTTGCTGCTTATCGCTCGTGCTTTTGTTTATCTCGGGTACTGAGCGTTTTATGGATACTAATAGTGTTTTCGATGTCTTTGGTAAATTGTATCGTTCTAAAGAGTAGGTGCCTGTACTATGTGATAACACACCTACACGTGTGCCCTACTGCTTAAAATATATTGCGATGTAGCGCTGCTACTGTCAGCGAGCAGTCAACAGACTTTTTTTTACTTGATAAAAAGGCTCAACAATAGCAAGAAGTAAAAGAAACATCAGCCAAAAGGAAAAAAAACAGAAACAAATATGATCACAAAGATCTTCACTTAGTGGTTTAAATAATCATATCATAACAGTGGCCCTTGCATGGTTACTTCTAACACATTCAATAATCGTGGACTGTATTCTGTCACACATTCATTGATCAAAGTTGTATATCAGACATACCTATACGCCTATTATATTAGGTAGTTTATAAATAATGGACAAAATGCGCTTGTTGCTGTAGCCCCTCGTCATCTTTTTTTGTTCCACGCACGTTCATCATTTGTCACATTATTGTTCCATTTGTAAAACCTTAAGATGGTAGTGGTTCCATGGTAGATAAGCCTTTAAGGTGCTGTTGTTGCTTTTTTTGAAAGTAGTTGTACGAGAGGTCGCTGCGGGTTGCTGATTACCATACCATCGTCGTTAATGATATTAACACGTTGACAATGATTCTTTCCGAAATGTATCTTGGCGACGACATGAAATACAGGTACAAGGAAGTCATGACGGCTGCAATTCCCATCAAAGATAGCGAACGCATTCAAAGGCTTCCGGTCATTGATCTTCTGGCATACTTGATCACGCAATTGGATACACAAGTGGGATGTGTCAAAAGATTGCAAGAAGAACATAATGGAAAGATAGAAGTTAATCATATCGACACTATTCAATCTGTACTTTTCCAATAAAAAACAATCGGTGAACATCTAGTATGACTGGAGTTTGAGAGTGAATTAAAGGAGACGACCGAAGTGACTAATCAATTTCGATGTTTTGATGAAATGAATAATCTTGACAAGCAGACATCTATAAGGAGGTTGAAACAGCCCAATACGATCCTAACATACAGCCCAGCAGCCAAATATCAGAAGGTTCTTTGAACACCGTAATAGGTAGTCTGCATATTGAGGTCATTCGTCTGCATAAATAGTGCGGGATTTAGCTAATCCTTCCTTTTCAGCACTGAAATACATTGTATATGATCCATTGTGCAGTTGCTTTACGATGGCCTGCAAGATGATTTCAATAATCTTTTACATGAGCTGGATATAATAATATATTTGGTGTTTGATGGTTGCACACAACCGATTTAATTACAAATAAAAAACGAGTATGTGCAATAATTTTACATTAAGCTAGAAGGGAAGGGGAGTGGATGGAAATATATACAGTAGAGAACATAGGCCATCAGACCGTATACGATATTGATAGTTGTGGCTGGATAACGCGATAAAAAATGCTACTAGTGATAAATAAAAGATAGGTGAATAGGAAAAGGAGAGATGAGTCAACAGGTATGACTATGCTGTGACTGACGTCAGTTCAAGTATTAGAGCTTAATACGTCAAACATGAAGCAGTAAAGACACGAACGTAGCGCAATTGAACAAGGGATTAGTTTACAGAAATAATGTCCAGCTAAGTATGAGATATATACGCTGAATATTAGACGCTATATACACAGTAACGATATCGTCGTTGTACGGTAAAGCAGAAACACAATTTGATTACCGGTAGAAACAACAGAAGACATGAATACTTATAAAAGTACTGATAAAGCGAAAAAAATGCTTACTTGTATTAGAGAAAAGAGATTCATACGAAGTCAATTGTATATCCAAGAAAAAAGTAAAAAGAATATAAGAAAAGTAAAAAAAGTAAAAAAAGGAAAGGGAAGAAAGTGGTATCCATATAACCTGCACGTAGTAATTCTACAAAAAGGAAGAAGCAAGACAAAGAAAAAGGATGCGTGATATGTGTGAGAGATCATACTAAAATAAGATCATAGAGAGTTCCGTTGTAAAAGAAATGCATGGATCATCTCAATAAACAAAGATTTCCTCCAAACAAGCGTATACCTGCATTAACGCATCCTTTTCCCCCAACGTCCGATCTAGTAAACCACAAAGAAACGTAGTAGTGGTATAATGTAGTGGTGAAGTTCCGTCGCTGGCATTAACTTTTACAACGTGATCGATGAACATTGACACTTTAGCAAATATTGACCAGAGATATTAGCATATGTACTTGAACATATTGGCATTATATCTTTGTAGATGTGAATGAAAATGAGGTCACGATATTTACGGGACTAAATCGAGACAACAGTGTTTGTTAGGCTTTTGCACAACTGATAGCTATGTCGACGATCCCACGAAGCGATAACGCACTAATGAAGATTTCATTTCGCCGCTAGCAACCATGTTAGACATGTGTATACATCTTAGCCTTTCTCTCTGTCCTCTTCCTATTCTTTTCAAAGATAGCAATTCGGCTCCGAGTACGTTGTTGATTATACGCTCCATAAAACGACGGTATTCGTTATACAGTCCAAAACCAAAACGACACAGATCAGATAAACTACAGGCACCGTATCTGTTCCAGTCATTGAATAGTGATAGATGTATGCGTATGTGTATATGTGGTGAGGGAGAAGACAACAGGACGATCTTTATTTCATAAAAGAAATTTAAGCCTGCTTGGCAGCGGCCTTCTGGGCACGGACACCCTTACCGGCGCGGGCAGCCTTGACCTTCTTGGGAACCTGCGACGAGTAGACGGCGGAGGCACGGGCAAGGGCAGCCTTAAAGAAAAGAAAAAAGTTTTTTTAGAATTTATTTTCACAATCTCCAATGGCCAGTGAAATAATTCAGAAAAAAAAATTCTTTCTTACCTGGCGCAAGTCAGCGCGGTAGCCAGACTTGGCAATCAAGTTGGCAACCGACTTGGCAGTACCACGACGCGACTTGGTGACAACGGTCTTGTTGAGGGCCTTGACGGGAGTGTTGGCCTTCTTGACAATCTTGGTGGTCACTTGGACACCACGACCAGCACCACGGATGTCAACGGTCTAAAGAAATTCGAAACATTCCCACCATTAATTACTCCTTCGCTACTTGTTTTTTTTCCATTCCTCATCAGTTCCGTTTCATTTACCTTGCCGTTGGCAATGCCAGAGTACTTGAAGGTGTTCAAGTTAGTCAAGTTACCAGGCTCAGCGGAGAACTGAACGTTGGAACGCTTGACGAGGAAGGAGTTGTTGTTCTTAACCAAAGCCCAGACCAATTCGGCGCTCATGATCTATAAATGATGTTGTAACGAGTTTCTGTTGATATTTGTTGTTTCGGCTTTGCAACGAAAATGGGAGGTCGACATGGACATAAAAACGCAACTTACGATACTTTGACGTGTAGAAACGAAAAGAGAAAGGAAGTTCCACTAGCGCAGGCAAAGAAAATTTTTACCTCGGCCGCCCCATTAACAAGCCACTCCGGCGCCCGATAATTTTTTTTTCTCTCTTCGGGGTTTATGTTAGTTAAACTGGATAGTGATGATGGGATGTGCATGAGCTTGCGGTTCAGCGGGTTTACGATAGATGGATTCGATTACAAGTGTGAAAAAGATGGCAAGAGAAAATGAGCATGTACCCTGGATAGCAGTGGCGTGCAGCTGCCGCTCGCCCAGCTGTTGTTTTTTTTCCTATCAAATTCACATAGTACAAAACGACAACTAATTTTTGTGTATAAACATCACTATTCAACCCGGCATTATCTAGCTGCAACGTTTCGTGGCTGGATCGTAATTAGATTCCATACAAATGCATTTATTTATAGGATATGTGTATGTAGGCGATTTTTGATAGGTAGGGACGTAGGATACGATGATCTAAAGGTTTGCTTTCTTGTTCTCAATACTCATCACTGATCTTGCTCTCTTCGCTCTGGATCCGTTCCTGGGTCCTTTGTACAACCATGAACCAATCGATAGCATGAATGTACAACAAATGGCCAGCAGTTGTAAAGATGATCCCGAGACATAATCCGGTCACCAGGCCGGCCAGCTGCCAATCAGCCTTAAATGCGAGGCTATATGCCGTTGGTATCCCAATAGCATAGTACATGACGGTGTTGATCCAAGCCGTAACTTCCGGTCTTCCTGCAGCACGCAGAACTCCTGTAGCAACATTTCCCAAACCAAGGAAAACTTGAGCAATGGCAAGAAGTGGGATCATGGTTGCTACAGCAAGCACGATGTCAATGTCGGGTGTAAACAAATAACCCAAGCTATCAGACCAAACCATTAATGCGGCTGACAATAACGATCCCAAACCAAGGATCAAGCCATAAGCACAGCGGACCGCTTGTTGCGCATCGGCAGGTCGGCCGTTTCCGAGCGCGTTGCCTACACGTGTTGCGACTGCGCCAGAAACACCCCAGCCCATCACGCTGCAAATATCATGCACATTCATGATTATAGATTGCGCCGCCAATTCGGTGGTTCCTAGATAGCTAGCGCCAAACGAGATGAGGTGACTTGAACCGAGCTCCACATAACTGGTGACAATACCGGGTACAGCGAAACGGAAGAAGGTGTTCCAGTCGGAAAGGCAGGCACGCGTCCATCCACCCCAGCCTTCATAGTACTCTGGTGAAAAGCGTGTATAAGTTGCAAGCAGGAAAAACATGATCCAGGAGGTAAGACTGGCTGCAAGTGGAACACCGTCAAAACCGAGATTGAATGGCTCGCAAAACGTCAAAATGTAGGTCAATACGATGTGAATGGGCGCAACTATCATAAGAACGTAAGTCGCAGCGCTCATAATACCGATGGCTTGTAGATATTTTCGCAGGACGTCACTAAAATATTTTAAAGCAATGTTATTGACAAACTCCTGAGCATTCGATCATCATTCATTAAAAGCACTTACGAAAAAGCATAGGCTGGAGCTCCGATCAGATAATATCTTAAATAGATGCCTACGATAATAAGACATTGTTGTAGGCATTATATAGAGGCATTGGTCATGTTCTTCACGTTTGTTCCGTCTTTTTATGCACTTCTGAATAGAAAATTTGACGGGGAATGTACCTGCGTAAAGTGCCACTTCTGGTTCCTGGCCGATTGCCAACAAGATACGACTTGCATTAAGCCACAGGAGTGCAACGGGCACATGCATGATGCTTAGAATTACTAGTGCTCGCTGCAGATGAACGCCAACCAATTTCCGGTCTTGTGCGCCCGTCCAAGCTTGAGAGCATAAAGTATCAAGCGCACTTGAAGCACCATATGTAACGGTGAACCATGTTGTGGAGAGGAAAATTGTGGCCAATGCACTTGCTGCAAGCTCAGTCGACCCCTAATACGATGATCGTTGCCATGGTTGTATAACGATCAGTTGTGAATTCACAAGCAGTTCGTTAACGTCTCTGTTGTACTTCCCGTTTCCAAGAACACTTACAAGATGGCCGAGTGCAAGGACGCTAGCAATGTTTATTAGGACTTTGAGTATATAATACAGTGTAACAGGTACGCTTTTATAGAACAGCCAGTTCAGCTCTTCGGGCCACGTTGGTGCCAACTGCACTGCTACGGTTCTTGTGCCCGTTGTCGCTTGTTGATCTAATAAAGGGCTCCTTTCCGTTACTTTGGCCATGTGCTGCGGTGGATAATATAGTGTGCAAGAAAAAGATGAGTAAAAATAATTACAAGAAAAGAAGAATGTCGACGGTACAGGGAGAAGAGAGTATTTTATAAATCTGCCCCCTGTTGCTGTGGTAGGGAAGCGAAGAAAAAGGAGTTTACATACAGCAGATGACGGCGCATGAGTAGCACAGAAAAAGAGATTCCACCCTTCCCGTTTAATTTCAGCTGACTGACCCAAAATCATCTGGAACCATCGATGTAGAAAGGCTTTACTCCAATATATCTTATTCAACAAAGGTAACCTTGACATTACTTATTATTTCTAATTGTTACCGTTGCGATAATCTATCCAGGTCATCCCTTAGCGCTCGCAGTGTATGGAGACCACAACAACCCACCACGAAATTTCTCAAATGATGCATATGCTCATCCAATTAGAAAATAGATCCACTGGCACGAAGCTGAGCTACAGGCTCATGGTGATAACAATGGTGGTGTACGATGATGCAAAATACATCATGTATAAACATACAGCTTAGATGCTCTCAGCTACACAGGGGTCCCAAACAGACCGCTTTTTGTCCTATTGATTCTTACTGTATTTTTATCGCAAATAAACATGCCAATGAGAAAATAATCATGCGAATACAAGATTGTACAGAGAGATTATTTTGGGTTTTCCATTTTCGATGTACTACTTACACTTCTTCTTTCTTTTTATTGGGTTCTTCTTTATGATCCTTGTCACTGAGTACATGACAAACAAGCTCGACTTGCTCAGACGATTAAATATACGTAGTTCATAGTACTAGTGCTGCCAAGTTATCAGGTAATGGTAAAAGCTATCTTGCATATTTTTCTACACTGATTTCATAGGCGCATTTATCCATGTACAGACATACACAAGAAATCAGAAGCAGATCGGCTCTGTAGATCCAAAGAGCTATTGCCAGTAAATTGAAAGGACAATAGTACCTCACATGTTGTCGTGGGCAAGCTCAACAACAGTACAAGCAGCATCATCATGCATGAACCTGTCAGAGCGTATGTTGCTGTCCTGCGATTTCGGAAGGCGACAGGAACGCTGCATCTTCAGAAGCAGGTTTACTCGTTGCTGCTAGTGCTGATGCTAATGGCTTATTAAAAGATGGCTGGATAATATGGCATTTCACTCCATTACAATTTTGAAAATTTTGTATACAAAATACAGTGTGGGTACAGTAGATAACTCTGTCTGGACGGATCCGATGTCGAAACCGCCGATACATCATTGCCATCTTCTCAACGCCGGGTATTTTCAAATTGTTTTGTTTTAAATGATACAATCACGATAGCAATTCAGTTAAATTGCTAAAGAAGTTGTCCTGCGAAATACACTCCACCAACCCTCGTATATAACATCATTTGCGAATGCTTCTCTAATAGAATTGGACACGATTACTATGTAAATTGATAGAAAAATAATATTGGTATTTGTGATTATTTACAAGTCAGGTTGATTAATATACATGTATGGGTGGTTGTGTACTAGTATTGGAAAAAAAATAGGAAAGTCACGGAAGAGACATAAGAAATGATGAGAGAAAATGTTTGATGGAGTAAGGAGTTAGAAGAAAAATGGAAGGTAAAGAATGGATGAGATCAAAGAACTGTGTGCTGATGCAGCGATAATGACTTAGAGGAAACGGAGCTGCGAGGGCGTAAAGTGTAATGGCTTCCAGTCCAGTTTGCCAGGTACAATCTTTCTTCTGCGTTTTTTCTGATTGCGTTCAAACTGCTCAACCACCTTGTCACCCAAGCAAATGATGTGTTGACCCCGGTAATACTTGAGGGCGCCAATGTTCTGTAGCGTGTGAAGAATATCTTGAGACGTGATTGACGTCTTCTGCGAGATCTCCTCGATCGTCACATCTTCATTCGTGGATAAAAGGTATTCGACAATGGTTTCTGTCCAATAGGCACGATATGATAACAACCCCAAATCCGACAATGGTTTTTCTGGCGACCCCGTCCGCCCTTCTGCCTTGGATAGTTCGTACGAGAATGCAATCAACAATTTTCCATAACCCAGCCGCTGATACTGCGGCAATGTCAAGATACATGCAACGTTATAGTTTTCCGACGATTCCTTTTCCTTTGAAAAATATCCGATCAAGTGGCATCCAACTTCGTCTCGTACGGTCATACAGTAAAACAAGAATGGATCAACGTCGTAGTACAGTGTTTTGTGGTCAAGAAACAGTTTGGACAATAAGCATAGGTTGCGACACCATGTCTTTTGCTTACGGCCATCAATTTCGAAGAACGAGACCTCTTCATAGCGATAGATCTCGTTGCCGGGTGGGTGCTGCAATTGACAACGGTCGCGATGGCGTTCGAGTTGCTTATGTGATGCGTAATAAGACAAGCAAAACTCGCAAATGTAGAGCGTGTCGCAGTAAGCGTACTCTTGTGGATACGGCGCAAAGTACCATGCCTCGACTTCATGTTTACCCATCTGGATCTTGTTCAAGTTTTTCACACGTGCGATTTCGCTGACACATTGAGTCATGGAACCAGACGTTCGCAGCTTTTCAATCTCTTGCTTTTTGGAAAATGTTTCCTGCGGTGCATGTTCTTCTTGAACCACGTCCATCGTTTCACCATCCTCCTCATCGTTGCCAAGCACGACATGATGGTTTTCTTTGTCATCAGTAGCTGATTCTGCCGCTGCTGATCCAGGCGTTTCCAATCCGTCATGCTGTGCTTTACGTTTCTGTCCTGCTGTCGGTGTGCTCGCACGTAATGGTGATTGATTTCGTTGCTGCTGTTTGCCTGCCGGAGGTGTAGCAGTTGCTTCTCGGTTCTTATTCTTCTTTTGATCAGGCTTTGGGAATTCGATTTCGCGGTTAAAGTCAAGCCGTGAAAAATCAACCCACTCGTCTAGACGCTTGTTAAATTCGACGTAGTGCACATAATATTCCAAGCCTGGTGGGTCCGCCTTCGTCTCTCGTGCCCACAGAATCTCTGCTTTTCGATACTCATAGTCAGTGTCACTGGTGATCTTTTTGACAAAAAGTTTGCATTGAAGTGGCGATGCAATAAATCGTTGGATCTTTGCTTGTTTTTGCTTTTCTTTTTCCGAATCATCGCTGCCGTTAATGTTGCTAGTGTTGCTGCTGCTATTGCCGTTGGTACCGTCACCATTGCTGGCATTCGTCACCGCCGTAGCTTGCTTCAAAGCTGCTTCTTTGACTTCATCTGTTGCGTTCGTCATATTTGCTGTCATATTTTCGTTCGCATTGACAAGATTGGCGGGATCTCCTTTAGCAGAGCTGCTCATGATTTGTCTTCTCGTTTTCTATGAAGTACTTTGAAAGAAGGCCAAGATTGGAAGAGCCCAAAGTGATGACATCATCAACGATTTTTCTCCACACATTTCCGCACACATGCCGGTCTTTGAAAGACGGCTAAAGTCAACCTCCAGGAGTGTTTACTTTGTCTTTTGTCTGTCCTGTTTCACCCACACTCCCCACTCTCCCGTTTTCTTATCATATAAAATGCTGGCCACTCGCTCCATGTTGAAGACCGTTGCTCAAAGTAACACATCACTACGAAACACAACAATTGATAGCTCTTGACTATGGATTACCGACTATTATTTTGTTATTGTTATTATCTTTAATAGACCCTGCTATTCGCAATGCTATGTTCAAGAATGCCGCCGTGGCACCCGTGGGTGTGAGGTTAGATAGATATTGACGAACATACATCCCCACACAACGATTTCAATTGAAATGCACGAATATTGACGAAAACCACCTTTTACTAAATTGTCTCCCTGCTGATTCATATATAGACACTTTAACGCGTCTCGCCCCTCCATGGAGCAATCGCCCGACGCCGAATCCGAGCTTTTGCGCCAACAGCGCAAATTGCGTCCCGTTTCGCCTCACACTACCATTTACCAACCCCAGATCACTTGGTACTTGTCTGGTATTCACAGATTCACTGGTGTTGGCATGGGTCTGGGTATATATTTTTCGTTTACATTATGTTACATGGAACCAGCGATTTGGATAAAGGAGAATATAGGCGGTAGAGAATACAGTAATGGTAGTAATATATTGATCGATGTTTGCTTAGGCTTCTACGCTGGTGCCCTCGCTTACTTGGGCGCCCCCGCTGTCGGCTACCAATTTGATACTGCTGCCATTATCTCTGCCTGTGGCGCTGCTCCCCTTGCTGTCAAGCTTGCCGCAAAGACCATCTGTGCCACCCCGTTCGTTTTCCACTGCTTGAACGGTGTTAGACATTTGGTAACGATTTTTTTTTGAATTCTGATAAATTTATTATAAGCTTGACATCTGTCGCTCGAATTCAATGGCAACCAAGCAGAACTAATACTGACCAATGTATAGGTCTGGGATGTCACCAAGTTCATCGATATTAAGGATGTATACAGAACTGGCTATGCTGTTATGGGTGGTACTCTTGCTGGCACCTTGTACCTTCTTTCTTTGTAAAAACCAAAAGTTACTACATACACCTCTTATCCGAATAAAACAAAAGCCGCGGTTTGTTCAGCATGTGAAATTTTCTGACGGATCCGTTCAATTCCGATCACTAAGGCAATAACGTTTATGCAATATGGAAATTTGTTAAAGCACAGGCCAGCAACCATGGTAACGCTATATACTCTCTGGATCGGGTTGCTAGGTTAGTTCTAATGGCTTTCGTTGCCATGGACATGGAGGGTCATCATGTTTGCATACATATTGATGAATGTAACCTTTTATCGAGAGAGCGAAATAAGCGCTTAGTCATCGGACCCTGTCCTGGGTAATTTGTGCTACTACGCTTAAAGTTCCTGTCATTAATAATGAAGCCTAGGGCAATGGAGTGGGGTATAGTTTTATCCTATTCAAATCATTAAAGACAGAGTAATTCTCGCATGCACACAAGCGTTAAATCATAGTTTCGCATATCCGTACCTTAAAAAATCACCCGCAGATAAAGATCTCACAAGCAACTATCCAGATCTTATATACGACAAAAAGGCACAGGCTCCTCGGACCTCTTCTTGAAATTAGTCCGTAGGAACTTGTAAATGAATCAATGATTTATCGCTGCTTTATAAATTTATTTTCGGTCAATATTATCCGGCAATATATATGCAATCACACAAACTCTGCGAATAGATACACGTATACCTCATCCAACTTGGACAGTTGCCCTGTTTTCTAAACCAAAGTACCATGTCTACAACATATGACCTCTTCGGTCTACTCTGAGAATGCTTCTATTACCAAAAACACATGTCCTATTAATCTTGAAGCGAAAAATTCACCTGAACTTAGAGAGTATTTGATTAAGGACTTCAAGCTTTTGAAGCGCACGATTTCGACCAAACGATTGACTCTTACAACAGCACATTTTTGCAGGCCAGCTTCCCCCAGATAATTGATTATTGTTGCGGATCACGTTAATGGATATGAATAACTCCTAATTTACTTGAAATTGCTGTCGCTTCGCATACTGAACTAGTTACATGGTTGTTTACGTGAAGACACTAAGACTCACATTCTGTATGTGATTGTTATACACTCATCTTACACTCTTTACACTAGGAACATTTGTTGGGTGCCATAATTTCATTATTGTACTTTATTATATAACACACACATCATATCAGAAAGTGTTTTATGTATACTTATGTACTGAATTATTTTAAAGATGTGTAATTATATAAGAAAATAAAGAATTAGTTATCAATCTTCATAGTCAATACAGTAGCTGAGTATGGCTCAAAGGTATAGCCAAATTGGTTTTGATGTCTAATGTGGAAAGTGTTCTTCTTGGGAGCAATAGTACTGGGGGAGTCGAGCGTGTTTTCATCTGCGGGTTGGCCAGAGATGAAGGTTGCGTTACCGTAATTAATGACCTTGACACCCTTCAAGTTAAAGTTGACAGGTTGAGGCTCTGAATCAAGGTTGATCACCTATACAAATAATAATACTTTAGAGTTAAGTTTCTGTTGCTGTTTTTGTTATCTGTGTTCTCTTTGCTTAATCTTTTCAGCGCACCTTGACGTAAATTTCATTCTTCTCCTTGTTAGATCCAGAAACCCAGTAGAGAGGATCGAAACCGCCTTCGTCAGCATCGACTTGCAGGATGGTATCGGAATCTATTAGAAGATTCATCAGCAACTGTTTTTTGTTTCTGTTTGCTTACTGCTTCTTTGTGTATCGCAAGCATAAATACTATTTGTACTTACGGTGCGTGCTGTACATTTGGAAAACGTGGTAGAATGGAGCAACAACAACGCTCTTGGTATCGAAATGAATCATGTCTGTAAAAGCGAAGAAATATGGCTACTCTTAATATCGACGAACTTGGATTTGGTCACCCTGTACGCACTGCAAATCAATCACTTACCAGGATCCCATTGCTCTTGATCAAGACGCTTCATGGCTGGGGCATAAGCAATCATCTTGACAAAGTCTGAGTTTCGTTCCAAGCCGGTGATGAAGACACCATCAGCGAGAGCGGCCTCAAGATTAGCAGGGCTATTACCACAGCAACCCTCTGTATTGGTGGCAAACTATTATTATGGAGCAAACAAGCATTAGTCAGTCGTTTAGGAGCAGCAGCAAGATAACATTAGAAGTGAGAACTTACCTCTATCAAGGTATATAATAAACAGATAATAGAAGCCGGACAGAAATAATTGATATGATTACTCGTATTGGTTCACATTTTCGAATAGCCACTATATGTCTAAGCAATCTAATTCTTCTCTTTTACATACCTCCAACAAAGATACCAGATCCGTTGCCGCTACGAGCATAGTTATCATAATAGTCAAAGTTGTTGACCATTTCATCAGTGGTAACCTAAAATTGAGTTAAAGGTAGTCGTTTCATGAATTATTTAATATCAATAGCTACAATTCTCTTTATTGTGATATGACAAGGTTAAGACAGAGAATAACTAAAAGATTTACTTACGTAGTAGTGATCATCAATGAGATCCCAGGGACGCGACTCCTGAGCGGCAGTGGAGATGATAGTCTTGTCAGGATACTTTTCGGTGATAGCATCATAGTAAGCCTTGTAACGGTAGTCGTAGGTAGTGCTGAACCAATCTTCATTACCGATTTCAATCATATCAAATTTGAATGGCTCTTCGCGACCATGCTCAGCACGAAGCTTGCCGAAAGGAGTCGAAGTGTCACCCAGAAGGTATTCCAATTCATCCATAGCTTCCTGCACAAAAGGACCAAGTTGGTCTTCAGGGACGCTGTCGCCTTGAAGCGAATAACCAGCATAGACATCAACGATAGGCTCCATGCCCATATCTAAATAAGAGGCCAAATTAGAAGCATGTGATGAGTATGTAAGCTCTTGTTAAACGCCTTCTACTTAATAGAATGATTAAAGAAAATTCGCCAAGTGATCATGGTGACAGCCATACCTTCAGTCTATATAGTTTAAGCAGCATATAAAGCAATTATCAGTAATTATATATCTAAAATTTTAGAGCATGTTTCTGTGCATAAGACATACCATGTACATGTAATCAAGAAGACCTTGACCGTTTGTATTCCAGTAAGTCCAATCGCCCATTCTGCCCTTGCGTTCTTCAAGAGGACCGATGGTCTCGTTCCACTTCCAGCGTGTGTCGATAGTCTGGCCCTCCAAGTTGTTACCACCGGGGAATCTAATTACAGCATTTTTTGTTGTTAGGTACTACACTGAGAGACTAACCATTATGAATTGCAACCAAATTGCATGTAAATCGAATAGGGTAAAACACATTACCTGAAGAACTTGGGCTCCAATGCAGCAAGAGTTTCGGCAATATCCTTACGAAGACCATTTTCGCGATCCTTGTAAGTTTCACCAAACAAAGAAAAGACTTGGAACCAAATAGAGTTGCCAACAGCATCTTCCGAATCGACCGAGATAGCAAAGACATTATCAATAGATGCTTCGTCAACATCTTCAGGCTTCAGGGAAACCTCGAACTTCTGGAAGTCTGAAGTCAAGCCATCCACTTGGGTGGATGCAAGAACACCACCACCGGCCTTTTCGAGAGTAACGTTCAAAGGACCCGAGAAGCCATCGGACTTGGCAAAGAAGGTGGCCTTGTACGATTCGTCGGGCTGGACACGAAGACCCCACCAGCCTTTGTTCAAGAAACCGGCACGACCCGAGTCAAGTGACTTGACATCCAAACGTAAGGAGTTGGTGTTGGCGTTGTTCAAACCAACCTCGTCGTCCAAAGTAATTGATGCTAAGCTGCTACCTTCTTCGATAACGTTCCAGAACTCAAGTTCGGGATCACCGCCAGAGTCGTTGGCCTGGAAGTTCCAGTTGCGAAGCATTTGACCGTAAAGAGCTAATCAATTAATTTATAAAAAAATTGATGATTTAGTACAAATCATGTTTTTTGAAAGAAAAAATGCTTATGTAGTTATTGAGGCAAAAAAGAACTTACCGGAATCACCGCATCTATTGATGTCTTCATACATGAGACCATATAGGATTGGTGAACTTGAGTTACCAGGAACATCATTTCGGATCGTAAGCGACAATGCAGAAGCCTGCTGCAAAAATGTCGAAGAGGCTAATAGCAGGCCAGCTGCAATTGATAGACTGGGAAGGGATAACTATTGTGTGCAAAAGAAAAGGCGACGCGTCTGATGTGTCAGCTTTTGGCCGATTGTAATGGTGATACTCTTGACAATGATGTCAGATGTATGTCTTGAAAGTAGGATAATAAACTGACCTTCATATTTTTTTAACTAATTACAAAAGAACAGCTGAAAAGTCGAATGTAGCTTAGATTGTGAACAGGCAGATGCTTTATATATATGCAAAAGTTTCTCGATGCCACTATTACACGACACGAAGTCCTCAACTTTGTGCAGCAACGTTTGCTTCGCACAAGTTAGAAAGATAAAAAATATCACGAAAATGTTCCCCGCGGTGAACTTTGTTTTTTTTTAACAGCACAGAGAGTTTTCACACAGGCTCACGTAAAAGAGCTCAGAAGCATGTAGGGTAACATATGAGCGAGAGTCAACGATTTTTTGTCACTCGGGGAAAACTAATAGAGACTAGTAGATTGTAAATTTTCATTTTATTTCGACGGCGACAACGACCGTGGGTATTCTCTGGTTGTCGTCGGCCGCTCGACGCATGACATGGATTTACAGGTTAGAAAACGCGGTCTTCTTATTTCTACGATATGTGCACATACCGGATAATATGCACTAAAGGGGTATTACACTAATCGGAAAACTTATTGACGATTGGATGGTCTACATAAAATATTCCCCGCAAAAGAGGGATGGTGGGGCCCCTCTCCTTCCATCCCCAAGGCATTACACAACTTATATTCTGTATGACATCAAGAGAAGAGAGAGTATATATTCCGCACATTGTGGAACAATCGATTCTCGATGTATAATGCAGCATCCCATACATCTGGTCAGTGGTGGGCCCTTCTATATCGGTTTGGCACAGACGGCTGCATTACCAGCTACTAATCTTACTGCCCTGTAACAAATTTTCGATGACATCGCTCTCTTGAACTTGAATCCATGTAAAGGGACAGTATTGCTAAGCGAGCAAATGAATAAACTGGGAGACTTTAATGTCCAAAATAATGCTAAACTTTATTTATTGGTCGACTGATAGACACAGTTGTATAATAGTCGAGGAAACCCCAATTTCGTGCATGGTATGAGCATGTCACAGATGATGGCCCGATTGCCACCCTAACAGCCCGTATTGCAAAACCATTGGTTAATTGTGCGTTCTAAAGAGATGCACTACAGTACATCGTATTTTGCAACTCTTTAATTTTTCATGGTACACACTGTCTATCTTCCAGAGTAGGAGAAAATGTACTTGCGGTGTTGTACGTGTAGATGATGTTTGTAATGTCAAGAGCGAACGAGCTGTCATTCGTGTTATCATACTACAGACAACAGGTTCTCACCAATATGTTGATGTGCCTTCTCTCCTTCGTATTTTCTCCGTAGTATTACCATATTCGATTTTATCGAACGTATGATCCACCTGTATATGTCGTACATATGGACAACAGCTATAGCTATTTTCCGATATATGAATCTATATGCAGCATATATCATTTTTCTCCAAAGCCTTGAATATTGATGATAAATAATATAATATTTTATCGATAGTTCCTCATTTACATATATTTGCATTATTTCAAAAACAGAGCCTTAAGCTTCGATAAATTTAGCTTAGTCAAACTTCATACAGAAATATTCATTTTATGCTTATTATTATACTTCGTCTGTGAAATTCAATAATGGGTGCATTGACAACATTGAAAAGTGTTATAAAATCTTCAAATAGCAGTAGTGTAGTAAAAGCCCCCCTTTTTTCTCGAAGGAAAATTGATCGTCTGGTGTAACCGTATTACTTTTTGCAATTGAAAGAAAGTTTCGGAAGAAAGTGGATGGATTTCCATGCATGGACAGTAGTAACCATTTCACAAAGAAATATCATCTCTAACATGTATTATGTAAATAGAGTGACGAATCACATAACGTCATTATTGCTTATGCAGAACGTAGCCGGCGACGCGGCGGAGAAAAGAACAGAAGTTACGGCAGATTAACGGCATCCTCCTTTTCAAAAGTAATTGTTCCTCTTTTTGCTAAAACATCTTTGAGCGATATATACTACAATGTCATCCATCATTACTTCTCTTAAACATATGAAATCATCGTTTACATCAATTAGCCATTTGGTATTGTCACATCAGTTCTCGTTAATGAGATATCGTATGCGTAAAAAGTAAGAACTGTGGGATACTGATAACAAGAGGAGAGGTAGGCTACAACTACTACATAATCGCTACAATTGTGAGAGAGTGTTATTACAAGTTTTACAGGAAGTCGGCAGATCCATAATAAATGGTTGTTTTCTTCATTGTTTGCTACTGCCGGCAGCACCATTGCTGCTACTACCACTAGCGCCATTTGTGCTTTGAACAACCAAAGGCTTTGTTACTGGTGGCTCTTTGTCAAATTTTGCCAGATATGCAGCATGTTTTATTTCATCAAGGGCCTAATGGTTTTACAGTGTTATTAAGCTTCATCGTTATTTACAGCGCTCGCTACAATATCTTCTAATCATATTGCCCCGCCAATTACTTACCTTGTTGGCAATATAATTCTCACATATAAAGCACCACACGGATAGATCACTGTAGCTCAAACATACTGCATGATCCGCGGTAGTCTCAAAATGTTCAAGCATGTGTCCTTGTCGATATCTTGAACAGCGTACAGTATTACACGTCAGGCACTGCCAGTTCTCCTGAGGTTCGTTGCAAACCTCACATGCCGTGTTGATGAAGACTTCGGCTGTAATTGACGCAGGAATATGAGGACATGTCGTAATGGGCTCAACTGCAAATCCTGCATTATTGCAATAGCACTGTTCTTGAGCAAATTCAGCGTTGTCCATTTGTCAAGTTGATCTGGTAGCTGCGAATAGAGTCAAAGGAACGAGCGTCGTAATGAGAGCTGGGATTTGATTTCATTTTTACACTTGATAAAATCTCAGCTCAAGCAGGCAGCTGGCTATGTGCAAACACCGTGTTTCTCTTGGACTTTGTATAATACAACCAACATAAAACGGGGCGAACACAATGCAACCGCTACAATACTTACGCGAATATACCTGCAACAACAAACCAGTAACACTTAAAGATGCAGACGGAAAAGTCGTAACCAATATTGCTGATGCCGTCACCGTATCATTCGACGACCAATCGTTTCCTCGAGAGACAGCAACTAATTTTCGCAAAAGCGGTTCGACGGATACCTATACACTCGACACCTTGATCTTTCTCGTCCAAAACTCACATCTTGACAACAGTGCTTATTTCAAAGAATGCCGGTCGCGAAATATCGAGCATGTATCCATCATTGACAAGAAGAAAGTGATGGATTATTTGACAGGCAAAGTTGAGACACAACCCAACATAGTGGCCGACAAGGAATCAACAGTTGATCAAGGTGTTATTGGTAATCTACACTTTGATCTTTTCGATTGTGAAATAGCGTGCTAGCTGCTGCAGGGCATTGAAATTGTTAACCAATACCATTGCATGTGGCTTCACTGAATAGGTAAACGACCGCGTGAAGAAGGCGCTGACGCATTAAAATCGACAAGTGTTTCGGCAGTAAGCGAAGCCAAAGGCAAAGAGAGTGCTGACCGAGAAGCAGTGAAGAAAAAGGTCAAGATTTTTGATGTCAAAACAGAAGAAACTGTGAAAAAAATTCGAACAAGAGAGGTACCGAGTCAAACACGTACAACTGTCATGCGTGGAACCAAGGTGAGGAAACGAAAATTGCGTATATGGAGAGAGTAATTCCAGATAATCCCTTTCATACATGTATTAATTTCCTAAAAATCAAGGATTTTACGTACGTGATAAGTATGGTACAAAGTGTCATGTACGGAAAAGATGGCCGTCTAAACACAGGACAGTCAAAATCAAGTATGTAATGGGTGAAGGGGACATTGCTTTGGTTTCCTTATTTCTAGGTTGTTAACAGCTTCCCTATATCTATGATGATTTTCACTTAGCAAACAAAGCAAAGTTATCCAGCAAAGGTGTGTACTTCATATTCATTTACATTCTGTTCTTTCCTAATAGCTATTGACTATTTACATTTACCTATAATATAGACAAAATCCCACTTATTATTGTACCTGCTGCACCCACTGCCAAATTTACCCTCTTTAACATAAAACAGTTCCTTGAGGATTCAAAGTAAGTTATAATTTAATTTCCTTTCATAAAACAGAAAAGCTTACTGTGCGAGTGTACTAACTGGTCATGAATTTGTTACTACTAGCTTTGTCGATGCACAGCAATTACGTGCTCAAGGTATGAAAAAGCCGGATCGTGTTACTGTGGAGCGACGGAGACGAGACGGGCAGTTGGCCGTTTATCACATTGTCGATTCGGTATCCAACTTTAAACAGTCAGACTGGTAAGGAAATGGTCTGTTACCAAGTAAAGCTGGCCGTGTGCAATTCAGAAACAATAAGAGGCTGACGTTGTATATAAAAAAAGGGATCGCGTGTGTTGCGTTTTCACCGGTGGCCAGGCATGGCAATTTAAAGGTTGGAAGTACGAGAAACCGGTGGACTTGTTTTCCCATGGTAAGAGTTGGTGATGAGTCAAAAAGTGGATATCAGAACGTTATACTGAGGCCTTCCTCTTGCTTTAAAAAAGTAAAAGGAGTATATCCAAAATGGAGCGACGAAAAAGTAACAGGACCAGTGGCAGATTGGGCTGTCACTCCACTTAATGTAAGCTCCAAACTTTTTGTCTTATGCGTGCGTGCCATATCAATTGATATGTTCTCTTTTAAATGTTTGCTTTGATTTTTTACATCACACAGATTCACCGACATCAGCGACATCAAGATAAAGCATGTGTGTCACAGTTTTGGGATACTCTAGACAAATATAACCATGCCAATAAGAGCTTCTTGAACTACTAAAACAAACCATACATACACAGTAATAAATCCATTCTCGAAAAGAGAATTTCTATGATTTTGAGTATTACCAGCGACACATCTTTGTCCATGCTAAACCACTAGTGAGTGAGTAGGAATAAGCTAATTGTAAGTTCCGAATCATTGCCTTTATGAGTTTCTGTGGGAACCGTATTCCATGACTCCAACATGAAATAAAAGGTCGTCGTGGTCACGGATTCCTGCCAGATTGTTATTGTATATATACATATATATATATGACAACGGCATTAGGTTCAACCAATCAAATGTGTAAAGCATAGGTAAAGGAGCTCGGCGGCTGCTACGTCTTTTGCTCTCATTACTGCATTGCTAAAACGACTGAACGAAAACATACAAATCTTAGTACTTAATCTTGTTTAGTCCCCATATCAGCTTGTCATACTCACTTACAGATTGTTTTCTTTCACGTAGTTTCGCATAATGTCTTAACCTGCTAAGCTAAGTATAACATATTTCTCATTGTTTTCATTTCAGGTCCTATTCCTGATTCGCTAAAAGCAACAAATTAAAGGCCTGCGTACTCCGCTGTAAAGTCGTGCTACCACCACACGTTAAAAATAGTAATCCACTTTTTTTGTGTCCAGAATTTACGCTCTTTCGTTCTTTTTTTACGCTCCTTTCTCCTTCCTTGCAACCTTCTTCCCTTCCTTTCAAACTATAAACACGCATAATGAAGTTGTTGCCAAGTAACCCAAATAGCACGGGTTACAAGGTGACTGCTGCCGTTCTCCTCTTCCTTTCCGCTACCTCATCCCCCGCATTCGCTGCAGCAAAGGCTAAAGATGATCCTTGTGCTGCCATTGCTAAAAAAACCACTGCCAGTTTTAGCGAAGCAAAAGCATGTCTTGAACATTTTTCATTTGACCAAGACACTGCTGACCAAACCCTCGAAACCATTCGAAGCGTCACCAATGAACTTTACGTATTCAATGTAAATTGTTTTCTCATTCCGTTCCTGGGATAAAAAGAAGAGAGAAAACCAGCTTTTCGTTTTTCGTTGACACGACGTTATAATTATTATTTAGGAAATCGCTGCCTCACCACCTGACATTGAAGGACTGGCTATTGTGCCTGTAAATATATCCCATGGTCTTGACGTGATCCAGAATCAGAAATGGGGATCTGATCGAGCGTTCCAAGATGCTGTTGCATTACTGCTCGACAAAGTTCAAGATGCTCACTTGGTAAATTAACAAAACTAGCTCCTCTTTTTGTTTCTTGTAAAGGTACACGGTTAAAGTAAAGAATTGTTATACTAACGGCTCGTGGTTATAGGTTTACGCTCCATTCTGCTACCGTCAGTTCATTTTTTGGCAACCTATCCAGCTCAACTCGCTCATTCGCAACCGTCGTCTCGTCGTAAATGTCGCATATGTCAAAGACGATATCTGGCCTGAAGCTAAAAAATCGTGGGTCGGCTGTGAAGTGACACATATTGATGATCGTGAAGCTATCGACATGGTCGTCGACTATGCCGTCAACAACAACGGTGAAAGCAAAGACGTCAACACATGCTACAACAACATCATGAACACCAAAAGCTATTTCCATGGCTGGGACGATGGTGCTGACGATCTGGGCTACCATCGTTTCTTGCCTGCTCAAGAAATTCACGCATACAAGCTCCGATGCCTTAAGAAGGGCACCAAGCCGACTGACGAGGACTACGACGAGCCCTTCACTGTCAAGGTGCCCTGGGTAGCCGAGGTACCGCAAGGTTTCAGCGACGCAGACTCGTACTGGCAAAGCTACTGCCAATCTTCCTATGCTTCATCATCACCCTTTGGCAAGCGTAACGCTGCCTGGACCGAAGGCACATCGGACGAGCTGAAGCGCATCCACGAAGGTCAAGCATTTGATCTTGCCCCTACGGGCAACAGCAACGACGCCGGCACGAGTGCCGATGGACGCTACATGAAGTTTATAGAGTTGGACGAAAAGGTCGGTGTGATCGACATCCAGAGTTTCTCAGTTGACATGCAGGACCGCGCCGAATTTGCCGCCAACTTCACAGCAGGTCTTGAAAAGTTCGAAAAGAACGGCATTGAAAAGATCATCCTCGACCTTTCGCAAAACGGTGGTGGCGACGCCTGTGCTGGTGAATACATTATCAACTCGTTCTTCAACTCGACGCCCGACTACATGTCCGATGTCAAATACTCGCCGTTTCTGGAGCGTGTCATTGAAAAAGCCTACGATGAACAGTCGACCAAGTGGTACGATTATCGCTCGGAAAGCCATCCCAGTCAGGCCAGCCCCGACTGGTACACTGAAACCGTCACTTACAAGCGTGGTGGCCAGGATGTCAAGTTCTCGCAACCCATCACGTTGAGCTGTGACAGTTGGGATGCTGGTGTGCAGAAGCAGTACCAAAACACTAGATGGAAGGGTTCCGATTTGCTCATCCTGTCAGATGGTCGATGTGGCTCGACGTGCGCTATCGTTGCTTCGCGCTTGCGCCTTTCCCACAAGGTGCCTGCCTTGGGCTTTGGCGGCATCCGCGGTAACCGCATGCAATACGCCTCGTTCCCTGGTGGTGAGAGCGAGCGTCTTTCCGGCTTCTTGATGGACTTGCAGAGCCTTGGTTTGGAAAACGATCCTGATGCACCTTCTCCGTTCCCTGAACGTGCTGATATGGGCTGGACTTTCCGAGAAGTGTATCGTCCCATCGAAAACAAAAAGAGCATGGGAGATGAGCGCCATTTGCTCGAGTACAGCGCCAACTTTGCTGACTGTAGACTTTACTTTGATGACGACAACGCAGACGATGTCCAGGTCCTGTGGAAACAAGTCGCAAAGATCGTTCTTGACGGCGAATGTCCTCTTTTGGCCGACAGCCAATAAAATGGAGACAATAGTAGCAGCTTCTTTTAGATATCATTTCTATTTGTGTATTAATGTTCCCTCTTCTCTTGTCGTTCTCCGTCATTCTCCTCCTTCCTCCCTTCCCAAGCAAATCAAACCATTTCTTGTACTTCTTTTGTCGTTTCTTACTTCCTTTATCCCTTATCATACCCACACAAGCACCCTGCCAGATTCAGAAATACTTTAAAAAGAATAATTCGCGATGAATCAGAAGAGAGAAATTCTTGTGCTTTATGTTTGATGTTTGATGTTATGTCTGGATGTGGCACTACGGCTGCTGTTAGACGTCGGGCGACATTGACGTTACTATGGGGTACCATTACGGCTCACGTCCTTTACAGGTGAAAGAGACTCCTCTTTCAAAGCCGACGATGTCAATGGCAATAATGACAATTCCTTCTTCCCAACTAATGACGTAGCTGAACCATCACCGGTAGTAGCAGCGCGGCGTGGGGGCGACAACGATCTACTACGGTTTCTCTTCTCGCCATGACGACGGCTGGAGCCACGATCTCTGCGTGGCGGCGAAGGTGACAAAGACTGTCGTCGGCGAGAAACAGACCGGCTTGGGCTACGTACGGTGACTGGAGATCGGTGACGATGTCCAGATCCACGACGAGAAGAGCTTGATCTACGTCTTGATTCATGGCGAGGCGGTCGATCGTGACGATGATGATGATGATGATGACGATGAGGTGGTGGCGACGGTGACCGATATCTCGATGAACGACTGCGGCCAAGCGGTGAAGGCGATCTGTATCTAGATAACCGACCGCGAGTAGCAGGAGAGGGGGATCTATCGCGACGATCTCTCGCTGGAGATGGTGACCCGTACCATGATGACCGTCTACGGCGTGGTGGCGGCGACGGCGATAGTCGACTTGGCGACCTTGGTCTGTCACGTGGTGACAAAGAACTTTCATCACGATGGCGAGGATTGTTACGGCGAGGACTGCGACTACGACGACGCGATGATTTACGACCGTGGTCGGGTAATGGAGATCTGTGGCGACGGCGACGGCTACGGCTAAGTGAACGCGGTGGTGGGGACATTAGTCGATCCTTTTTGACTTCTTCGTAATCATCATCGTATCTACGGTGACGCGACGATCGTGCCGGTGGTGGAGACATTGAACGGTCGTCGTCCTTTGGTGATACGGATCGATGTCGATGCTTACGCTTCTTCTCTGATTTTTTGTGCTTTTTGGATTTCTTTTTCTTTTTTTCCTTCTGTCGCGAATCATCATATTCAAAGTCATATTGCATGGATGCAGTAACGCCTGCTGCGGTTGCTGCTGCTGCTATTCCGTAACGATCGTTACCGTTACTATTCATAGTCTCCATCGTCTGCGCTCCTTGGGGTATCAATCGATTTGACCTGCCATAGCCCAATCCCTTTTCATCATTAATTTTGTCCAACTCATCATCTGAGTCATCGTTTTTTTTGATAGCATGACGAAGTTCTTCTTGAGTGACGTTGCTTTCCATGGTGCGCTTCTTTTTACCGCCTCTACATTTTGCATAACAAACTTTATTTAGCATTGTAGGCAAAGAAGAGAGGACCGCTTAGCGTAAATAAAAAAGAAAAACTTACAGTGCAACAGCCATGGCGTCCGCTTCAGCTTCCTTGATCCGAGCAAGTTCTTCTTGCTCTGCCTTTGACACAGCATCATCTTTTTTGCCCTTCGCGTACCAAGTTAAATCTTTGCCTGTTTGTTACAATGCGAAAAGAAATATAGTATGCGATCAGTTTTTGACAGGAAACAGTACTCCATAAGTAAGCCCTCCTCCACTTCCTTCTGCTATCACTCTTCTTACCTTGCTGCCAGCGACCAACAGGTGCCATCAGCGAATGGCCGAGATAATACTCACGGTGCTTGTCTTCTTTAACATCATCCCAACTAAACTATAAATTCTAGAGTTAATCGATCGGCGTTTCCACACTTATTCGTGAAATCAAATGAGATAATAGATAGTTACTTGATCTTTACCACCGCGAACACCTGTTAACAAGTAGAAATGGTGTAAATATACTTGAAATAGTTTCCCCCGAATCTAGCTTCAAACGGCTTACCTCCTCGGCTAGGATGAAACATTGTGTGTGCGTTGAAAGAACGAAAGGAAGCAGTTATATCAAGAAAAAAATGTATGCGGGAGTTTTAACTGTGGGTTGCCGCAACTAGTGCTCTTTTAGTTGATATATTTCAAGCACAACACACAAAACGACAAAAAGAGAATGCCAACTATTGCAGTCCAAACTGCCAATGGCGAGGTCGATCAAGAAGTACATGCGATCGATCGCTTAAACAGCCCACCACAACGTACACGCCATATTGTCGGATCCAATAATGTCGACGGCTGCCCCATTTGTTGCGAACGACCAGGATTCCCACTCGTACCACCTCTCAATTTTGCCATGGTCGCGCCAGGTGTGTACCGTTCTGGTCATCCGAACCGACAAAACTTCTCCTTTCTACGAAAACTAGGACTTCGAACAATTATGTACGTGCACCAGCTGTTGGGGCTGGAAGAGGAGGAATAGGAGGACCAATAAAGAAGAAAAAGAGCTGATCATGTTAACATCAAGTTAGGTACTTTGCTATGGAGGACTATCCACCCGAAATGCAACACTTTATTGAACACGAAGGAATTGAGATTATTCATTATCGAATGGAAGGAAACAAGGAGCCATTTGTGGAAATCAAACCGGAAGACATCACACATGCGCTGACCAAGTTGTTGGATGAACGGAGCCATCCAGGTAAATGATGTCCGTACAGTTCTATACCGAAATTCTGACACTAGTTATCTCTTTTTGTTAGTTCTGATCCACTGTTTGAAAGGCAAGGTAATGAAAAAACGTTTTAATATAAAAAGTTAAAGTTGATTGTAACTGAAGTACTTGATGCTCATAACCATTTTCTGCTTAGCATCGGATCGGTTGCCTCGTAGGATGTCTTCGCAAAATTCAGCGCTGGTCAATGACATCTATATTCGACGAATATCGCAAGTTTGCAGATACCAAGGTCCTGGCTGATCAAGAGGTATGTTTATATTTCTCTCTTCATAGCTAGCAGGAAAGGTGACTGATGTACTAATTGATGGATCAAACATTTATAGTTTATTGAAACATTTGATCATGAAAAAGTCCACTATGATCCGAGATACCAGCCAGAGTGGCTTTAATGCTCTCTCATTCTTCCTTGTATATAGCAACATACACACATAATTACTAGCACTCTCGTCTACAACTCCCGTCCATATAGCTTTAAATATATATATAGTACTGTACAAAGGGATTACAAAGAAAAGATCACTTTTGCGGTAAAGAAGATGTTTATCATTAATATGGTTCATCTGGTTTACGCTCTTCTTGATCATCGATCTGACTAGCATGATTAAATGAGGACCGACAATCAGGCTTCTGACCTATTATTGACTCTGATGTTGTTGTTTGAAACGGGCTACTATTGTGGCTACTACCGCCAAAAGACTTGCGATAATCAGTCTCCCGTTTTTTCATGTCGTCAAACTCGTCTCCTTCGCACTCTGTGCTACTTGCTGTTTGATGACGACGATGGCGCAGATATACAACGCTTAGCGCTACAATTATGCCACCTATAAGTTGCATCATCACTCATCATCGTAAGAGAAAATGATCTTTTTGAGATATACTAAGGTATCCGATTTTGTAGACTTACTGCAACAACGCCACCACTCAATACGCCGGCAATGGCGCCTGCTTGTACATGTGCTCTTTCCTCTTCACTTTCTTTAATTAGAAGAAATCGTTTGTTGGCTCAGTGAAAAAAAGACATGTATACACGAGCATTTTTTACACGATACCTTCTGGTGAGTTTGTAGCGTGATGACCGCCTGCTGCTCCTTGTCCAGCATTGTTATTGCCATTGTTACTGCCATCGTTCTCACCGGACGAAGGAGCATCCGAAAGTAGCGGTGTCGGTGATAGTGTTATTGGCGGATCTTTCAAAGTTGTGGCACCATTGCTGTCTGTTGTCGGTGTCACCATTGTTATTGTACCATTACTGGTCAACCACGATACATTGGGTTGATAATTGGAAACCCAAGTCCAGGTGGACGTACGCAACAGATGAATACTACTGATGCCTTGCTCTTAATCTCCTAATCCGAAACCTACAAGCATAATATCATCGCTCACCAAAACGACTACATAAATTTTAGCGAAAGAAACAAGAAGATGCAATATGAAGTGGGGGTTGAAAGAAGGAGGTGTTTCTTTTACCAGTATGATATTTTCGAGGTAGAGGTAACTCGCCAGACACAGAAGGTGCTGACCAGCGCATGTTTGCAAGCTCCAAGACGAAAACATCGTTTAGCGTTTTGAATTTGCCATCACCATCATTTTCTATGAAAAGAAAAATCAAGCTTAGTCATGCATGTTATGCCGTTGTCCTTGGTAGTGTTCACTATGCCAAAGTTGCTTGTACCAATCGCATCGCCACCAAAGATAATAATCGAGCCGCCATCTGAGCCTGTAGTAGTTGAGGTGTTTGTTACAATCTTTATGAGTCTCATCCATGACCATTTAGAATATCAGTAACTCTATAGGATACTTTAAAAAAAGCTTTACTTAATACAGCTGAATGACCACTTCTCGGTGCAGGAATATTCCCCGTAGCAGTAACATTTTGCCATTAACTTCCTGCAGCATCGAACGTTAGTATTGAGCTCATGGAGACTGGATTCAAAGCTTGCTGACTGAGAGGATCTGTCACGTTTCGCGAATAAATGAGACCACCAATAATGATAATATTGTCATTAGGGACAAGTGTGGCTGTATGGTCTACGCGTGGGATGGAGGATTTGATATTTCAGGATAATTATATGCCCATGTCTAAAAGTTAGTAGAAATGAGCTTTCCTTTCTCTCACAGCTGCTTGATCTTAAGATGGTGCCTACGTTAGTATCAATCACTGTCCATCGGTTGTCATATAATACTGAATTGGTCGTGGGATTGCTTTTGATTTCAGGTCTAGAAATGATATTGAGATATGAATACTTGTCGTCTTGTGGGTCCTATGCTTGCCCCTTACCTTTTGCCGCCCCAGATCCAAACCCGACCTTGGTCATCAGGAGTCGCAGAATGTTGTATTCTACGCAACATACAACGTGACGAACGATGATATAAACACCATAATCATCAATGTCAATATAGCATGTATGAAGACTTGGTTGGTGATTTTGCTTTTTGTGTAACCCCTTGAATAATAACACACCTTTGTGAAGGTAAGAGTCCTTGCAACTGAGGCTTTGACCATTTGTTCCGATAGATATCATATACCAACGTCGTCCGACTCGCTTGCATCCCATCACTCTGGCCACCATCTATTAGAAACCTGGCTCCGCTCGGTAAATTGGCTGCAGCAAAATAACCCAAGGGCGGTGGCACAAACAAAACATCATCATCTTCATCTTCAGCCGGATGCACCTGTCCCCACTTAGGTTCGCCTATACTCCATGGTTCATAGAGAGGAAGCCGATACATGGTATCCGCCGCTTTTTCGTTGTAAAACATTTGCCGCTGTTGATCATAGTATCGCTCGACAATACCGCCATAGCAAAAGAGATACCCTACATTGAGAACGCAGTCTATTCAAACAATAGCAGCAAATGCATAAAGTGCTGCGAGGGTGTGAAAGAAGGTGCAATAAAAGTGGAAGCGCCATAAAATGACAAAGGATAATTGTAAGTTATGCACAAACAAATCACGTTTTAAAAAACAGGGTGACGAAAAAGAAAAACCTTTGTTTGACTGCCATTCGCATGGATTTATATCATTCTATAATATCAGTGATGCAAGTTACTTACAATGTCCCTGCCGCAAAACAAGCAAGAACACCATTTTTTCTTTTCCTAGGTATAGTCATCAAGCGTAGAGGTTATATATTTCGCTCTCGATAAGCTACAACTAGACATCCAGTTCTTGCATCAGAGACTAATATAGAAAGAGAGACACACAGCAAGCATGGTGTAGGATGCGTTACGACAACACTTTAGAAATATAGAATGACTGTATGTGAAAGAAAGTTCAAGCCGACGATTCATCCGACAAGCGACAGCACTACACGAAGAAATCTTCGTTTGTTGTCATGATTTTGGCTAACCATTTCATCTGAGACCGGGGTGGCAGCCCCTTTTTTACGGCCTCCTTATTACTGTACCCTCACCTTAAAATGCAAAAAAAAAAACCACAAAACGGTAAAGATTTTAAAATGAGGCGATGGATAGAATCGATGTACTTGGAAAGTAAAGAAGGTTAAGATTATATCAATGTGCAAAATGTATTGAGATATAAGAACGCCAGCTCGAGAACTTTCGCTAGAAACTCCTACAAGAAAACAGCGTTAGAAAACAAATCTTCTAGTTGACTGGTGGAATAGGGTTGTCAAAAAAGACCCGCACAATTAAGCTTAAGCTACGTTCTGGTACAAAACCTGTGCATTTAATAGTGAAATGCTTGACATATGCTGTTTTAAATGAAAATTTATATGTTGTACTCGGAGACCTTACCTTAAACTTAATACTATCTAGTGCTTGCACGACCGCAAATCCAGATGCTCCTGCTGTTTACGATTGCTACAATGAATATACTGGATACACTAAACGAGTCGATAGTGGTAGTAGTAGGCTCGCTAGTGATGGCATGGTGTCCCAAAATGTACATGAGGGTCCTGGCAACAAAGCCGCCTAGCAATAAACTATATTACTGTGCGACAGCAGGAATCTGTAAGTTTTACCACGGTGCGGTTACTTGAACATGCAACACCTTTTAACCATAAAAATAACAAGAGCAATATCAAGCATCGTCCTTTTTGGTAACATTAGAGGCCTGAAGCTATGTTGGCACTATTTGATAAGTGTTATCTTCGCAAGAAGAAAAGGAAGGAGGGTCTACTTGGGGGTTTTTACGCTAATCGCGCCGCCCTAGACTGGTTCTTCTTTCCTTATAGGTTCGCACTCAATTAGATTTGGCAGCGGAAGAATGCCCGCTTTCCGACGAGTCGGTTTGTGCGGCCTTACAAAAGTTCCCACGGCTGCTTCTGTGTCTTTTCTTTTTCCATTCGCCGACTGGCCCCCATTTTCCCAGTTTCTTTTCCTCTTTTCAAACACACACACACACACACTCTCTCTCTCCAACGCCACCTCTCCCTTTCTAGAGACGCACACATTACACACATGTCATTTGTATCCAAAGTTGCTCGTCGCTCAATACCCATCCGGCTCGCCCAGGTACGACTGATTTTTCTTCTTTGCTCGACCAGCACTTTACTACTTTATTAAAAACGATGATACCATCCGACCCAACCACGACAATTCAACAGCAAAAACGCTGCTACGCTGCAGGTTCAGCTCAACCTCAAGACGGTATACAGCAAGGCGTTGCTTATTCACAGTTGCTCAAACGTGGTCCTGATGATGCTTTACGCAACCCTGAGCTGGCTCATATCAGCGCAATCAACGGTATAGTATTCATGTCGTGTCTCTTTTCTTTCTTAGTAAAAAAGGAAAGCTGAGAAAAACAAGAGATGATAACAAGATATGTAGGTGAAACACGTAAAATGAACCTGTTCCAAGCAGTCAACGATGCGATGTCTATTGCCCTAGCCACCGATGACAACGCAGGTAACTAGCGGCAATTTGCTGGTACGGTGGGATGGATAAGATTGATTGACGCGACATGATACCATCGATTTTTGAAAATCAGTTGTCTTTGGTGAGGACGTGTCGTTTGGCGGTGTGTTTCGAGCAACGATGGGTCTCGCCGAAAAGTTTGGCAAGGATCGGGTGTTCAATACGCCGTTGACGGAACAAGGCATTGCTGGTTTTGCGATTGGTATGGCTGCCGTGGGCCATACTGCGATCGCCGAGATCCAGTTTGCCGACTATATCTTCCCAGCCTTTGACCAGCTTGTCAACGAAGCTGCCAAATATAGATATCGCTCTGGAAACCAGTTCAATGTCGGTGGCTTGACTGTCCGTGCACCTTGTTCTGCTGTGGGTCACGGTGGTCATTATCACTCGCAAAGTCCCGAGGCTTTCTTTGCGCATTGCCCCGGTTTAAAGGTATTTTTTTTTGTTACCGAGGTGTTTAAGCATCCTGAAAGGAAGTAGGATAGCTAATCCATAGAGTCAGATTGTCAGCCCTCGTAGCCCTATCCAGGCCAAGGGTCTGTTATTAGCATCTATCCGTGATCGCAACCCCGTCATCTTCTTTGAACCCAAAAACTTGTATCGTGCTGCAGGTAACACGAAATGGAACTTAAAGCGTCGAGTAGATGCCACGCGTGCATATGTAAGATTTTGACTGATAGTTTTTCCAATCAATTAGTGGAGGAGGTTCCAGTAGCAGACTACGAATTGCCTTTGGGCAAAGCCGAAGTATTGAAGAAGGGAAAGGATGTAACAGTTGTTGGTTACGGCGCACAAATGTATACCTTGGAAAATGCTGTCCAGCTAGCAGAAAAGAAGATGCCGGGCTTAAGCTGCGAGCTGATTGACTTGAGAACAATTGTGCCTTGGGACGTGGATACGGTGGTCGAGTCGGTCAACAAGACAGGTCGTTTGGTGATTGCTCACGAAGCCCCCAAATCAAGCGGTATGGGCGCTGAAATTGCGTCGGCTATCATGGAACGATGCTTTTTGCGCTTAGAAGCACCTATCCAGCGTGTGTGTGGTTGGGATACACCTTTCCCCTTGGTCTTCGAAAAGTTTTATATGCCTAGTATGATCCGATGCTTTGATGCCATCAAGAACTCTGTAAACTATTAAATCTAATTATATGTAACACGTTCCTCTACTCCTACATACATAGAAGAAAAAACAGTACATAAACACATGAAGCTATTACTTGCAGCATAATACATTTTATTATGTTTTTGAAATGGTTTTTTTCTTTTAGCTGCAACTGTAAAGACGGCAACACATCTTAAATGAAGAGATGCAAGGAAATTGGAGGAGGGATTGGCACTACCTTTGACATAATGAACTAACAGATGTAGAGAAACGAGTAACTAGTGTATGATATGTGCGCTTGTGGTATTATCTTAAAGATCAAGGGTAGCTTTGATAATCACGTTTCGATAGGCTACCAGCCGTCTTGTTTCGTACGAGCGTACCAAGGCCATGTCTTGAAGTTCAAACCAAGCTGGCAAATCTTGGTTGCGACCGCCAACGACGCGAACGAGCCATTCTTTCAATGGAAACAGACTAAGCTCGTCCTGCGCCACCAGTTCGCTTCGAATGGTAATCACTTCAAAACCACACGCCCCAAGCGCATCGATAATATCCAACTTGTCCACATAGTATGGCATATCCGATAGCCTCATGGTTGCCTTTTTCACTACTACTGCTGCCGGATTCATGGTCGATGACAATGGTAATGCGGAGGTTTCCCGATCGACGACAGTAGTGGTAGAAGTAGTAGCAGCTGATGCTGCGGTAGATACATCGTCGCCTTTGATATCGTTGTGTGTAAATGGCTGTTGTCTTTCTTCTTCTTCACCGTCAACATAGTCATCCTGATCATCCTGATCATTATCATCGTGATAATTATCGTCGTTCTCTTCTTCATCATCCGAGGGCAAAGTGCCGACTAGTCGATCTTCCTTTGCTGATGCTCTTGGTTTTCTGGATGTGCTGCTTCCTCTCGACGATTCGGCAAAGAGTGTTGATGGTGGAGTAAAGTATTTGTCAACATCGTCATCATCCACAGACGGAAAGCTGTTGTTACTTTGTTTAACGTCATTCGTTCGCGACGGAACCACTTGTTCTGGTTGCGGTGGCTCGATGTTGTGTGTTGATATAACTGGTTCGTGCATCTTTTGCTTGTTATTGTTTCTGGTATGTTTTGCTGTTGGTAGAGACTTTTGCTGTGATAATGGAGCGAAAGCAAAGTCTGTATCGCTGAGCTCATCTTGCGGTGTCGACTGCTCCGTATTTCGAGCATCCAATTCGATCGTGTGTTTCTGCTGCTTTGTGTTCACCTCTGCTTCACTTTTGACAAACTTAGGAGAATACGTAGGAATAATCGTCGGTAGTGAGTCGTTGCTACTCGGGGTTCTTTCGTGGTCAATCGATAATCCATCACGATTGTGCTTCTTTTCTTGAGATATAGCTGCTGCTGGGGCGTATGATAATGGCGAGGGTGCTTTTTTGTTGCTGTTGCTGCTCGAAAACGCTTTGTTGTCGACTGGATTTAAGTTTTGTTCATGATGATCGTACGTATCTTTAACATGTGCTAATTGTTCCTGTCGCATAATATGCTCCTCCTGTTGTTGCTGTCGTTGTCGTTGTCGATTATTGTATCGCTGTTGGTGTTGTGGACTGCTTTGATATGGATCAGCCATCTGCACATCATGGTATATCGTTGGATCATACGCTGGTCTACACACCATTGCAAAGTCTACGCCTCCTTTTAAAAGCTTAGCAGCGCGTTCAAATTCACTTAGCACTAGTTTAAAGCCTTCTATGGAACAACTTATACTGTACATTTACAAACAAATAGAATGTTAGTTGAGTCTTCCTCTCCCTTTTCCTTGCACCTCCTCCCCAATGAAATAGAGAGAAACATAAGCTTACGCAACATTTCTGTCAGTGATGAACGGATCTTCCAAAGCAAGATCACAACGCTTACGCCAAGCAGGTAGTTTTCGGATCGTCGCACCACTTCGAACGGATAATGCTCTTTCGTAGTCGAAAACCATGCCATAAAAGGTAAAAAAGTCTACTAGCAGTTCACCAATATTTTGTGTATTATGGCATCGCCAATACGTAGGTGTACTGCCTAGCAAATTTTGTTGACATTGTGATGGTACACAGTTATCGGCACCGATAACTTTGACACAGTTGTGGAAAGATACGTCGAATTGTTTGGGCTTGCCACGATATATGGAAAGTTTTGGTATAGAGGTGCGGGATCGACATGTAACACTTTCACATGCATTGTCACCGTTGAGGCATTGCAAATTGGGTATCACGGGAGGAGAGCATGTCATGAGGAAAAATAAGCCCATCAGGACATAGGTATAGCTGCTCAACGTGCCCGCCGATGCTAACAATATCAACAAGTAAATTATTGTTTCTTCACAGTTAGCCCTTGTTCCCCTTTTCGTTCCCCTCAAATCAGTTTATCACCCTGCTGTCAATTATCTTCACGCACGAATGTATCAAGTATAAGCTTACAATCGTTGATTTTATGCATCTTGGTAAACGTCTTGATGGCATACAAGAACGGTCGCACGCGAGGTTCGAGGAAGGTGTATTCTTTGATCAATTTTGAGTTTTCAAGACCCATATCATTGTGCGTATTGATGTCGGCTTTGAGTTGTAAAACGGGGTCTTCAAACTTGCAAATGGGAACATTGGCCCTGGGAATAGCCGCAATATTCACCATGCCTGCTCTTTTCAAAAGTCCAGCAAGCATCCACATATTGTAGTACGAGTTACGTTCACGCTGCTTGTTGTTCATGTCATAGATATCCGAGAGGAAATACTGTTCTGGCACCAAGATGCAGAGGTCAAGGTCAGAGTCGGCAAAATCGAGTCCAGTGGCAGACGATCTATTAAAAAGCAATTTCATTTGTTAAGTGTAAATATATTCAATCATGAAGTCCACTATCTAGTGTTTCTTTATCAAGGTCCAAACGTACCGAAACAACCTACCCAAACATCTCAACTCGCAGTTTAATCCTTGGATACTGCCGTCGAAGTATGTTGACAATCTTGTCAATTAATTTTTTTCGGTTATCTGTAACAAAGCGCGATGGAACGGATTTCTATATTGATCCATTGTTTAGCTTTTCTTTGTAACCAATGTATACATGCATTCCTTACCCTGTACAGCTCTTCGATCTCCATGCATAATTTGTCATCTCGAGCTGACGAGTAAGTGAGCCTGGCGCCTCTGGTATACATGTCCCCCTTCTTATTAGATGCCTCGATTTGTTGCTTCTTGTATTTCTCCTCAGTCTAATTTACATTACTTGCACACATCAGTCAATCTAGTTTATCACTTTATAGTTGCTGACCCATATCCTCCCCTCTTTCTCCTTTTATATTGTAGGTGTTTCGTCTTACCATATGGTTGCGGGGAATAGTATAACTGTCGTTCTTTAAGCCTGTTGCCTGTGCCACCGTAAACCTGGATGTTGTTGCTGATCCAGTAGCAGCGTTTCTGTTGCTGTTATTGGAGGTGGCGGACATGGTGGTAGTTGATGCGAAGTTGGCAGGAGTTGACAAAGCACTTTTAGCATACTGTGTCGACAAGTGAGACTGCCGCTGCACCTTTATGTCATCTTCCAACTGTTTCTTTTTGAGTGCCTCTTGATCAACGAGCTCAAACGCGGCAGCAAAGTAAGGCGGATACATAACCAGTAAATAATCCAGTGGCCCTGCTCGATGAATCTTAGGAAAGATACCGTCCGCATATCGTTCGTCCTGCAAGTATGCCTCTTGCGACGGGACCAATTCGTAACCCCAAGATTCAAAGCTCTGCCAGTTGTCGGTATCGTTCAGTTCTCGGTTTCGGCCAGGTGCATGGAATTTGAAGAATCTGGTAAAATCGCCATATTTTTCCAGTGAAGCAAAATATGTGTTTCTGACCGAAGCAGGGGCTTGAAACAAGTAAGGTACGAGGTTGTTGAATGGTATAACTTGTGGCCAAGAGCGATTGCGTTTTTTGGCGCCCTTGACAAGCGTGCATTCCCAAGTCAGCTGTTTGCAGAACTCCAGGAGCACATCTTCGGGCGCATTTGCCGTTGTGGGAATCTGAAATGCCATATGGGTTTCCGTAAGTGTTTTATGTTATGTATGTGATTAGGTTTTTGTATAGGAAAGCGAAAATAAAATGAATTGTGTGCCTATGCGTGTGTCGTTGTTGAAAGGGAAAGGGAAAGGAAGAGTGCGGAAGCGGAATAATGCCACCGAATCTTTTTTGAGCTTCGTGCGCAGTAGTAGGTTACATTTACTCCAAAAATAGACGGAGTGTCGCCCCACTGTGCTTTGCTTGAACAATGTCAACCGTGCCCGCGATCAAGCGATTAGATCAAACTGTTATTAATCGCATTGCTGCTGGAGAGGTAGCCACGTTTCTAGTTGAATAATCGTTTATTCTATAATTTAGAGGCTCACACGTTGACGATCGTCTCTTGCCATTTTCGGCTAATTAGATTATTCAAAGACCTGCCAATGCTCTGAAAGAGCTCATTGAAAACTCGCTTGACGCTGGTGCCACACAAATCCAGATCCTTGTGAAAGACGGTGGTATCAAACTTTTACAGATACAAGACAATGGTCATGGCATACGGGTAAATTGCATAAACAATTCGAAACCAAGACGTTGTTTCTGTTCGTTGCGGATTTCGCGTGTACTTCGCGTCCTACGTGTACTTTCGCGTTACTTACGCGTCTTTTGTTGCTTTGATGTAAATCTCCTCTTGCCTTTAGAAAGAAGACATGGGAATTGTATGCGAACGGTTTACGACGAGCAAACTGAAAAAGTTTGAGGATTTGTCTCAAATAGCAACTTATGGATTCCGTGGTGAAGCATTAGCGAGTATATCCCATATTGCGCACGTAACCATCACCACAAAGACCAAGGACGCACAGTGTGCCTTTAGGTAAACTTTTTAGCTTGCTTTGACTGTCTTTGCTATTGAACATTAACAATAAAACGTTACATTTACAATGTTTATAGAGCAAATTATTCAGATGGAAAGCTCGTGTCGCCTCGTCCGGGTGTGAGTGCCGATCCGAAGCCATGTGCAGGCAACGACGGAACACAGATCACGGTATATATTATGCTACACTGCTTCTCCCTTTTACATTCTCATGGATATGCATCGAAGACTAATAAATTTGAAACTTGTATATCTGAACAGGCGGAGGATCTATTCTATAACGTACCTACTCGACGACGAGCATTCAAATCCTTCAGCGAAGAGTACAACCGAATTGTGGACGTCGTCAGCCGATATGCAGTCCATAACAGTGCTGTCAGTTTTACATGTCGAAAGGTAATTTTATCGCTGTCTTAGGAAGGCGATGAATAAGAAACAATGTTGTTGTGTATAAGATGCTCATTCTCTTCCTTATACGTATACAGCAAGGAGCTGCAACAGCCGATGTACAAACCTCATCCACCTCCAATATCACCGATACGATTCGACAAATGTATGGTTCATCCGTGGCATCTGAACTATTGCACGTTGAGAAAGAGTTTCCTCAGTCCGAGTTCAAAATGAACGCCTCCTTTTCCAACGCCAATTACCATGTTAAAAAAATGACTTTGCTCTTGTTTATAAACAGTACGTTGAATTCTTTCCTACTTGTTGGAGTGTAATTTAGTGTGATTTGACGAAATACTGATCTTAATCACTTTCGCTAGATCGACTTGTGGAAAGCTCAAATATCAAGAAATCTATCGAAAATGTGTATAATTCATTGTTACCCAAAGGATCTTACCCCTTTGTATACCTAAGTTTGGACATCAATCCAAGAAATGTGGACGTGAACGTGCACCCAACCAAACGAGAGGTAATGCATATATAAAAGTAAAGAGGCTTAACGATTAAAAATCTTTGATTATGCTAACTTTATCTATCTCGGGTGGGTACTCTATACCTAGGTTCATTTCCTAAACGAAGACAGAATTGTAGACACTATTACAAGCACACTGCAGGAACAGTTGGAAGGTGCTAATTTCTCGAGGACATTCTATACACAAGTAGGTGCAATGATTTGCTATCTTTAATGCATTTTTTTTCGTATGACGGATACTAACGTTTATTTACTAATAAGACAATCTTGCCTGGTGCAAGTCAAGTAGAATCATCGCCTAGTAAGTAATTTAGCTTTCTTATGTCTTGCTACTGCGGCATTACAGATCCGTTTTAACTGTTCCAACGTCTTCAATTTTGTTTTTATCGCTTCAGGTGACAGCGACAAAACGCCCACAAGAAAAGTACAAGAATATAATCTAGTACGAACAGATAGTCGAGCCAGAACATTAGATACCTTCGTTCAACGACCGGAAGATGAATTGATGGAAGGAATAGTGAATACTGAGGATGTTTTGGAGTTAGATGAAGAATTATCGTAAGTATCATTTAAATTTAAGGCTGATTCAGCGTAAAGTAACTGGTTTACATATGTTTGTGATGAACTTAATGTATATTTTTTGTGCCAGATCACAGCCGATATCTTCTCAATCCAAGAAGCGACCGAGGATTGATGTACAAATGACAAGTATTCTAAATCTTCGTAATGCAGTCAAGAAGTCCGAGCATACAGGTACCATTTTTGTTCTGGTGGCAACAGTAATCCGGATACTGAGAGAAGTTCTTTAATGTTAAAAAAACAATGCTTAAAAAATAGGCCTCACAAACGTCTTGCGAGATCATACATTTGTTGGATGCGCGGACGATACTCTAGCTCTGATACAACATAAACAAGATCTATACCTGGTGAATTTTGCCGTTGTCAGGTAAGGAAGGACCTTATAAGATGTGGCCTTGACAAATCCCGAATCAATTGTATGTAATACGCTGATTATTATGATGAATCGTGTATAGTGAGGAACTCTTCTATCAAGTGTTACTCGCCGAATTCTGTAACTTTGGCAAACTTCAACTGACCTCGCCTGTATCCATTCTTGAATGCATCAAAGTCGCACTAGATGTGGAAGAACAGCAAGGCACACTTCCTGATCAATTACAACCCAAAGATACCATCGCAGAGGTAATGAAGAAGAAAATTGTCATTCAATAATTAAGAACCATAAGACTAAAGCGTTTTACTATGGCCATTATAAAAAATTAGACCATTACAGATGTAATTGTGTCTCGCGCTGATATGCTTGAAGATCATTTCTCTATGGTGATCTCAAAAGAAGGGTCTCTGTTAGCTCTTCCGATGTTATTGAAAGGCTACGTACCGACCATGGACAAACTACCACTATTTCTGCTACGAATGGGAACAGAGGTAAAACAATATCTCGCGATCCATAAAAAAGTCATCTTTCGATAACACAATTTATTCCTTCAAAGGTGGATTGGGAGACCGAGGAAGGATGCTTTGACAGTCTGGGACGCGAATTAGCCATATTTTACAGCGCTGAGCCGCCCGTAGAACCGGTGGATATTACAGCAGATAATGACACCGCTCGACGGCAGTATAAACAAGAACATGAAAAGTATCTGTGGCAAGTGCAAAATTTGATCTTTCCAGGTCTCAAGAGTCAATTCATTGCACCGGCAAGTTTAGCTAGGGAGGATGGAAGTTATGTCACCCGCTTAGCAAGACTAACTGATCTGTATAAAATTTTCGAACGTTGCTAAAATACTAATAAAAAAGAAAGTGTAACAACTCTTTTCCAAACTTGCAAATATGGCGACTGTTTACTAGGAAAGGTTCTTCGATACTCTCCAATGATACTCTCCAATGATATTGTCATTCATATTGGTATACATCTCCTTACTTATATGTAACTGTTATAACTGTGGGATGTGCGCTTTCCATCGTTTAATGGAATCATATGTGTTGCTGGAGCAACAAAGTTCTACATCTACTGGTCTGCAGTAAATTGCTGGATGAAGAAACTACTGATGCAGTATATATACTTGAAACCGTAAAATGAAGAAACAGAGAGGGCACTTGATAGTTAGAGGTATATTTGTTTGTCTTCGATCTTAAAGCCTTTAGCTTCCATTCTCGTTGGTTACCTCTAAATTGGGAGATAAAACAGGGGCTGTCGGACGGTCGACATTCGCTGCAACTGGTCCAATGCCAGCGGCAGTTTCCGCAGTCTGCCTATTACTGTAATTGTATGAAAAAAAACAATATACGATATCAATGGATTACGATTATATATGATACCATACTTTGCCCATTGCGTCCTGCCATAAACCATAATCTTTCAAAGATATTAAAATTATGTGTAAAAAAGCATTCCGTCACTTGCAAGTTCTTTGTCCGGTGCGGCTTATTCAACAGTAGCGAAGCAAAAGAAGAACACCAATAGAGTAGCAAAGTAGTACTAGGTGCGAAACGCTGCATTCTTGCTAATCTGGTAGTGATAGCGATATCGGATGATGATACCGAAAAAGAGAAGATCTCTTATATTTTTTCTCTGAATTTTCTTTTACATACAGTACAGTAGTCTCTCTAAGAAGTCAGTGGTACCCGAAGGTACACAATCCAACTTAAAAGTTGGTCTGCCTATTTAGCAGATTAAGGTCTCGATCGTTATCGGAATTAACCAGACTAATCGCTCCACGAACTAAGAACGGTCATGCACCACCACCCATATAATCTCGAAAGAGCTTTCAACCTATAATACAAAGGCTGTACCGTGATTCCATGCAATTCGGCGGAACGGCAAGACAAGCCCGTCAAAGTCCTTATGTTTCGACACAGTCCGAAGTTTTGAGAGTAACCATGCTTTATCATCGTTGCCGATTCTAGCAGGTTCAGAATATACGCACTCTTAACAACATTAGCAGAAGGCTATCGATAAAGCAAGCGTCATCGGCGTTGGATACTCATTTTGTGAAGCCAAATGAACGGGGGGATCAATATAATTACAAGTATACACGCCATATGTGTTAGGATCTACCATACATCCCCTTGTGATTTACTTACTTCACGTTGTTCATTGTGAATATCTTTGCTCGATTTGATATCGTTGGATGTATATATTTGGCTAGCCCTGAGCCGTGTCTTGAATCAGAGGTGCGAATTTAAAATATCATTATCCTTAAGGAAACATTGTAGCCCATTTGATGGATCTCCAAATGCTCCTTTTACGCAAGTACTACTGTAAGTTATACCTCCGCTTGGTACTGTAAGGATCTGTCGTACATGGACTGTCGTTACTTTTCATAAAAGATGTAGGTGTACATGAGAATAGTAGCTATATATGGGCATAATCTTTTTGTTCAAGCTTAGGTTCCCAAAGTAGCTCAAGTGTTTGATCTCCAACAACAAACCTGCATTTGCGTGTTAGATAAATATATATGATAGTGGCCTGTATTACATATTATACAGTATGGTGCTCAAATGTACATGAGCCGAAATCGAAAAGTGCTTTTTGCTCTGTAATGAGATGTGGGCATACTAAAATAATGACTTCTACATTCTTACATGATAGTAATAGACCTTGTCTAACTTCGACCATTATTGTGTATTATTAAGAGAAACAGCTATCATTCAGTGGTGAGAATTCCCGTTTGTTGTGCTCTTTAGCAATACTTTCATAGTGTAATGGTAAACATATTTCCTATAGTACTTTTCTTATGATAATATTGTATTGGGTACATGATGTTTTGTTGACCATGTCCGCACTGCCCACAGCGAGATCACATAGCATAAGACTCCCAAGTCTGCTAGTCATAATTTCTGCCAACGTCTCAGCTCATATCTAGCTGCGCCTACTGTTTCGTAATAGCGAAAATGACGCCCCGTTCTTTTACTTCTGCTATGTGTCCATTCATCAATATCTGTCAGTACGCGTGTGGTTATGAAAATTATGTACTGGTATAGTAGCAGACGTCATTTTTTATTTATTTTGAGCAGTAGTAATGAAAAAACCTATTCTATTGCTGTCAATCGTGAAAGCTCCTTAGTCTTCTTGAGCGACCGGTCGTATCAATAGCGCCTCTTTTCCGGAATCTTGGTCTGTGTAACAGGATGAAAATCCCCTGTTTTAGATTTCGATCCCGCAGAAAAAAGAAGGCAGAATCGAGAAAATACTTTTGATTCTTTATTTTCTACACAATCGATGGGTTAAGGTCTTGTTTCTATCGTCTCATGTCATCATCATACCATGTTCAAACCCGGCGAGTGTTTCGAAAGAATGGCATCTTGCCAACCAGTTATCCGAGAAAAGAAGACGGTATGAAAAGCAAAGAAAAAAGCCAGGGATATACACCTTTTTTGCACTGTATTATGGCTCACTCGTTCCCGTATAAATACAAACAATAGTAGCAGAAAATGACCATAGCGAGTACAACTCGTTTATTGGCGGATTATCACACAAGCAACTCTCGCTACTTGTCCTTGTGGCCCAAAACACGCTCCTAGTGCTTATGATGCGATATTCACGCGTGGTACCGCGTGGCGATGATCAACCATTGTACATTGCCTCAACTGCTGTTGTCATGGCCGAGATTATCAAACTTAGCGTATGCCTAATCATGCTTCGCCGCGAATTATACTCTTGGACTCGTTTACGGAGGGCATTAGCCAAGGACATTTGGCATAATCCAAGTGAAACGATCCGACTCATGATCCCGTCTGCGCTATACGCGATCCAAAATAACTTGCTCTACTTGGCGCTCAGCAATCTCGAAGCTGCGACATTTCAAATCACATACCAACTGAAAATCTTGTCAACAGCCATATTTTCCCAAGTTGTGCTAAATCGTCGACTGAGCCAAAACCAGTGGGTTGCATTGGGATTATTGATGGGTGGTGTTACACTGGTGCAAATCACGACGCGAGAAGAAGATAAAGCAGCAGTCATGATCGATGCTATCAAAGCAGACGGGGAACAGCAGGAACAATATCAGTACAGCAACAGCGACCAGAATCAGCACCAGCAAAATGCAATGTTTGGGTTGATTGCGGTGTTGGCAAGCTGCGTATCATCCGGTTTTGCAGGATGCTATTTTGAACGGATGCTCAAGACGTCAAGTACTTCCATGTGGATGCGCAATATCCAGATGGGCTTGTCAGCACTGGCGTTTTCTATCGTTGCCATGCTGATGAACGACTATCATCTGATTCGGCAAGGGGGTGGATTGTTTCAAGGCTATACCATGATAGCGTGGCTGGTTATCGCTAACCAGGCATTGGGAGGGTTGCTCGTGGCAACGGTTGTTAAGCATGCAGACAATATCCTCAAAAACTTTGCCACAAGCGTGTCGATCATCTTGTCGAGCATCATTAGTTTCTATTTTTTCGACTTCCGACCATCCATCATGTTTGTACTCGGCGCCATGCTGGTGACCGCAGCTACTTATTTCTATGGTATTGCCGATCGCCGCCAGTCACCGTCATCTTCAACAACAACAGCAGCAACCATAAAGCCACATTAAGCAACCTGCATTTTTCGTGTATATGAACTGAATTACCTACATCCCTAAAAGTACTACTACTACTACTACTACTACTACTACTACTACTACTATTTACAACTGCCACATACATGGAATGTTACCATTGGCTTTCCCTCCCCCTCTCTCCTTTCCGTCGGTCTTGTCTCCCTTTATTTCCCCTTTGCTGCCCCAGCCCGGCCACCTCCCCCCCCCCCGCATATTTCTTGCTACTACATTACTCCAACATGTATTTTTTTATTCACGCAAAGTAGTTACGTACACTCTTCTTGTATATAAAAGATTAAGCTAATAACTGTTCTTTATTTGCACGCAAAACTGCGTGTGCGTGTATTCACTTCAATAAGTCGGATCTTCCGAGAAGTGACATTTTTAAATTCTCAACAAGGACACATGACGCTCTGTCAGGCCATGCATGCTCCCAAGAAAGGAATCTATTTGATTGGAACCACCTGACCGTCCCACCCATCTATACTACTAGACTGTACTATTACACCATGCCATTATCTGGAAGTTGCTATATGACCGATGATGAGCGCTGTAGTGCATTGCAGTATTTGGGAATATGTGTTGCTTTGTTGTGATTCGTGTGCTGTCTTGTGTACAGATCTGCCCTTTGATAGCGCAGCAGCATTGTACATTTTGTGCTAAAAACAAAACGCCCAAGTCCGCCGCTCCTTTCGTCCTCCATGCGCAACACTCCCCCAAAATCACTTCTAGAAAAGTCCTCACCCTCAATTCACCATTGTTCTTATTTTGTTGGCTGTCATTAGCGTCCATTGGTGAAGGGGGGGGATGGGGAAAAAGGCGGGAAAAATGCCGCTACTTATCGCCACCAACAAGAAGAGATCCGATTTCGAATCGGGCTGCCAACCATTCACAAGGGGGAGAGGAGGAACGGGAGAACAAGAAGACGCGGGGTAATTACAACGCTTACATGGAAAGGGGGTGTTTGTTTGTCCATAAGAAAAACAAAATGGAGTTGAGAACGAACTTTGTTGTGGGATATAGCACGATAACGAGCGTCCCCAAGTGTGGCGGGCGGACTTTTTTGATTTCTCTTCGCCAGGGTTATTGGGGGGAGTAGGAGTGAGAAGAGAAAAGCGTATGCAAACTGCCAGCGAGCGCGCCCGGATTTTCCATCGCTCCTTCCTTCGCTTGAAAACTCAAAATGGGTATGTTAAAGTAGTGTGTGTGGGATGGATGGGAAAAAAACGCACGGATACCCTATCCAACTGGATGGATGACAGATGGATGCCTCATTTTTCTGTCATGCGAAGGTCTGCGTGTGTGGGAAAACATGTGCTCACTGTTTTGTTTACATATATCATACTATCCAAATTTTTACCCATGAACTATAGTGGTAAGTACTGATAATATGGAGGGAAAAACCCATGTGATGGAAGGGAATTGACAACCATGAACTAACATTAACGAACGCGTTATATAGAACTTTACTATTGAGGAGATCCGTGGTTTGATGGTAAATAATCATTTTAACACACCAAGCAAAAAAACGAAATTACCGACGGCATTATACATAACGACGGAAGCACATTCACAAACGGCGAACATCTGCTAATCCTTACCCAATGTGCTATATGTATTATAGGACAAAGTTACGAACGTTCGTAACATGTCGGTCATTGCTCACGTCGATCACGGCAAGTCTACTTTGACTGACTCTTTGGTCTCCAAGGCCGGTATTATCTCTGCCGGTCGTGCTGGTGAGACTCGTTTCATGGACACCCGTAAGGATGAACAGGAGCGTGGTATTACCATCAAGTCCACCGCTATCTCCATGTACTTCGCTTTGGAGCACGAGGAAGATATCAAGGAAATCAAGAACCAGAAGACTATTGGTAAAATATCGAGAAATACTCCGGTCAGTGTTTCAGTTGGTACTTACAGACAACACATCGTTTGTTTATAGGCAAGGATTTCTTGATCAACTTGATCGATTCGCCCGGTCACGTTGATTTCTCTTCTGAAGTTACTGCTGCCCTTCGTGTCACCGATGGTGCTCTTGTCGTCGTCGACTGTATCGAAGGTGTCTGCGTCCAGACTGAGACTGTCTTGCGCCAGGCTTTGGGTGAGCGTATCAAGCCCGTCATCGTCATCAACAAGATTGATCGTGCCTTGCTTGAATTGCAGTTGGACAAGGAGGAGTTGTACAATGTATGTGCATATTTGTGGTTTTCAGGAGACGAGGCGCCAGCAAATCTCTTATGGCCTGCCGGGTGCTGTGTGTGGGATATGTGCATATGTGTCCTATTTACTAACATGAAGATTTCACTAGGCTTTCGCTCGTACCATCGAATCCGTCAACGTCATCATTGCCACCTACTTTGATGAAGCTCTTGGTGATGTCCAGGTCTACCCCGACCAGGGCACTGTTGCCTTCGCCTCCGGTCTTCACGGTTGGGGTTTCACCCTCCGTCAGTTCGCTGTCCGTTACTCCAAGAAGTTCGGTGTCGACAAGGAGAAGATGATGCAGCGCTTGTGGGGCGAGAACTACTTCAACCCCAAGACCAAGAAGTGGACCACCAAGGACACCGATGCCAGCGGCAAGCAGTTGGAGCGTGCCTTCAACATGTTCATCTTGGACCCCATCTACAAGATCTTCGATACGATCATGAACTTCAAGAAGGAGCAGATCCCCACTCTTTTGGAGAAGCTCGACATCCAGTTGAAGTCCGAAGAAAAGGAGTTGGAGGGCAAGCAGTTGATGAAGGTCGTCATGCGCAAGTTCTTGCCTGCTGGTGATGCTCTCTTGGAAATGATCTGTATCCACTTGCCTTCCCCCGTCACTGCCCAAAAGTACCGTGTCGTCAACTTGTACGAAGGTCCCTCCGACGACGAGTGTGCCCAGGGTATCCGCGACTGTGACCCCAACGGTCCCTTGATGATGTACGTCTCCAAGATGGTTCCCACCTCCGACAAGGGTCGTTTCTACGCTTTCGGTCGTGTCTTCTCTGGTACCATCCGTGCTGGTCTTAAGGTCCGTATCCAGGGTCCCAACTACGTCCCCGGTTCCAAGACCGACTTGGCTGTTAAGTCCATCCAGCGTACTGTCCTTATGATGGGCCGTAACACCGAAGCCATCGATGACTGCCCTGCTGGTAACATCATTGGTTTGGTTGGTGTCGATCAGTTCTTGGTCAAGTCCGGTACCATCACCACCTCCGAGGTTGCCCACAACATGAAGGTCATGAAGTTCTCTGTCTCTCCTGTCGTGCAGGTTGCCGTCGAAGTCAAGAACGCCAACGACTTGCCCAAGCTCGTCGAAGGTTTGAAGCGTCTCTCCAAGTCCGATCCCTGTGTCTTGACCTACACCTCCGACTCTGGTGAACACATTGTTGCCGGTGCTGGTGAACTTCACTTGGAAATTATCTTGAAGGATCTTGAGGAAGACCACGCCCAGGTCCCCATCCGCACTGGTGACCCCGTCGTCCAGTACCGTGAGACCGTCACTGCCGAATCCTCGATGGACTGCTTGTCCAAGTCGCCCAACAAGCACAACCGTATCTTCATGCGTGCCATGCCCTTGGATGATGAGCTCTCCAACGATATCGAACAGGCAAAGGTCGGTCCCAAGGACGATTTCAAGGCTCGTGCCCGTATCTTGGCTGACCAGTACAACTGGGATGTCACTGAGGCCCGTAAGATCTGGTGTTTCGGTCCCGATGCCACCGGTCCTAATCTTGTTGTCGATGTCACCAAGGCTGTCCAGTACTTGAACGAAATCAAGGACTCCTGTGTCGCTGCCTTCCAGTGGGCCACCAAGGAAGGTCCTCTTGCCGAAGAGAACTTGCGTGGCTGTCGCTTCAACATCTTGGATGTCGTCCTTCACGCTGATGCTATCCACAGAGGTGGTGGTCAGATCATCCCCACCTTCCGTCGTGTCGTCTACGCTTCCATGCTTACCGCCAAGCCCGGTATCCAGGAACCCGTCTACCTCGTCGAAATCCAGTGCCCCGACTCTGCCATGGGTGGTATCTACTCTGTTCTTAACCGTCGTCGTGGTATGGTCTTCTCTGAGGAGCAGCGCCCTGGTACCCCCATGATGAACATCAAGGCCTACATGCCCGTCAACGAATCGTTCGGTTTCACTGCTGATTTGCGTGCTGCCACTGCTGGTCAGGTAAAGTATTAAGAAGAGCACATGTTGGTGTGTATATGGATGAACCGTGAGCTAACTCTATAATATCTTGCAGGCCTTCCCTCAAGCTGTCTTCGATCACTGGCAGGCCATGACCGGTGACCCATTGGAAGCCGGTAACAAGGTCTACGATATCATCCGTAACGTCCGTAAGAGAAAGGGTCTTGTCGAAGATATCCCTGGTCTCGACAAGTACTACGACAAGCTGTAAACGGTGGACTCGTTCTCACGTTACCAATGAAAAGATTAAATTCTTTTGTTTTAAAAAAATCCTCTCTTTTTTCCCGCACGTACACACACATACATCTTCCCTCTCTAATCGACACGTCTATCTCCATGATCGCATCTTCCCCATGATTTACGCGATATATAAATAGAAAACATACAAGAAGGGCTATATAGATTTTCTATTACATATACAACACGAATAAAGAGAGTGCTTTTTATTCTGCCCTACAAATTGTACGCGACTGGATATAATTCATGTATGGGGCGGCATTTCTTTATTTAGTGATGGCACGGTACTTGGTCATTTGTGAACGCGGTCTGTGTAATGGTAGTATTAAAGTCTATCAACTACGGAAAGAAAATTCTTGTTGCAACCACCTTTCACATGATCATCGAACTGTATCATAGTCGCGGATCCAATAACAACGACAGTACGCAACAATAGCATCGCACACTGTTCATACTCAATGTATACATACTATTCATTTTCTTGACCGGTCATGACACCAATTATACATAACCAAGAAGTCGGTCAGGGTTGTTCCTTGAACAGCTTTGCATATGAATCAAAGCTGATTATACACTTATGATAGACTGTTGTGCATATTTGTTTGTTCAGCTACACTTATATTAGGTACCCTGAAATGAGGAAGATATCTATTGTAGCACGATGCTTACAAAACTGTTTTGACTTGAAAGATGTATGATTAGAGATTGAGAGAGGGAGGAAGATTGGCAGAAAAATGAAGCGTGCTGAGTATATTGAAGTCATCAACATCTTGGCAACAATTTAGGGGATATGTACTGTTGCTTAGATGCTACTATGATATATATGCACATTTGTTGGTGAAGAGCAGATTTCACGTTGTCACCTTCAACATTATCACCCATCCATCACAACTGGGCACGAGTTATCACATGATGGGGTTAGTAAAATTCTTGTTTACGATGTTCATTTCTAGTGCATGCAGCATTGTTGTAATAGAAGATCTACTATAATTAGTGAAGCTGTATTTGTATAATATTAATAGTATAAAAAAGATAAAAGCCAAATATACAATATGTTTCCAACATTATGCGCTAAGTAGAGTATATAATTAGTTAATGGTATAAGAAGAAGGAAAGACAACTATTGGATGTCTGCGGGATGTATATAACGGTAAAGAAATTAATACGTGATAATGTTATGCTGATGGGAATGATTCTTTGAGTTCAGTGGTCCTCAGGCGATCGATTATCGCTGTTGCTGTTGGTGTCCTTTGGCAATAGCAGCGTATGTTAGTACACTTGGGGCCGACTGTTTTTGTTTTGATGATAAGGACGTTGACCGGCGAATACGTGCAGCAGTAGCAGCAGTGGAGGTACTAGTAGTATTAGCAGTAGTGGTGGTGGTGGCGGTGTTGACCTTTTCTTCCTGAGCGTTATAAGGAACAGCAGCGAGTGGAGGAAAGTTTCTGCTATTGTCGTTATCAGTGGCGGACGCGTCCTTGTTTTTGCCCTGATTTCGCTTCCTTTTGTGATTTCTCCCGCCGCGTCGTCGTTGTCTTATTGATCCGTTCTTGCCTTGTTGACAGCCATTTCTGTTATCCTTTCTACTACTTTTCTTGATCGACACTTTTGTCTCGTCCATCCTCAATTGTTCCTCCACGGTACTAACACTTGACCCCGATAGTAACGACGAGTGTGGCTGATGCTGATGCTGCTGATAGCGCGAATATGGCTGATGATGGTGATGATCATGCTGCTGTCGGCGGGTGATAGTTTCGAGACTGTGTATGTACAGAAAAAAATAAGGAGGTCGATTTAATAAGATAAGGTTAGCGAATGCATTTTGCGTGTAGCGCTCGGATTGTTGGAACTTTTAATGAAAAAAGAGAGGGCAGCACTTCGTCATCCAAAAATAGAAGAGAGAGTGTATTGTTGCTGTTGTTGTTGTTGTTGTTCGGGATGATCATGGTGATATGTAGAGAAATATACATTACACGTTGTGAATGGCAGGTACAGATTTCATGCGAGCTGCAATTTGGTTCCCCTTGAACATGCGACCACGGATATCACAAAGGAGCTTCAATGCGTCTTTTTCAGATTCAAAGACGATGTACCACATATTTCCAAAGTCGTGCCTGACGCTTTTCACTGGTGGTGACTCGAGGTCGCGTAGCAAGTCGCTGATTTCCTTAATAATAATATTAATAATTAAAAGTCAACGAGTGATATGTTCATGATAGTAGCAAATAATGTAAGTCCTTTTTGGCTGCTCATTTCCGAAGCACCGAACTTAAAAGATGAAGATATTCGAATAGGGAGGCTTTTGTGTACAGGTATTATGCCTTATTCATCCCCCTCCTCTGGCTTCCTCCAATTCAATGATGCATAATAGGAAAAAGGATAATTCATACTTTTTCGGACGTATCTTCGGGTAACTCTCTAAGAATAACTGTGGTACGCTCTGCTGATGTGGAGATATTGGGTTTGACCTTGGTTTCAGTTTCATCGACGATAACATAAGGTGATTGTTTCAGGGCCTGGGCTACCGCATCGAGATCGGTGGTGTATTGCTGGACACGGTTAAAGTTGGCAATCGTAGTAATGGGAACGTAGAGATCAGGATCCATCTGTGATACTGTTGTTGTAGTTATATGCGATGGATTAGTTACATGGATGCTACTCGCGCTAAGTATGTGCTGTTTGTTGAGATCGACCCTTTGCGTGTGCACACGAAACACATCTTACCTAGGTAGATATCATTCGCAAGATTGTGTCTAGTTTTTTTGAGGCCACAAAATCAATATTTAGTTGGACGAGTGATGGAGCTCATCTCTGCTGTTTTTCTCCACACTTATTTTCCCTGAGAAGTAACGTAGCACCAATGATGATATCTGACTGCTGCATTTATTACTGCCACTGCTGCTCTCAGCTTTCAGCTCTATATGACGCGGTATACATTACCTCGAAAAATAATACTCCAATTGCCGTTGCAAGTTGTTAACACTGTCGTCGTTGGTGTTAGTGTCATCACTGTAGCTGCTGCTACTGCAGCTGTCGCTGTGGTTGGAAGCTGCAAGCAGGCTAGTATTAGCAAAAAGGCAAACTTCATGGAGCCACAAAGCTCGGCCTCTGTAGCAGAAATAGGCAAGTTGGAAGATCATTACCAGAAGCACAGCTCAATGAAGAAGAGTCATCCGTCAGGATTATTTCAAGATCGTCGTCCTGATCTTCAACAGGTACGATACTTGGTGGAGAGGGTGCAGCAGCACCAATTGCTGTCATGGTAGTAGTAGCTGTAGGAGCAGCAGCAGGTGGTGGTAGTGGAGGGGCAAAGTATGGAGGTGGATAGTGGTATAGAAAATGATAGGGTGGTAGTTGCTCACTGTAACAAAAGGGCGGTGATGGTTGCTGCTGTCGTTGCTGAGAACGGGCTGTTTTGGACGTTCCAAGATTGAGGGACTGCAATGACATGTTGATAGCGTCCATGTTGAATGACAAGCTGATACGATTGTGTGTGTGTGTAAGAGAGTGAGAGAGAGTGAGAGAGAGTGCGGGAGTAGAAGGAGGGCAAGGGAAAAAGAATGAATGAAAGGAAGAAGGAAAGAAGAAAAGAGATCACCTCGAACAACTCAAAAGGGAGTTAGACAGAGTGGCGCCTTTCTTTTTGGCCTGTGCATGAATATAGGCTTGGGGTCTCGAGGCATATGTACCACCTCCTCCACCCATAATAACCCCAGCTTTTTTCAAACCTGCATATCTTCATGTTACCAGAACGTGGCACTGTTTGTTTGCCCTCACTCTCTTTCCCACACACAATATCTGGTGCTGGCTTGTTCCTCTCCAGAAGTTTATATCAACTCTTTTTATGTGAGATAGGAAAAAAAAGACAAAGGCGAATATCAAGACAAAATGAAGAAAAGACATGAGGGCGGTGAAGATGATGGTAGGGGAAGGCTTACAAGACCGGGATATAGCTGTTGATTCGATCCTTTTGGTTCTGCGAAATGCATTCTGCAATCCACACAATGTTTCGAATCTCTTGCTCCTTGAGCTTGATGTACGAGTAGAACACGCCGTAGTTGAACTGTTGTTGGAAGGCAAGTCGGTTCAGGAACACCTCATGCTCGAAGAACTTGTCTTCTAACGTCTTGCCACTCGTCGACACGTCAAAGAAGGGCCGGTAATCCTAAGTCAAAGCAACCCACATTATTTAGTCTTATATTCTTCTTATGTATTCTCCAACGATGTTAAACTATCAACCCAAACGCACATGAAACACTTCACACGTGGCCTTGACTTGTTCAAACTCATCAGCAACAGCAAGCTTGGCATTGCCCTCGGGAAACAAGCGGCCAATGGTGGGGAACAGCTTCTTGCGGTCTTCTTTGGGCAGCTCGGTGCCAAACGAGTTGATTGTAATGTTCACTGTACGGCGATCTGCTTCAAACTGGTATATAATTCAGTCCCGTTCGTTAGTAATTGCATTTTCGTTTATAATATACAAAAAAAGGTACTCCAATCATCAAAGGAGAGGGGGGCATATGTTACCTGCAAGATATCGCCCATGACCTCAGCCGTAGGACCACCCAGAGTTTGGCAAAAGGCATGAAAATCTTCGAGATAGGCCTTGTACAATGTGTTGCGAATAATCTCAATGTTGAGCTCGTCCAAATCCTGCGCGCTCAAACAGTTGGCAAAGTAAGGGGCCAGCGGTGTTTCGACAAGCACCGTGTTGTACAGTTCCGCCACCGTCGTCGCAACACACAACGCGGGCATCGATTCAAAGTTGCCCAGTGGATGGCAACGTTCAAGCAGTTCATGGGTATCGCGTTCGTGAAGTGTACCGGTAATGAGCAAAATGACATTGTCAATCATGTACTGATACCTATCGTACAAAGCACATATACCCTTGAATAAGAAAGCTGCCCTTCTATATCACCTTTCTTGCTCACCAAATCCCTGTTCTTCAGTTTATAGAGATATTTACGTGATATAGTCCAAAAATTTGGATAAAGGCTCAACAGCAGTAGCTCGAATATAGTTGAATTCCTCAACCAATCGTTCTGTCAATCGTTCCGTCAGGGTCGATGTCGCGAGTGGTGAAGGTTCGTTTTGCAGCAACGTGCCATAATCCGTGGCACCAATTTGAAGGCGTAAATCTATATTTCAAGCGCGTATATTTATACACATGTGTATATGTGTGTGTGCGTGTAGAAGAATTAGATATAATAATAACATATATATATAGAGAGAGAGAGAGACAGATTGCTGAATGGTGTCACTTGTTTTTCGTCACCGAGGAAAAATAATGAAAACTAACCTTCCAAAGTCTCGCATTGAGTAAAGTTCAGGTACTGAGTCTGGTTGAGAATACCAGAAAAGTAACCTCGAAGAATGCCGTCAATGTAACCGTCGTTTTCGTTATAGAAAAGTGCGGACGCCATGGTGGGGTTAGATGAAGGGAGGAAATGAATTTACGGGAGTTCGAAGTATGTAAAGACGAACGACGGCTGGGCAAGCTTTTCGAAACACGGAGCAACGCCTACGCATAACTATTCAAACGCCGATCCGCAGAGAGAGAGAGAGAGAGAGAGCAATGATTGAGATTTCTACACATTGTTCTGTGTGGCGTAATAACATGGCACATGTTTCCCATGTCAAATAGATGCTTTTCAAAACAGCTGTCCGATAGTATTATGGAAAGCTGAAATATCCGTACTTATCACTATATATGTCCTTTTTTTTTGTGTTTTTTGAGATACTCTTGATGGCAGTACGCACACCAGCTACATATCTCATAAGAGAACAGCGATTTGATGAAGTAACGGTAGGAATCTGATTACATCTTTTGACGAACTAGCCTTAGAGCATTTCCTTCATGCCCGCTTTGGGGTATCTTGATCGGCATCAAGCTAGTACAAAGTTCGCTGTTGGATCGCCAAGAATAATAATAATAGTATGACGATGGAGCACAGATCACCTTCCTTTCTCCTGAATTTCTTTTCATGCACGAGTCTCTCAATTTTTGTTGTCAAATGCAACAAAGGGCTTATATCTCTTGTCATGGAAAGAATCCATCGTTTCCTCTATCCAAAATGCGGCCTGTCTGATGATTTGGCCTAGCGGAGTACACTCTACGTCTTGATGTGTCACAGAGCAAAAAGAAAAAAAAAAGTGTGGAGGAGATTTTGCTTGTACCTTTTCCGTTCTCTCTTTCACTAACCCAAAAAATATGACTGTGTCTGAATCCGATCGAGTCAAGGCAGATCAGATCAAGGCTGAAGCCAACAAGCTTTTTGCTGGTATACATATATCTCTCTCTTTCTGAAGAACAATAAGGACATTAGAGAGAAGAACGCTTTAATTCAAGCGAAATTAACAAATATATAGAAAAGCATTTTCCTGAAGCGATCGAAAAATATACTGCTGCAATTGAGCTTAACCCCACCGTCGCCGCGTATTACACAAACCGTGCTTTTTGTCACCTCAAGTTAGAGGCCTATGGTTATGCCATTTCGTGAGTTTGTGTTACTTTTAACATTTTTGCTAATCATTATAAGAATGGAGGGACTGGTAAACTGTACTTATACTACAAAATGTCAAATAGCGATGCCGAAGAAGCACTGAAAATCGATCCCGCTTTGACGAAGGTAAATTGCGCAAAAATAGAATAAAATCAGTAAAAAATTGCGTATAAAAGCTCTCCCTGACACATTCGTATATGTTTTGATAGGCCAATTACCGCCGCGCAACTGCCAATATGGCTTTGGGCAAGTTCAAGGAAGCACTCAAGGATTTGAGAGTGGTACGGTATATGTGCATAGCAAGGGTGCAATTGTGTGCTCAGTTATTAAAAAACATAGCTAGGTATCCAAACGTGCACCTGGTGATAAAGATGCCAAATCCAAATTGGATGAATGCGCCAAGATCGTGAAGCGTATCGAATTTGAAAAGGCGATCGAGGTAAAGGGGAAAACATCTGATATGGTATTACCCATTTTCTGATCCAACGGTGGCTACATTTTAGCATGATGATCGTACCCCAAGTGTCGCAGAAACATTGGACGTAAATAGCATAGGTATGTTAAGAAGGAGAAGGGTTTCTATGCAAGTGCGTGTATCGTCTGGGGAAGATATGTTTTTCGCTCATTGACGCGTTTACTTTTGACAGTGGTTGAAAGTTCATACGATGGTCCCAAACTCGAGGAAATCGAAGACGAAATACAAATCACACCAGACTTTGTTTCGCAAATGATTGAGCGGTTCAAGAACCAAAAGAAGATCCACAAGAAATATGCTTTTGCGGTACACCTTTTTCATTGATTGGGCTTTGGACTAGACTAGTCATACTAAACTTTGGGGGTTGCGTTTCCTGTATCAATAGATCATTGTGACTATTTGGAAAATGATGTTGGAAGCACCGTCGCTGATCGATGTGAGTGTACCTGACGATGGCATCTTGACCGTATGTGGCGATGTTCACGGTAAAGAAACAACTTCGAAATACCCTCCAACAACTGCGTCGTTATTCTGACTTGCTCTTTTTTTATATAATAATGCTCTAGGCCAATTTTACGATTTCATCAATATTTTTGAGACTAATGGCTATCCCAGCGACACCCACGCCTACTTGTTTAATGGAGATTTCGTGGATCGTGGCAGTTTCTCTGTGGAAGTCATTCTTACTTTGTTTGCATACAAGTGGTTGTATCCTACGCGATTGTACCTTGCACGTGGTAATCACGAGACAGACAATATGAACAAGGTGTATGGTTTCGAAGGTGAAGTCAAGGCCAAGTTTAGTGAGATGATGTTCAAGGTATCTAATTCTTGTAGCCAGGAAGAAAGAGAAACAAAGAAGGACGGCGGTTTTTTTTTGACAGCATGTTACATATTAGTTGTTCTCGGAAACGTTCAATGCACTGCCACTGGCACACGTGATTGGCCACAAGATTCTTGTCGTACATGGTGGTCTGTTCTCCAAGGACGATGTCACATTAGATGATATCCGCAAGATTGATCGATTAGGGCAACGACAGCCGGGCACAGATGGATTGATGTGTGAGCTTTTGTGGTCGGATCCTCAGCCAGAACCTGGACGAGGAGCAAGTAAACGTGGTGTTGGCATTCAATTTGGCCCTGATGTGACAAAGAACTTTTTGGATCGAAACAACTTGGATATGCTGATACGTAGTCATGAAGTCAAGGAAAATGGCTATGTCATTGAGCATGATGGCAAATGTGTTACTGTCTTCTCTGCACCCAATTACTGGTAAGCTTTGTTTAAACTCGGCCGGGCGGAGCGGGTCATACTCTGATCGAAATTTGGTTACTGATGCGTCCTTATATAGCGATACGGTAGGAAACAAAGGTGCATACATCAATATCACACCAGATATCAAATTAGACTACGTTACATTCGAGCATGTGGTACGTTTTAGTCATAACCCTCAGCAAAGAAAAATAGTATCATATATTGAAAAACATCTGTTATGTGTTTTATAGCCACATCCACAAGTTCGACCTATGCAGTACGCCAGTCAATTCGGCGGCATGCTTGGCATGTAAGGAGGAAAAAGCGGGGAGAGGGAGCTATCGGCTCTTCACTATGACGACGACGGAGGAGAATGGCGATAATAATTTGCTGTAGATGCTTCTTTGATATAAATTTTTATATTACTTTTAAAAGGGAGAGGAAATAGAATATACATATTATTGATTTTTCTAATTTACCATGTTGTTTTGATAATAACTTTTCCTTTACCTTTTCTTTAAATATTGACTGATTGTCTCCTTTGTGTGGAAGAGAAAAATTGTCTCTTCTACTGTTGCTTTTCTTTTATTCTTATATTACAAACAGCCAGTGAAGAAGAGTTGATAGTGTAATATGGAAAATTTACAAAAGTGAAATGACTTTGTGAGGGGGGGGAGGTTAATTTAAGAAGATGCTGAATAAAAAAGAAGAAGGGGATGGGAAACATACCCCATCGGAATATGCAGAAAAGTAGGGGTTAGTAGAGAGAAGAGTTAGTCAAGTAGTGTGTGGAAGTGTTTGAATGCGTGTGTGATGGTGTGATGTGTGCAAGTGCTATGGGGTTGTGTGTATTAAGGAGAGAGCGAGAGAAAAAAAGTTACCGCGGGCAGCAGCAATTTGGAAGGTCAGATGAATTCGTACAGCAATAAATGCTTTCCTCGCCCAACGAGAAATCAGACGACAAGGCTTGGATTGCCGCGCCTCGAAGGGCCTTTAGATGGATCATCTTGGGGTACCGTGCCGTAACAAAACTATTACTTCGACTGATACCCGAGTGGCTGTTGTGCTGTTGTTGTTGTTGTTGTCCTGGTACCATTTGCCGATCACCACTACCACTGCCACCTTTTTTGCTAGTGGATCTAGAGAACAGCGATACTCCCGAATCCCGTTTCTGATGATTATGCTGCTGTTGTTGCGATGCAGTCGTAGTAATAACCGATGTGATCTGGCTTTCGTCAGCAGGTGATGGAGAAGGCGAAAACACCAACGAAGCCAATCCACCTGCGCCTAAAGCTCGAGCAATGTTTTGATTACTCAAGCCATTCAAGCCTTGGCCTACAAGCGCAGCCTTTTCTTGTTGATACTGCTCAAACGAAATCGTGTATTTTTTCTTGTTTTTGTCCAGTTGCTGTTGCTGTTCTGCTCCTCTATTAGAACGTAATGCAGAGGAGGGGGATTTTCTAAGACTAAACCAACGTCGCACTCGGCTGAAAGAGGATAGTTTGGATGATGATTTTCGCCGTTGCTGGTTATGAATATCTTCACTATGATTGCTGTTGTTGCTGTTTTTATCGTCGTCGTCATTGTTTTCGAAAGGATGGTCATCGTTATAGTCGTTCGCAGATAATATGACGTCTTGGTCATAGGAGTGGGTGTCAAGGGGGACCAAGGACCGTATTTCCATCCGCCGTCGCCGCTCTAGTTCGGCCTCTAGACGCAGCAGCTGCATCTGTGAGTCGACATAGCACTTGACTCGTCGGTGTCGACTTTCGCGTCCATAAGCAGTCTATTGCCGCACCATGTTTTCGAATGGATATTTAGAAAATCTTTTTTTAACACATCCACATTGTAGACATAAATAACGTGGAATGGATAGAAAAGATTGTTTACATACTAGAGTGGTGTGCTCTTTCAGATTGGCTTCAGTCAACAAACTAAAGGCACTATCATCTTCTTGTTGCTCATTTACAACTGCTTCTTCTTCTTTCGTTGGTTTCTTGTCATCATCTTCTTCTAATTCTTCTTTTCTCAAGTCTATTGTCTGCTTTTGTTTGCTCTGTAGCTGCGGTGGCTGCTGCTGTTGCTGGTGGTTGGGGTGATGATGGTGATGACGGTGATAAAGTTGGTGCTGCTGCTGACATGCACTCAGCGACACAGATAATGAGTGCTGGATCGGTTTTGTGGTTTTAGCCGATACAAGTGATGGACATGAATAGCCTCTATGTAGGCCAGCTGTTGTTGTTGACATGACGATTGACAGATATAAGGGATAGAGGAAGAAAAGAGAGAAAGAGAGTAAATAAGCAGTATGTATGATATGATATGATATGATAGAGAAGGGGAAAAGGAAAAAGAGTAAGAGAGAAAAGGAGAAAGAGGAATATAAATTCATCAACCAGTGCTACTGTATGTGTACAGCATACATGGACTTGCATCCTATCCGTCGACCCATGTACAGCTTACTACAGATTCCGTGGCGCGCTTTTCAGGCATTCTACGTAGCTCTCTTTCTTTCTCTCTCTCTCTCCTCGAAACTATCAACAACGTCCAACCCACGCCCCCCTGCTTGCATACTCTTCTACTATTGGATCGCCGTCGCTCTTCTTTACTCCTATCTCCGGTAATAACTTGCTTCTTTTCATATGTGAGTGTCGCTCAGCTAAGATACACTTAATATATTTGAGTGAGGTGCTGCAGCAGAAACCATACCACTCTTGTGCGTTCGCGAGAGAGGGTATGGGCACGATGCTATGTTGTATTGTATCGTGCTTCCCATAATACGACCCAGCTCACATAAGTACAAGCATACAAACATGCACTGCATGTCTATGTATGTGGCTGATTTTTATGGACCTAAACAAAAAAAAACAGCAGCAGCAGCTTGCTTGCATTAAAGTGCTACTGTAAACGCAGTGCTGTATGTACATATCTAACGTTACAACAACAAACAAACAAGGAATTGTATGGAAGGGTTATTAATTTTATTACTACTATCAGTATTAGAGACAGAGGAGGAATAACTTTGAATAGGTCAATTAATAATTATAATGAGAAATTTACAGAAAAATGGAGACTAATTTCCAGAAGCTTATTCCTCATATCAAAAATGATTTACTACGTTATTAAATAAAGAAGAAAAGAAAGGGTGTCATACAAAGAGATTTGCTAATTGCAACATAAAGTATGTGTGATATAAGCACTTTTGTTTATGTTTTGGGGGGGTTGGTGGGGAGTGGGGAGGGGAGGATGTGTAATATGGATGAGTTTGAAGAAGTAATAAGTGAGGAGTATAGAAAAAAGGCAGAAAGGGGTGGGGAAGAAGAGAGAATGAAGACAAATGAAAAATATGACGGGAGTTAGAAAGTGTATCTATAAGGGGTGGGGGAGGTGGTAAATGAAAATTATGAATGATGAATTTTATCTCTTTCGAGACACAGGAGTCGTTGTCCTCGGTATCAACCGTTTGTTAGCTGCAGTGCCTGCAGTAGCTGTGGTTGTGGTGGTCCGGGTGGTGGTGGTGGTGGTGGTATCCGTCCGAGAGCTCATCCGGGAACTTGCTCTGGAAGTGGGTCGTTGTGCCGCGTTGTTGCGTCGTAACACGGTGGACTTGCTGCTAGGTACTGATGTTGCCATGGATGACACGCTGCGTGCACCAGCATGGACTGTCAATCCTGTCCGTGGCTGTTGACCCGTAGTAGCGGCTGCAGGCTTGACACGTATAGCAGTAGCAGTCGGTCGTTGTTTCAGTTTTTCAATTTCGGCATGCGCTTCTGACAATTGCTGCTCGAGCTTCTTGCGAGCCTCGGTCTCTGCCTTTTGCTCTCGCTTCATGTCATGCATCTGTTCGAGGACACGTGTCATCATGCCTTGCAGTTCATTGCGGGCCTTGGCTTCCTTGCGGATATTCCTTTCGAGAGGCTCGACTTGAAGCAGTGCTTGTTCCATTTTGCGCTCATAGACTTGGCGCATGTTGATCTCTTGCTCAAGCCGGTCGTACAGAACTTTTTGTTGCTGGTCTACAAGGACAGTCATGTCTTCCATGGCCTTTTCAAAAGCGATCCGCATCGCTGTTTCTTCGCGCAGGTCGTCTTCTACATCATGCAGACGGGTTTGGACACGGTTCATTTGCTGACGGTGGACTTGGCCACAGAGACGTACGACGTCAACCATCAATCGATGCTTGGGCTTGATCTTGAATTGCTGTTGCTGTTGTCGTCGTCGGAAACGATATCCGCGCCATGCTGCTTGGATTCTGACTGCGGCAGCGCTGCGCAGTATATCGTTGTGGATCAAATGTTCTTGTTCCTGGTCGGACAAAGGCAGAAAGATGGACGCAGACTCGATGGGCAGTTCTTTGTTGCTGCAACCGTCGACGTCGTCGTTGTCATCATAGCCTTCGTCGCTGCTCCAAGTGGTCTGGCTGCTGGGGCAACGGTCGATGATGGGGGTTGAGACTTTAGTTTTTTTACTGAGTCTGATCACCACAATGTGGGATTCGTTGGTCATGTCGCTCGCCGCTGCGCACGAGGATGAAGACGAGTACGTGGTGGGTCGTCGCAGTAATTCGGACTCGCTGCAAAAGACGGGCAGATCTTCTGAATTAACAGCAGATGGTCTACTGTTGTTCTTCTGGAAGCCACCACGGTACAAGCCTATGACGAAAATAATAAAACAATGATACGTTAATATTTCTATTCTATAAATTGGCAAATTATAAGCTGACAAACTCTATATTAACCTTGACGATGATTATGATGATGCTCAGGCCACTGGTTATGGGAATGAGGACGGGGCTGCTCTTCGCGTACAGAGCCTAGGAAAGAGCACGGAGCGGCTACAACCTGTTGCTTGACTGTAGCCGTAGAGTCACACGACTGTTCTCGGTCGCGACGTACTTGCTCTTCTTGCTCAGGCAACTCCAAGGGAGACAACCGACCATCGTCCACCAAGTAGCTATCGTCGTCGTCTTCGTCACTGTTGGTGTCACAATGCATTTGCTGTTCTTGGTGTTGGCGTTCCATAGGGTTGTTACAACTAACCACTTGATCCAGAACAGAATCAAAGAAACGGTCCAAATGGTCGTTCGCGTAGTCGACCGGGGGCGACAGTGTTGCATACGAATGGCGAGAAGAACATGCAGAGGTAGAGCGAAGATCGTTGGTGAAAGTGGAAGTGGTTGTGAATGACGATTCGTCAAAGAATGAGCAGTCGTCGGCGGGGTCATTGTCATAGATTTGAGCAAGGGCTTGCAAACGGGCTTTGGGAGGGAACTCATAAGTTACTTGTTCCGGACCCAGGTTCTGAGGTACGTCCATCATGAGGTCTCCACGGTCTTCTTCGGGGAAACACGTTGGTTGTTGCTACGAGTAAAGAAGAAAGAGAAAGACGAGGATGCATAAGCAAAAAGAAAGGATAAGTGATGGAAAAGAGAAGAAGAGCCAAACGATGTAAGCCAAGAGCCAAGAAATATATAGCAAAAAATTAGAGAATGGACTGCTTGCGCACGCGCCATCTTTTTAGGATTGTGTCTTTTGTGCTTACAAAGGGGAGGGAGGGCATTGAGAAAGGTGCGTGCTGCTGCTGTTGTTGTTGTTGTTGTTGTTGCGGAAAGTGCGCTGTACGTGTGACATATGAAGATGCACATGGAAAACAAAGACAATTGGAAAGCACATGGCGGAGGTGGGCCGTGCTTGTGCAACGGGAAGGGAAGGGAACAAGAGCGCTTGTGCTGGATATGTACAAAGTGGTAATTTTTTTTTTGGGGGGGGAGAGAGGGGAGGGGCGGCGAGGGGAGGAGACAGGAAGAAAATAGAACCCGACATCACCGTTTGGCAAGACTTGGTATATACAAGAAGTATTAGCGATAGATTACCTGGTAGAGCATCATTTTGTCATCGGCTGCGGCCAGCGACGAGTCGTGACGAAGCATGATAGGTTCAGTATTAAAGTCGGCCATCATAATAAGTAATTTTTTGGGTGTGTATAAGTGGTATCGTAGTCGTAAAGAAGATATTCGTTTGATTGTTCTTGTTGCTGTTGTTGGTTGACACAAATAAAAGGGAGTTCTTTCCGTTGGGTTCGATTGCTGATGATGATGATGATGACAGTGTGGAGGCTCTAAGTCGTTCGTTCGTATGTGCGTTCGTCAATCGTGCGTGTACTGTAACGGTCGTTGTTTTCCCTTTGACAAGGTCTAGTATTGCAATAGTAATAGTAGTGATAGTAGGCGGAAAATAATGGTGCGGGGATGGTCAAGGCTGGGAATGGCCCCCGGAATATAAGACGTGGAAAGAAAAAGAAAAAAGGAAATGAAGGAATGGGCTGGGGCAAAAAGAGTTTGCTTGTGGTGGAGAGTGTCGATACGTAAAAGTATACTATTTTTTTTATGTTTTTTGTTTTTTTATGGCCGTATATCTCAGAAAGAAAAGCTTTGAAGGGGGAGAAGAAGAAGAAGAAGAAGAAAGAAAGGGTTACGTCAATTGGTTTTGTCGGTTTGCAAGTCGCAGTTTTGCTGAGAGACAATCGACAGGGAACGTGCTATACGGATGAAAAAGGAGAAAGCCAAGCGCAAAAGAGGGAAAAGAGCGAGCAGAAGGAACAAGAAGGAACTTATATATAGTAAGCAATTACTTGGGTTGTTACACCCGCAGATCGTGACCCTATGATTTCCTACTATTCCCCCAGAGGGCCCTCTCTGATTATAATTTGATTGTACTAATGAGTCAGACAAGAGACAGAGGGAAGACGGGGTGGTGCTGCAAGGGCCAGAACAATAGACCTATGATTCCGTTTACACCGTGTATGGATGGAGTTAGCAGCAGCAGCAGCAGCAGCAGTAGTAGCTCCATCTTTCATCTACTGTATACCCGAGATGCAGCATAATCACCAGATGCAAGTTAAATAGTGCTCTGTACCGCAAAGCAGACTGCTGCTGCTGCTGCTTAGCACTGCCCATTAGAGTAGCGCTTTATTTGTCTTTACCAAGAACTTGCATCTTGACCTGGCAATACTGTCATTTGTCTTTTTGGCGCCAAAACCACTGGGCTGGTTTTTCAATTTGGGGGGACTCACTACTAAGAGGCAACACAACGACGACTGGGCAATGATGAAATAAAAATCATCTCTCGCAGAGAGAGAGAGAGAGAGAGAGAGCTTGGCGTTAAATTTGTTGCCACAAATAATCGCGTGCCAATACACCAATGAAAGGAGGGCAAGTAATGGGAAAGGCAGCCGCTGTGCCACACTGGCTATAATAGGACAAAACGGCTTAATTGTTGGTTGACACTCATTGGTGACCGCAATAATGACGACGCTCTCTTCTCTCTTTCTATCCTATCTGTGCCAGCAGCAGCAGCAGCAGCAGTCTAATCTGCTCTACCAGACAAGCATCCGAATAGTAGATCAACAACTCATGCAAATAAAAGAGCATTCGGGATTTCACGCTTTTAGTGCTACGCCCTGTGAACCCGGCTTATGTTATGACATAACTGCATTATCTTCTTTGTGTGTGAGTGGGTGGTGTAATGTCGGAGTAGTGGCACGTGTCAAGCACTGATTTATATTTCCCGCCAATTCTTTTCCACTCACTCTTCTCCATAAAAAAGAGGAACCGGCACTATTTTAGGCGATAGTGTTGTGGGGGCGGGAAAGTTGGGGGGGAAGGGGTGAGGAGGAAAGGGAGCACGAGTTGAGGTGCTCTGTTGTCTAAAAACGCTCTAGGGTTTTTGGGGTACACGATGCTGCTACTATTAGTTGCTTTTGTCCTGGCTGTTGTATTATATATAAAATGCAACGACCACATTCCTGATAGGTTTGCCTTTGATCGGTTATCTTTGTCATTAGACTTTTCTACCTGTTTCAGGAACCGTTCCTAGATCTGTTCCGCCTTACTTACACCGTCTGTCTTTGTTGAGTAATACACGCTAATCCACTTCAGCCGCGGTTATTCTTCTTGTGATGACGAGAACCCCGCCAACGTCATGTACCACGCACCCACGCACCGGCCACCACCACCATCTTCCACTACGCAGAAGCAACGCAGAAGATTAAAGTGCCTCCTGATCGATGAAACCAAGGAAAGCTACCAACTAGGTGCGGCTATAACAAAGTTCGTGATAGGCAATCATAATCTAATGATCTCCCTATCATTTCCACATAAGCCTCAGAACATCAACGTGCAAGCCGTACAGAGCTTTATTCGAGCTACACCCTGCTGCTCGACCAAAGTTGCTTTATGCTTGCTCTTTTTTTCGCAATCTAACTCTTTTCTACCTAGCACTGAGTATGTAGCTACAACTAGCTTTAAGTTTAAAAGAAATTGCTCGACATCATTGAGCTATTACATCTTCCTGACGTCGTCGTCGTCGTCATTTTTGTTCTATCTAAGAGGACTTCTTGTGTTCAGCGACACCACTATCTGTGTTGCTTACATGCGCGTTGGGAAGAGCATTAGCAGCAAAGCGTCTAATTTTACACTCAACTGGTACGGGTGATGGGTAGGATGACACTAAAATTTGATGTGGGCCAAAATTCGTTTTTATCATTTACCTTTAGGAAAGAACTTTCAGCAGCATACATGTATAAGATTGAGCCAAGCCCACTTCCTATTATACAAGAATCAAGAAAAACTGACAAGTGAATATAGTATGCTGCAGTGTACTTTTGTGATTTATCTACTCTTCATGATGTATATCCTCGCTCCTTAACTACAGCAACACTATGACAGCCGATAATATGAAACTTTATTGACTCTCTCTCCTCTACGTAGCTTACCATATCCCGCTGTTAATTATTATGTTTGTCTCGTTGTTTTGAGAACTCATGAAGTATTATATGCCATGTGTATCAGCAAAAAGATGCACAGACCGGATTACTCGTGCTACGGAGAGCTAAAGCACTCATGAATAGGATAAATTCTCAACAGTTTTACATGTGCATTTTATGCATAAAAATTTTCATCTGACCTGACCAACACTCTGTTACTACTACTGCATGTACTACTAATAAAACGCTGCTGCATGGTCGATCAAAGAAGCAGGGTCGGCCGATCATTGTCAGTGTTCATCAGTTCTCAAAATCAATATTTACTTTCTATTTACTTATAGCAAGTCAAATTTAACAATTATAATTGTAATTAAACACACCATTGTCAATGCACCACTGCTTCTGACAGTTTGAAGAATTCTTCATAACTCCACGTTAGTTGAAACATTTAACACGCAAGTCCGATCCGTGAATTATCATTCGCGGGGAGTGCTACAGTACATCCATTTGTTCAAATGTCGGTTTTATTTTGGGTTGACCATCGCCATCAGCTATACGGTCGCTTCCTTGCGGTACGGAATATTGATGCATGAATACATAGTGTTGTTACAGGGACGTCGAACAATTAAGAAACCCAGTGAGAAAGGTAAGAAAGTGCAGATGGATGATTAAGATGATCGCAATATGAAAGGGAGAAAGAGAAAAGATATATGATAAGAGCAAGGAGAGAATTATCGAGTGATGTACTGTATTTCACAGTTAGCGGTGAGCTGAATATAGAGAGAATCGCTGTGATTGTGGTTCACTGTTGGTAGTGGTTTGTCGTCATTGTTGTGATCGATATCGGCGGGACTCAAACGATCAGTTTCGCACAAGGTGGCGAGCAGTGCTGTCCACACATTGGACTCTTTGCCCTAATAGATTCCACGTTCTGATTGAGTGAGAGTGCTCATGATTTGGTCAATGTTGTGTATTTCTCGTGGGGATGCCTGCTATATCACTTATCGGACTAAAAGCTTTTAATAATTATAATATAGCGTCAAAAATCGTATATCAAGTAGCGGCATGAATAACACTAGATGATCATGCTTCACACCATTGTGTATAGGGAAAAGCGAGCTTTTACTTTAGCTCTCAACGATCAACACATTCAAAAGTAATGCGGGTAATACATGCAACAATTGTAATGTTTTAAAAATTGATCTTTTCTGCAAACAATGTTTTTTATATCTTTGCACAGCTATTCGAGATATCAAGACGATTTTCTTTCTCTGTCTCTTTCTCTTCTTTTTTCTCTTCTCTTCTACCTTTTTCCTAAAGAGTTGGATGTGTATCGCCACCGTCCTACACCCTGTGATCGACCGCCTCAATCTTCATAGAGTTACTGCAAGAGCAATCCCGAAACTCATTAGGGCCATCGCTGCTCAAGACTACCAGCTTATTGTCAACCATGCAGAATTCTTGCTGCAACTTTGACAAGTCGGTCTCTCATGCTTTCGGATGATCTTGCCTATGCGCATGCGATGCGAGGCAACATCGGACATGCACTCACTGACGCGGAACAGATGACTGCATATTCGTCTGGATAAGCAGCTGGATATATCCGAGCAGCTATGTAGTATTTATTCCATGTACGGGCACCAACACGAATCAATTGCAACCTACAACGATTCACTCCGAAAGGCAATGTCCGATTCAAGAGCATCAAATAATATCGGGAAGGAGCAGACCATCAAGAAAAACGAAAACCGAATCCACTTTATGACAAGGCTCCCTTTTAAAAATTACTTACCGCCTCATATCATTAATTTTGAAGGGGACGAAGTCTCATGCTTACAGATATCAAAAGCGTGGCGAGAACGGACGACCTCAACAATGAGAAATCAAGCAGGAGATTCTAGCGTGGCCAGCAAATACTGCGCACTCGTGTGTCTCGATCTGAAAGCGAAAGCTATCACTGGACGACATATCAATAAGGTGTTTACAATGTTGCCAAAATTTACGGCGGCTTGGCATAAATGGATGCGACACTTCTGTGCTGGACCTTATCAACAGTCTTGCGACAAATCTCGAGATTTTGGGATACGACACCGGCAATCGTTTCGTAACCGAGCTACCAATTAAGACGCAAAATGAAACTGATGCTTTAAGGATGCTCTACACAAACGATGGTTTGTACCGTGTCTCCACTGCAGTTCTATCCCATGTTATATATAAGAATCGGCATACTCAGAGAAAACCTTGTTCGTTGATGAATCGGATTTTTCAACACAGGAGACTAGCTATTAACACTTCTTCTACCGACTTCAAAGTGCCACGCGTAAACAGCCTGACATTGTGGCTTTATCCCGCCATACAACCGTATCTACTACGACCAATGAGTGACATGGACATTTTAAATCATCTATGCGTCACATCTATATCCAATATGGAGGGATTTATTACCGCTTTCATGGACCTTCGACAACCACTGAAAACATTCGGAATACCGCATGTCTACAGTATCACAGCACGTCAAATGTACCCCAGCTGTTTGAACGATATGTGAAGCTATCTGGATCACACAAGTCACTTCAATGTGTGCTGTATTGAAATTACGCAGAAATACCGGATCCCTGTGCTTTTTGCGCTGGGTGGTATTAGAGCATTAAGCGACAGTGCGCTACGCA